TAACTCAATTGTTAATGCTAGTTAATTTTCACAAGACTCTTCTAGTACATATATATACTTGAACTGGATTGTGTATCCCAGGCTGCCCTCAAACTCATGGCGATCCTCCTGTCTCAGCCTACGACGTAGTGGGATACAGGCAAGAACCCACACTCACCTAGCAATGATTTTACAGAACCTTTTTTTGTTCCTGTTTTTGTTTTATTGCCATTTTCTGTACTTTTTTTTTTTTTCAGATCAATTTAGGTAAGACAACAGTAAATCTTAATGACATTTTATGTACAAAATATGTTCTTCCTATCTTTATTTATCCCTATTTCCTTGTTTCCATTCTGATTTCATTGTAAATATCTGTGATTTTTATGATCCCTCACTAATCAAAATCCCTTAACCAGTTCTGTTCCTTCTCATCCTCCTCTGACATCTCAACCACCTTCTTTTTCTTCTGTATTCTCCTCCAACCAATTAACTCTCCCTTTCCACATACTTTTCTCTTTACACATTGCACTACATTTTATCTGTGTCCAGGACATTAATAACAATTCCTTCTTAGGGCTCTTAGATGAATGAGCTTTTGGTAAGAGATTGAAACTTAAGGCACTTGCCTAGCACCTCATTCTGAGGGTAATTTAATAGCTGACCTTGGGTGGTTCCCTGAAAGAGAAGGCCGCCCACCCTCTCTGTTTGGAGGCTTAAACCACAGCAGGCTGCTCCCTGAGTGAGGGACCATGGCACAGGATTTCAGACTCTTCAGATACTTCTTAGAAATGATAGGAAGGTAAAAGCAATAACAGAAAAGCATATAAACTGATTTTCTTAATCTTACAGGATTTCAGTCTCCACCAATGTGAAAGCCTTTCTCCATTCAACTCATGATGGACACTGGGGTTCCACCAGATTGTGACCCCTGTGCACCCTCCCAAACAAGAGCATGTTTGAGCACCTGCTTTCAAATTTGAAGGAGCCTATGACAGGGAAGGGAATTGCGGGGTCACTGGTTTTCTTATTGAATATGTGCTGAAATGTATTCTGTTGAAATGGCTCTATTTTTGAGTCATTTGAAGAAAAACAGATGCAGCATGAGACCAAACTGTCAAGTGAATTAAACCCCACTCAGAAGCTAAAATATCATATGATTTCTCTCATATAAGAATCTTACTATGTATAAACAGTTCACAATGAAAGATAGACAATCAGAAAAGAGATAGGAAAACAACACTATTTAACTTTCTCAGTAAGGAAGTACAAAATATGAACTTGTTTACATTCTTATGAGACATTTGCATTTGTTTATTTGTCCATCAAAGCCTCCTTAGTGCCTGTGAGATGCTGCATTAGTGCTACAATTTGCTTCTTCATGGTCACAAGATACACTGGGCACCTTTGCAAGGGCCTGTCTCCATTTTTCCCTCTTCTTGGCAGACACATGCATTTTCTGTCCCTCTTATTGTTTTTAAAATGAATTTTTATTTTATTGTCCTTAAGCTGAAAGTGTACATTGTCATTTCCACACTTTTTAAATTATTACATTCATCAATTTGTCTTTTTTCTCTTTTGCCTCATTTTCATTTCTAATAATCTACTCCAAAATTAAAGGGCATCAAGAAATATCACAATGCATACTTTGAAGATGCTTATACTCCAAAGCTTTTTCAGTAAGATATTTGATCTACTATAGTTTCAGTTGTACTAAATATTTTCAATGAAGGAAAATACTAAAATATGAATGCGAGGCTCATTTATACAATGGAGATTTTTCTCTAGCTATGAATTTTTCTCAGAAATGAAGACATTTACGCAGACTTTAACTATTTGTACATTGCATCACGGTAATGAAAGTGTGTTCCTTTACACAAAGCATTTTAATCTAGTAAAATGATTTCTATGTAAAATTAAAAAATATACATACCTTGTAATCGCTACACTGGTATATATTTAAATAAACTATGTGACAATGAATTGAAATATTTAGAAATCATTACAGTACATTGATGAAAATAACTAGCAAAAAGAATTTTAAATTTCACTCTTTTTAACTTGAACTGATAATGTATTTCCTTTTGAAGATGAAAACAAACAGAATGAGAGTGAGTGGTCATAAGCACAAAAGGTAGCTGAAAAATGAGAGGAGACAGTAAATGAATGAGGTATCAGTACATAGCAGAGAAACTTTGAGGACCACAGCAGGAAACAGTAAATAAATTCTCCCATGGAAACCCATGGCAGGTTCTGCACTCATCTGTATAAAAGGCGATGTGGTGTTACTGTGTCAAGTGGTGTTTAGTCATGGGGCTAATCACAACCAGTGACATGAGTTTTCTCAAAGGACTTCACTGTGCGTAACCTTACTATTCAGGAAGCTGCATAGCACACAAATCACAGCACACTAATACTTCTTTGTAATGATTCACTTGCTCTGAAAATCTTCTCAGGCTCCTACTTATATGTGCTTCAAAATAATGTCTATCATTATAGCTAACCATTCTGCAGTGAACCTTAATGTTTATCAGGCCACAACCGCAGACTGAGGTTCTCTTGAAGGGAACATACGTCTAATTATTAATGCATCACCAACTCAGCTTAGGAAAGGCATGTCCATAATGGAAGATGAAAAGCTATATTTACATAAATTCGGAGTTATGCAGGTGCTATAGAAACATAATCTTCTGCTATATAGAATCATTACTTCACAATAGTAAATGATGACAAGATTCATCTACCATAAACAGAAAAAACAGAAATGTTAGTGGATGTGTCTGGTTCACACTCTACTCCCACAGACATATCAATGTCGTCACTGTTACTTTAGGGTCTCGGCCAAAATAAATAAATAAAATGGCAAATTGATGTCAGACTCCCTTTGCATAAATGTTTTACTCGGGAACAAGAAACTGTGAAAATTAACAAGAGTGTGTCCTTCCTCTAATCTTGTGGTACCCTTCAACATGTGCTGACTAATTTACTATCTGAGCATGGTAGATGGTAAACATGATGCCCTTTAAAGCATTTTCATAAAGCCTGGTACAGAGGAACATTCAAGAAATATCAATCACATTAGAATCACTTTGTTTTTTTGACTGTGATTTTTGTATGTTTTTATTTTCTCAAATCCACTCAGAAAAGAGAATGGTGAGTTTTAATAACATTTTATGTACAAAATACAACCTTCCTACAGGTATGTATGACTACTTTCTTACCTTTCTACTATTCATTACTACTTTATACGAGTATCAATTTGTAATTTTTATCTATTCGAATAACAAAAATCCTTTAAATTCTCTATCTATCTATCTTTCTGTTCTTCTCTAAAAGTTAAATCATTTTTCCCCACATCTATTATTTGATCATTTTTTAGTGCATTTATAAATTACCTCACTGATTTCAGCAATATTCTTCATTTGTTTTGCAAGTGTACTTAGAACAGAAAATGGTGATTTTCTAATCTTGATCTGCTCTCACAAGGATATTACTGATAGAGCCATAATTTTAGCAGTAACAAAGGTTTGAAGGATATCTTCATCTTCAAGGTTGAGAATAAACATTGCCTCTAGCACACTTCTACTCAGTTTGCATTTTTCTTTCATTTAATCTGTTTTCAAAATTTTTCTTGTTTGCTTTTCCAACTGCCAAGTTTTCCTGTAACTACTTTTTCAGGAAAATAAAAGATAGTTTAGACTTAAGTAGGTAGATATTTCAGCATCACATGTCTACAAATTATGGAACTTAAGCAAGGCCAGTTCTTGACTGTTTGAGTTGAGGCTGTCATATTTCACTTCATCATCGCTTGTACTGATTAGTTTCTTTAATTGAGGTAAATGCCATCGTGAGCTGAGACAGGCCCTCTACAGCACACGTTCAGTGACTTGCAGTACAATTCAGGCCTGTGCCACTCTCACCTGCTTGTAGCTCCCAGAGCTGCAGCCGGTGATCTCAGCACATCATGGGCAGTCAGCTTTGCTTCCACACACTCAACTCAGCCTTTGACAGTCACTATTCTGCTTTTTTGTCTATGGATTCATCTGCTCTGCTTACCTCACATCTAGGACACGACAGGGTATATGACATTTTGTGGCTGCCTACTTTCACCTGTATAGAATTTTGCATATTCAACACATTGTAATGTATGTCAGTACTCTATTTTTCTTTGTGAATAACACTCCACTGGAAGAGTCTGTGCAATCGTTCTAACCATTTACCTATGGACTTAGGGATTCTTCCCGTTTTGGGTTACTGTAAATACTGTTTTCTTGGACATTCCTATACAAGTACGTGCCTGAGGCTTGCTTTGTCATTTGAAGGAGTCTACACTGGGAATGGAAATGTTGGCGCATATAGATTTCACTAAAAATTTTCCCATAAAAATGCCACTATTTTTGAGTCTCCCAAAGACAAATAGATGCACCCTGAGACTGTAATGGTAAGTGACAAAATTCAGTTAAAATGTCACATGGTTTCTCATACATGTGAAAATTTCAGTGTATGCACAAAGAGCAAAAGAAAGGTAAACGATAGGAAAGAGACAGACAGAGAAAATAGCACTACTTCACTTTTCCACTAAGAATGTACACAATTTAAATTTCTGTACCGTTTCCAACACATCTTCCCCATTTTTTTGTTTATAAACCTCACTAGTGCGTGTGAGCAGTGCATCGTCACGGCCATGATCTGCATCTCTCTGTTCCACCCTGTGCCTTCAGGGTCCTGGCCAAAAAGAAATAAATACTACTGCAAATTGATGCAAGACTCACTTTGCATAAACTTCTAACTATGGACCAAGCAGCTAAGAAAAACAACAAGCAATGTGTCCTGCCTCTAATCTCATGTTAGTCGTCCAGGCATAGCTAATAATTATCTGCTGAGCACTGCAGATGGTAAACTTGGTGTTCCTTCCCAGGCGGTATCTTGGGGCCTGGTACAGGAGAGCACTCAATGAATATCAGGGATATTACAATCATTTTGTTGCTATTTGATTGTGAGTTGGGTATGTTTTTATTTTTCAGAACAACTCAGAACAGAGAAAGGTAAATTTTAATAATATTTTATGTACTAAATACAATCTCGCTACAGTTATGTGCAGTCATGTCCTAATTTCTCCACTCCTTCTTCATGCTTTTGAAAAAGGAACTATTTGTGATTTTGATACATTCTTTGTTTTAAAAATCCATCAAACATTTTGGCTCTCCCTATCTCACTCTGTCTCTATCACAACCTTTTCACTCTCTATCTTGATGTTCTGCGTCATCCGTTAATTTAGTTTTTCCAAAGAGTCCTAATTTTTAATAATTTGTGATTGCAATTATAAGTTATTTCACTGATTCCATCAATATTTCTCATTTGTTTTGCAGCAACACTTCAAATGGAACATGGTGAGTTTCAACTCTTGATCCACTTTGATTAAAGATATTAACAAATTTAACCAAATTGTAAGCAGTACCAAAGGAGCAAAAGGTATCCTAATCTTAAAAGGTCATAGAGTAAAAAAAGTAGTGTCTCTAGTGCACTTTTACTACTAATTTTCCACTTTGCTTAAATTTGATATATATTGAAGATTTCTCCTGTTTAATTTCAACTGCCGTTTTTCTCTAATTATTGTTCAGAAAAATGAAAGATATTTTAAATAAAAGTACACTGTTTTATCTTGATAAACATAAAAAGTAAGAAATGTATCCAAACCGGTTCTCCATTCCATGGAAGAATCACTCATTTCAGTTTAAGATCACTTCTATTGACTAGCTATGTTTAATGAGGTAAAATTCAGCGAGAACGAAAATGCTCCTGTGAAGTGTACATTCCAGTGACACTTTGCACATTCACAGTGCTGTGCAGCCCTTCACATACCTCCCAGAGAGTCAGCATGCAAAACTGATTTCAGCTCCCGAGAAGCCACTTGTGGTTGCTCTGATAACTGCTGTTCTGCTCTCTGTCTCTATGAATTTACTTACTCTGGTTTCCTCATTACTCTGTCAGTCTGTGAACATCTAAGTCAGCCTTCTGTCATGTGTACACAATTTTCCAAATTCATCAAATTGTAACATACATCAATACTTGCCATCTTGTCATGGCAGAGTACCATTCAGCATTACATCTGAGTCTGAATACCAGTCAACCACCTATGTGAAAGCCTTTCTCCATTAACCTCATGATGGACAGTGGGATTTCACCAGCTTGTGACCCCTGTGCACCATCCCACACAAGAGCATGTTTGAGCACCCGCTTGAAATCTGAAGGAGCGTATGACTGGGAATGGAATTGCTAGGTCATTGTGTTTCTTTTTAAATATGTGCTGAAATGTATCCTGTTGAAATGACTCTATTTTTGAGCCATTTGAAGAAAAACAGATGCACCTTGAGTCCAAACTGTCCTGTGAAGTAAAACTGGCTCAGAAGCTTAAATATCATGTGATTTCTCTCATATAAGAATCTAACTATGTATACACAGTTCTAAATGAAAGGTAGACAATCAGAAAAATCGAGATAGGAAAAAAGCACTATTTCACTTTCCCAGTAAGGAAGTAGAAAATATGAACTTTTTTACATTCTTAGAAGACTTTTACATGTGTGGTTGTCCATCAGAGCCACCTTACTACCAGTGAGATGCTGTATTATTGCTTCGATTTGCCACTGTAAGGTCACAAGAGACACCAGGCACCTTTGCATGGGCCTGTCTCCATTTTTCCCTTTTCTTGGCAGAAACATACATCTTCTGTCCCTCTTTTTATTTGTAAAATGAACAGTTATTTTATTGTCATTAAGCTGAAAATGTACATTGTCATTTACACACTTTGCATATTTTCATTACATTCAATTTTTCAGTTTGTCTTTTATTGCTTTTTGCCTCATTTTCATTTCTAAACATCCACTCCAAAATCAAAGGACATCAAGAAATATCACATTGCATATTTTGCAGATGTTTATACTCCAAAGCTCTTTCAGTAAGATATTTGATCTACTTTTTCTTCAGTTTAACTAAATACTTTCGATGAATGAAAATACTAAAAATATGAATGAGAGGCCCATTTACACAATGGAGATTTTTTCCTAGCCAGGAATTTTTTACAGAAATGTCATCATTTTCGGAGAACATTAACTACTTGCACATTGCAACATGGTAATGGAAGAGGGTTCCTTTACACAGAGTACTTTGGATGTAGTAAAAAGATTTGTCAGTAAAATTAAAAAATATACACAACTTATATTCTCTCCACTAGTATATATTTAAATAAACTATGAGAAAATGAAATATTTAGAACTCATTGTAGTACATTAATGAAAATAACTAGCAAATAGAATTTTAATTTTTACTCTTTTTAAATTTATCTGATAATATGAGAATTTCATTTTGAAGATGACAACAAACAAAGAGAATGAGAATGAGTGGAAATAAGCAGAAAAGGAGATGAAAAATTAGAGGAGACAGTAAATGAATGACGTATCAGTACATAGCAGAGAAACTTTTGAGGACCATAAAAGGAAAGAGTAAATTCTCCGATAAAAAGCCATGGCAGGTTCTGCACTCATCTGTGTAAAAGGCGATGTGGTGTTACTGTGTCCAGTGGAGTTTAGTCATGGAGCCAATCACAACCAGCGTCATGAGTTTTCTCACAGGACTTCACTGGTGTGTAACCTTACTACTCAGGAAGCTGCATAGCTCACAAATCACAGCACACTAATACTTCTTTGTAATGATTCACTTGCTCTAAAAAACTTTAACAGGCTGCTACTTAGATGTGCTTCAAAATAATGTCTGTCATTATAGCTCATCATCCTACAGTGAAGCTTAATGTTTATCAAGCGACAACCAGAGAAGGAGGGTGTCAAATGCTGTTGAAGGGAACTTACCTCTAAATATTAATGCATCACCAACTCAGCTTTTGAGACAGATGTTCATAATGGAAGATGAAAGACTATTTTAAATAAAGCTGATAGTTACACAGAAGCTATAGAGACATAATATATAAAATCATCACTTGACAATAGTAGCTGATGACAAGGTTTATCTACCATTAACAGAAGAAACAGAAATATTAGTGGATGTGTCTGGTTCACTCTTTACTCCCACAGACATATCGATGTCGTCACTGTTCCTTCAGGGTCTCGACCAAAATAAATAAATAAAATGGCAAATTGATGTCAGACTCCGTTTGCATACATTTTTAACTATGGAACAAGAAAGTAAGAAAAATAACCAAGACATGTGTTCTTCCTCTAATCTCATGGTACTGTTCCACATGTGCTTACTAATTTAGTTTCTGAGCATGGTAGATTGTAAACATGATGCGCTTTAAAGTGTTTCATAAAGCCTGGCGCAGAGGAGAATTCAAGAAATATCAGTGACCTTAGAATCACTTTGTTTGTTTGATTGTAAATTTTGTATGTCTTTATTTTCTCAGAGGAACTCAGCAGACAAAATGGTGAGTTTGAATAACATTTAATGTACAAAATACAATCTTCCTACTGTTCTGTGTCACTACTTCCTTATCTTTCTGCTTTTTGTTACTACTTTATACAAGTATCAATTTTTGATTTTTATCTATTCTAATAACAAAAATCGTTTAAATATTCTATCTATCTGTCCTTCAGTTCTTCTAAAAGTTAATTCACTTTTCCCCACATCTATTATTTTATCACTTTTGATATGCATTTATAAATTTCTTCACTGATTTCAGCAATATTCTTCATTTGTTTTGCAGGTGAATTTAGAATGGAAAATGGTGAGTTTCTCATATTTATCTGCGCTCACAAGTATATTACCGATACAGCCATATTTTTAGCAGTTAAGAAAGAGGTAAAGGATAACTTCATCTTCAAGATTTAGAATAAAGAAAACATTGCCTCTAGCACACTTCTAGTACTCAGTTTGCATTTTTCTTTCATTTAATCTGTTTCAAAATTTTTCCTGTTTGCTTTTTCAACTGCCAAGTTTTTCTGTACCTACTTGTTTGGGAAATTAAAAGATATTTTAAACTTATAAAGCTAGATATTTCACCATCACATGTGTACAGATTACATAACTAAAGATAGGCCATTTCTTGACTGTCTGATTTGACACTGTATTATTTCATTTCATGATGGCTTGTACTGATCAGGTGCTTTAATTGAACTAAGTCGTGATGAGCTGAGACAGCCCCACTACAGCGCCCATTCAGTGACTTCCTGTACACGCCAGGGCTGTGCCACTCTCAGCTGCTTGTAGCTCCCAGTGCTGCAGCCGGTGCACTCAGGGCACCATGAGCAGTCAGCTCTGCGTCCACACACTCAGCCTTTGATTGTCCCTGTTCTGCTTTTTATCTATTTATTCATCTACTCTGCTTATCTCATATCTACAACACTACAGGGCATGTGACATTTTGTGGCTGCCCAGTTTCAAGTGTATATACTTTTCCACATGTTGTATTGTGTGTCAGTACTTTAGTTTTCTTTGTGACTAACACTCCACTCGATGACTATGCACAGTCTTTATTAATTATTAAACTATGGACTTAGGCATTCTATCAGATTTCAGTTACTGGGAATACTCTTTTCATGTACATTGCTGTATAAGTGAACCTAAAGCAGTCCTTCCACCTCTTCCTTCCAAGTAGTAGCTGATGAAAAGGTTTATCTACCACAAACAGGAAAAACAGAAATATTACTGGATGTGTCTGGTTCACTCTTTACTCCCACAGACATATCGATGTCATCACTGTTCCTTCAGGGTCTCGACCAAAACAATAAAATGGTAAATTGATGTCAGACTCCATTTGCATATATTTTTAACTATGGAACAAGAAAGTAAGAAAAATAACAAGACGTGTGTTCTTCCTATAATCTCATGGTACTGTTCCACATGTGCTTACTAATTTAGTTTCTGAGCATGGTAGATTGTAAACATGATGCCCTTTAAAGCATTTTCATAAAGCCTGGTACAGAGGAACATTGAAGAAATATCAATCACATTAGAATCACTTTGTTTTTTTGACTGTGATTTTTTGTTTTTATTTTCTCAAATCCACTCAGAAAAAAGAATGGTGAGTTTTAATAACATTTTATGTACAAAATACAACCTTCCTACAGGTGTGTATGACTACTTTCTTATCTTTCTACTATTCATTATTACTTTATACGAGTATGAATTTATAATTTTTATCTATTCTAATAACAAAAATCCTTTACATTCTCTATCTATCTATCTTTCTGTTCTTCTCTAAAAGGTAATTCACTTTTCCCCACATCTATTATTTGATCATTTTTGATATGCATTTATAAATTTCTTCACTAATTTCAGCAATATTCTTCATGTGTTTGGAAGTGAACTTAGAATGGAAAACAGTGAGTTTCTAATACTGATCTACTCTCACAGCCACATTTTTGGCAGTAAGAAAGAGGTAAAGGATAACTTCATGTTCAAGGTTTAGAATAAAGAAAACATTGCCTCTAGCACACTTCTAGTACTCAGTTTGCATTTTTCTTTCATTTAATCTGTTTTCAAAATTTTTCCTGTTTGCTTTTTCACTGCCGTGTTTTTCTGTACCTACTTGTTCAGAAAACTAAAAGATATTTTAGACTTAAATAGGTAGATATTTCACCATCACATATTCACAAATTATGGGGATTAAGAAAGGCCAGATCTTGACTGTCTGTGTTGATGCTGTCTTATTTCATTTCATGATTGCTTGCACTGATTAGTTGCTTGAATTGAAGTAAAAGCCATGGTGAGCTGAAACAGCCCTTCTACAGCACACATTCAGTGACTTCCAGTAAATGCCAGGGCTGCGCCACTCTCATCTGCTTGTAGCTCCCAGCACTGCAGCTGGTGCACTCAGGGCACCATGAGCAGTCAGCTCTGCTTCCCCACACTCAGCCTTTGAGAATCCCTGTCTGCTTTTTCTGTATTGATTTATCTGCTCTGCTTACCTCATATCTACAATGCTACAGGGTATGTGACATTTTGTGGCTGCCTACTTTCACCTGTATAGACTTTTCCACATTCGACAAGTTGTAATGTGAGTCAGTGCTTTATTTTTCTTTGTGACTAACACTCCACTGGATGACTATGCACACTCTTTATTAATCATTAAACTATGGACTTAGGGATTCTTCCAGATTTGGGCTTTGAATACTGTTTTCATGGACATTGCTGTACAAGTAGACCTAAGGCAGTCCTTTCACCTCTGCATTCCAAACGGTGAAATTACAGGCTTGTGCCAACTCACCAATCTATCAATGATTTATACTATATTTTATTCTCCTTTTGTTTCCTTGTAATTCTTCTATATTTATTTCACAGATCAATTTAAGAAAAAGGATAATAAACTTTAATATCATTTTATGTACAAAATGTGATCTTCTTATCTTTATTTATACCTACTTGATTTTTGCATTCCTCCTTTCTCCTTATGACAAATATCTCTGCAATTTTTTTGGTTACTCACTAATTAAAATTCAATCCTGTTCTCCTCCTCCTCCTCTGCCATCACCACTTCTTCCTTCCATTTTTCTTCTCTTTTTTTCCTTGTCTTCTCCAAACAGTTAATTAACCTTTTACATGCACCTTTTCATTTCTGTATTGCACTACATTTTAGCTGTGTCCAGGACATTAAAAATAACTCCTTCTTTAGGCTCTCAGATGAATGAGCTTTTGGTAAGAGATTGAAACTCATGGCACTTCCCATGCCCAGAACTCATTCTGAGAGTAATTTAAGAACTGTCCTTGTGTGATTCTGTGGGGAGAAGGCCACCCTCTCTGCCTGGGGGCTGAAACCACAGCCCCTGCTCCCTGAGTGAAGGACCATGGCGCAAGGTTTCAGTCTCCACTTTAGAGTTTAACAGACCTGCACACCAGTGCTCTCCTCTCCATTCTACAGGGGGAGGAGCAACACCGCACATGATCTAGGTAGCACTCAACTGAGTAGTTGGCTTAATGTCTTAGCAAATGCCTAATTTATGGAAAACAATGAAAAACTGTAACTAGAGTTGCACAGGTGGGATATGACAGGGCAACACCATAAATATCAGTGTTCTAATTTAAGGTAAAAAAAATACTTCATGGGAGAATTTGATCATTCACTCTTTGGATTTCAGCTGGAAAATTATCCCTATGTAGCTGTGCTATAGTTTTTCTTTCCTTCTCTTTGTTCAATAAGTGTTCTAAGTAAAAACAGTGATTTAAATATCCATACTAAACTAACCCATGTAATTATACATAATCCTTCCAAACAAGAATTTTCCTTATTCTGTGATGTTAAAACTGACTTTTTACATTTATTTTTCAGAAAAGCTGCAAAAGGAAATTGGTAATTGTATTCTTCCAATTAAACCATTTCTAAATTTCTCCCATCTCTGTAGGAATCCCCTGCTTCACTTCATCCTTCACCTTTATGCTTACCGAAATGCCATTTAAAATTCCAATTTGCCACCCTGTAATATATAAATGGTTAGAAATAAGGTGTCTACTTACCTTGATTAACTCTTGTGATTCTGCTTGATTGCTTACCCATAAAAAAGTTTCAGAAAGGAGCATGACTTGGCTGGTATGACTCTAACAATGACTGTGATGAGCTCCTCAGAAGAATGCATGTCTCTTTTCTCTAGCTCTGTCTCTTTAAGAGGCTCAGACTTATGTGCTCATCTCCTTTCAGATGACAGGAAAGCTCAGTTCGAGAATGGTAAGTAGCTCAGAAGTTCTCGCACTGTTTAAGTGCCATGAATAATAAAACACCTTACCCTCTCCAAACCTGATTTTGCAGAAAATCAGGCCTAATATAATATTGCCTATATTCACTCTGTTGGAGTAAAGAATATTTAATCTATTTTTTCTAATTGCAATATTTTAATGGAAAAGTATTTTTCTTTCATATTTTGTAAGTTTTTCTTCCTTTCTATGCCTATTACCACTGATTTCTTTGTTTAAATTTTTATCTCAATCTCTGTTCTCTTCCTGTTATTCTTCCTAATTGCTGGCTTTTCAGTTTTATGTCTCCCTCTGTCCCTCCCTTCCTGCTGTTTTTTCCATCTTTTTCTTCTAACATTTCTTTTTATCTTCTTTCCATGTATTTTTCCATTCTCCCTCCCTTCCATCATTTCTCAAACTATCCATGCTGCTTTTCATGTGCACTCATTTTTCTTACTTTCCTAGTTTTTAGCTTAAATTTCTATAGATCCTCATATGCCTATCAATACTTACTTTTCTTTCACAAAAAGGACATTTTTAAGTTGAGAAAAGAAGTCATTTTGAGGAACAATAAGTACATACAGATAAAAACAGAGGTGAATACTTAAAGAACACGAAAGATTGAAAAAAAAGGACCAACACTCATTCATGATAAAATCCCTACAGAAAATCTGAATTAATGGTCTTTATCTCAATCTGATAAAAACATCTAATACAAACCAACAGTAAACAACATACTACATGGACAAGAACAGATAGCTTCTACTGTAAAATCAGGAACAAGACATGGATGTCCACTATCACCACTCCTATTCAATATGGTTCTGGAAGCAGAATAAGAAAGAGAATAAGAGAGAAATAAAAGGAATAAGGTTTGGAAAGAAAACATTAAATTGTCATTTTTTGTAGATGGAATGATACTCTACATAGAAGATTCCAAACTCTCCACCAAAATTTCTAGATTTAATAACTAAATTTAATAGTATAGCTAAATACAAAGTCAACACTCAACAATCAATAGCATTTCATTACAAAAACAGCAAACCCACTAAGAGAGAAACTAGGCAACTTGCACACTTAAGAAAAGCATCCAAAACAATGAAACATTTGGGAATTAATGTATACATTGAAAATTATGAAAAATGAAATACTTAGGAATCTATCAAAGGAAAGAAATGATCTATACCTTAAAGAATTATAGTTCTCTGAAAAAAAGAGGTTGAAGAGGATATCAGAAAGTAGAAAGATATCCCTTGCTCATGGATACAAAGAACCAATATAATGAAAATGGCTGCACTCCCAAAACTGTTATAAAGATTTAATACAATCACAATCAAAACACCACTACCTATATCTCACAGAACTAGGAAAAACTTTCCTAAAATTCACTTGGAATCAGAAAACACCTAGAATAGCAGAACAAATTCAGGGAAACAAAGGCAAGGCCAGAGGCATTGCAACTCATGACTTGAAATTATACTATAAAACTACTGTGATAAAATCAGCATGGTACTGGCAAAAAAACAGACCTGAGGTTCAGAGTAAAGATTAGAACATGTAGACACAACTACACACACACTTAGCTGCCTTATCTTTGACTAAGGAAGCAAACATGTTCACTGGAAGAAACAGAGCCTGTTTAATAAGTGGTGCCTGCAAAACTGACTCTCTACATGCCAAACGTTAAAACTAGACCCATGTCTATCACCATGCACCAAACTAAATTCAAAATGGATCAAAGACTCTGAATATTAAAACAAAAACACTAAATATACTGAAGAGCAAGTATTAAAGGCATTTAAGTATTAAGATTTAAGAGAAAGCTTAAAGACATAAGTATAAGCAGAGAGTTCATGAACAAAACCCAAACTGCACAGGAAACACTTCAAAGTATAAACAACTGTGATCTCATCTCCTTAAAAAGATTTTGTGTATCAAAAGAAATCATCAACAGAATGAAAAGACAATCCAAAGAATGGGGGAAAATTTAGCCAATTGTCCCTCAGACAATGGATTACAATCTAGAACATATAAAGAACTGAAAAAAATATGACCTCCAACCAATTTTAAAAACTAATCCAAAACTGGGCATCTGAGACAAATATACATTTCTCAGGTGAAGAAATACCAATAACAAATAAATACATGAAAAAATATTGAACACCATTGGTCATTCAAGAGATGCAAATTAAAGCAACACTGAGATTCCGTCTCACCTCAGAAAGAAGAACTATTATCAAGAAATCAAGCAATAACAAATGCTGGTGGGATTGTGGGGCAAAAAGAATTCTTCTCCACTGTGGTGGGAGTATAAACCAGTGCAACCACTGTGGAAATCACTGTGAAGATTCCTCAAAAAACTAGGATTGGAGGTCCCATTCAACACATTCCCCTTCTGTGTATCTTCTCAGGAGAATTAAAAAATGTACCACAACAATATATGTGCACCCATTTTTATAACAGCACAATTTGTAATATCCAACTTTTCGAAACCGAAATACTCACCAACCAAGAAAAAGATGAAAAAATGTGGTCTTTTTATACAATAGAGTACTACTCAGCCATAAAGAAGGATAAACTAGAGACTTTTATAGATTAAAGGATGCAATTTGAGACCATACTTGTAAGTGAAATCAGACTCACGTGTAAACATCATATTTTCTCCCTGGTTTGACAGGCTAGAAGAGGAATAAGGTCTAAATAGTTATTGTAAAATGGGAAGAAATTGTTCTCAAAGAAATAGGAACTAGGATGGGAGAAAGAAGAAAGGAAGGAAGGGAAAAGGGAAAATGTAAGTCAGTACTATTAGTGTCTCTTAGTTCACTGAAAATGAAGATTTGTGTTAGTATCATTTGGAGAATTTTTATGCCCATATCTTGTACTCTGAGTAACTACTTTAAAGATAAAAATACTTAATGCATCAACTATTGTTATTTTCCTATTTTTTGATATGAAATTTTTGTTTTACTTTTTTACATAAAGTAAAATTTTAAAAAGAAGATTAATGATATTTTACCATTTTTCACACTTGCAGGCTGGCAGCAATCATTTTTGTTCCCTGGTGAGTGACTCTGATAATTATCCTGGGTCCAAAGACACATAATTAAGCTCCTGAATTATGTAAGACAGCGTACTACCAACCACAGAGACAGGTATAGAGTACTTACCTTCTGTTCCACGAAAACCTTAGCAAGTATGATAACTTTTTAAATATTTGGGGGATTTTTCTCACCTGTGCCTCATAAGACACTCAAAAGTTAACAATTTTGTTCAGTCCATTCAATCTACCTTCTCTATACATCCAACAGGAATTTACTTTTATTCCCTACTTAAAGGTATGATTGCCACCATACCTTTCTTATTTCAGTGTTAGTTCTTTAACACTATTTATGATTTCTGCTTTGAGGTCTTTGTTTGTTAACCCCAACTCTGAGTTCCCTCACAAACAGCTACTACTGATGCTTCTCTTCCTGGGTATTTTTCATGCTTTCCTGTCCTGTGCATGCCTTATACTGTGTGGTTGTCAATTAGCTAATAAATACTATAGATAATGTTACAGGAAGTCTAGATTCAAATTTTGTTCCTCCACTTGCTGTTGCTATTGATGCTTTTAGTTTGTTTCATGACTTTCCAAGTCTAAATTCACAGTCTGTCCCTCCCTTAATGTGGAGCTGCAGTCTCTACTCTGTGACCTTTTTCAACTGGCCTTCTAAAACTCATCCCTGGGTTAGCAAGTGGTGAGAATAAAAGATTGTGGTTCAGCACTTTTGTCCACTATGATTTCATCCCTGGTTTAGGAAACTGTGTTTTTTGGGACATTCATTCAAACTTCAGGCTGTTATTTAGAATGCCTCACACTCCACTATTTACATACTCAGTCTCATATTCCGCAAGGGATTGTTAAATAGACATAAACTTCTTCTCATACTGAATATACATGCAAACGTGAGCATTTGGAGCCTTCCAGAGGACTACTCATATATCAAAGCTCACCAAGGTGCACTGTGATGGTTCCATAGAACCCTGGATTACTGGCCAGTCATTTGCCTGGCCCTGTACAAAACAGGACAGTAGCTAGAAAGAGGACCTGCCTCGATTGTTTGAAATTATTCCTAGATGGCCCCGTTCTTGTGCTATTGCTTTTGACACATTCCTGGGGCATCTGTTTTTCAGTGTTCTGGCTATAACCCAGTGTAAGCCCATTAGCATCTACACTAATGGAACTCATGGTTTGTAATCACCTGGTAGAATTAACACCACTCAAAGGGCCTATAGGAAGAGCTGCCATCAAAAGTAGCAAGATATTCTGTGAAGGGTTATAGTTTTTCCTATATAAGTGCTTCTGAGTTTGCTGTGTGCCTTTGCAAATTTCCAGAACAATGACACACTCATTTTTTTAATAAATAATTTTTAGTTTTGGAGGAGATTTGCCAAGCTAACTCACTTGGATCAAGATTTTGTAGGTATCTCACACATTTCCTTCTAGTTAGTTCCATGTGTGACACTCAAAGTACAGTAGACAAATTTGTCTCACTGATTTATATTCCTGCATACCGCTCTTTATGGCTGTTCTTTTATGACTTCTATTTGAAATAACTGTGAAGTCTATCATCTTAATTTGTTTTATTCTCTAAGTTACTATATTCATTAAGGAAATTACAGCATTCTTTACTGCATTGTTAATCTTTCTCATTGTCATTGATATACAAATCAATTATGGTTGGCATAAATTTTCTACAAAGGACCAGATAATGCATACCTTAAGGCTTATGTGCTGCACTGTCCATGTCACAACTGTTCAGTTCCGTCCTCGTAGCATGAAAACAGCCATGGTCACAATGTGAATGAATGGTTTTGACTGTGTTCTAGTAACATGGTGTTTACAAAAACATGTTGGGCTGATGTTGGCTCCTTGTTCATAGTATAACTCCTTAAAATTCAACTTTTCTAAAGCCTGAAAATCATTCCATTTGAGAGGTGCAGCCTTTATTTTATATCTTTAACAGGTATATAATTTTGTCATAAGTAATATACTTTGAGTGGTGTACCATTAATACCTACAGTGAATGCTGTCATTCCACTTGCTAATGCTTCCCCATGCAGAGCTTCTAAGCTGCTTGCACAATCACTGCCTGTGATGAGCCATGACAGGATTCCCTCAAGTCTCTTTTTAGATCAACAATGTGACATTGCCACATGATCTGCTTTCCAAATAATGTACAGAGTTTTAACCAAATTTCCATGCTGCCTGTCAGGGACGATTGTATATGCAGACAGATTCTCTGCTTTTCTACTCCTGTTGCCTAAACTCAACCAAGACTACAAATTGGAAGCAATCAATACAGGACTTCATTGTAAGCCTGCATATCTAAATTGTGTAACATTATTCATTATGATTTTTGTAAAACAGGAACTGCCCTTCCTCAGTAAGGAGTTAAGCACAGTTGTCAGGCTCTATTGTATAGTATTCTTCGCTCATGCAAATTATGATCTGAATATACCTGGTTGGGCATCTCTCCTGGAAACTCTCTTCAGAATTGTGCTTTTAATAAAATAGGAGTCATCAGCTGGGGATGTAGCTCAGCGGCAAAGTACTGGCCTGGCAAGCACAAGGTCGTGAGTTTGATCCCAGGTACCAAAAATTTTTTAAATACTAGAAGTCATGAATTTTCTACTCTTCTATACTCTCCACTTTATAGTCTAACCTGCCAAAGGGTAATAAACTGCTCTAATAATAGCAAAAATGAAAAATTTACCTGAAGTACTTTACTCTGAAGTGTAGGGATGGTACGGTGACTGCTGTGCTTAGTTCATTGGCCACAGTTCAGATACATTCTTCCACCTAAAGAGAATAGGATGCTGATGGAGAACATGTGGTTTTCTTGTTTCTAAAGAAGAGAATAACTGTATCCTACCAGACACCTCAAGTCTACATCATAGGAGGTGTGAATTAGACCTATTAATTTCTATAGGCCTATTTAATGATGAAGAGTAGAAAACTTATTTTAAACAAAAGATACAGAATAAGAGACATTACCAAGAAAAATAATGAAAGGCAAATATTAAAAAGAAAAACATTATATCTTGTGTCCAGAAATTCAAAAGCAAGTTCTAATAATATAATTTATGCTCTTTTCAGACTGGAGGAAAAAATACTACCAACCTGGTGAGTCTGACCACTCAAGAGTGACTACACTCCTCAGGCTCTGCACAGTCTCGGGGGAGCTCTAAGTGGGGAGACAGATGACAGAAGGCTTGGGACAGTATATTCTCCTCACTGCTCCCAGACATCTCAGGCTTCAAAGCCATCCTAAGTAGAAAATCACTAAAGTCTTCTCAGACATTAAAAGGTTGGTCTCCTTTGCAGTGACTGTGACTCTGGACCCGGACACAGCCCATCCTGCCCTCATCTTGTCTGAAGAAAGACGACGAGTAGCCATGGGGGAGAAATGTCTAGATCTTCCTAAGAGCCAGCTGAGATTTGAATCCCTTCCCTGCGTGCTGGGTCAACAGTCCTTCAGCTCAGAGAGGCACTTCTGGGAGGTGAAGGTCGACAGCAGTACAGCCTGGGACCTGGGAATCTGTCGGAGTAACGTGATGTGTACAGAGAGGACTTACATAAAACCTGAGGACGGTTTCTGGGCCATTAGGTTTTATAACGATGAGTACTGGGCACTCACCTCTCCAGAGACTCAACTCACTGTAAAACAGCCCCCTCGCATGGTCTGCATTTTCTTAGACTACGAGGATAGATGTGTCTCCTTCTATAACATGACAGATAACAGCCACATCCACACCTTTTCTCAAGGTGATTTTTATGGATCCCTGAAACCTTTCTTCAGGCTTTGGTCCAAAGATTCAGGACATCTGGACATCTGTCCACTCCCTAAGGAGCCGGAAGTGGCACAGCTTGATGACAACCCTAACTCTCCTCCCACTGACATTGTGCACACATAATATCCCCTAAAGATTAGTGAGGGCTGAAGAATTGGTCATGGCATGGCTCTCCTATACTAGAGCACATTGTTTTTCTCTGTCTTTTCCACTGTTCTTCAAATCATCTAATTCCCTCATTAATTATTTTTAAATAGTATGTGGCAGTATAAGGAAATATGTTGCTTATGCTCTGATAAAGGATATGTATATGCATGTAAATGAACACAAGCACATTCACTTATTATAACTCAACTGATACTACGTTTTCAGAGAAATATGCATTGCCTCTCCAGTGTCAATTTCTTGATATTTTACAAAATAATAAAATAAATTAATTTTTATTGTACACTTTAAGTTTCGTGCTCTGTTGATTTGTTTTGTTTTGTTTTTGATTTTGATATTTTGGTACCAGAGATCACACTACCTAATGCTTGCCAGGCAGGTGCTTATGCACCTGAGCTAAATCCCCAACTGTGCTCTGTTTTTAAAACAACACACATAAAAATGAAATTAGGATGCTTTAAGTAAGTAAATGGCTGAAGTGTTCTCAGTTGTCCAACATAGTATAACATTCAAGGGAAAACAAATGTTTGCAAAATGATGCTTCAGATTCCTGCCTGTGAAATTAACCTATATTTTAATCTTTCATTGTTACCCTCTTCTTTACCTTCTGAGATATTCTTTCCTGCATGTTTTAACCACCATTTATTTTACGGGGGTATTTTATTAATACATATGTGACAATACTGTATTTAACACCCAGCCTATGACTTTAATGAGTGTTTAGATTCCTATACCCACTATGCACAAGATATGTAACAGTTTTGTTACACAAATAAAATTTGTCAAGCAATCTCTTGGCAAACAGAGTCTCACACAAACCTAATATGGATACAATTGATCAAGTTTATTCTCCCATTCTTTTGCATTTCCTGTGATATCCTTTAAGTTTTCATTGAGAGAGAAATTAGGGCAACAATATCCTTCACATCCAAAAAAACGGAATACCTAGGAATCAACCTAACAAGAGATGCAAAAGACATCTACATTGAAAACTATAGTACTCTGAAAAAGGAAATTTGAACAGGGTATCAGAAAGTGGAAAGATATCCCTTGCTCTTGAGTAGAAAAAATCAAAATATTGAAAATGGCCATATTTTCAAAACTGCTATAAAGGTTTAATGCAATTCAATTTAGAATTCCAATAACAATTCCATTTGGAATTTCAATAACATATCTCACAGAATTATAGAAAACATTCCTAAAATTCATTTGGAACCAGAAAAGACCTAGAAAAGCAAAAGCAGTCCTGGGCAACAAATGCAAGGCAGGGAGCATCACAATCCCTGACTTGAAATTATATTACAAAGATACTGTGATAAGTGTGCTATAGGCCAACAAACAGACCCAAAGATGAATGCAACAGACTGAAAGATGTAGAAACAACTCCAGACAAACTAAGCTACCTTATCTTTGACAAATGTGCCAAATGCATTCATTGGGAGAAAGATGGCTTCTTTCATAAATGGTGGAAAACTGTGAAAGATTAAAATTTGAGCCATAGCTTTCACCATGCACTAAACTAAATTTGAAATGGATCAAAGATCTTAATATTAAACCAGAAACATTAAATCTGCTGGAAGAAAGAGTAGGTAAAACTTTTGAAGGCATTAATGTAGGCAAAGACTTTGTGAATAAAATCCCGATCACACAGGAACTGCCACAAATAATCAACAAATTGGATCTCACCCTACTAAAAAGCTTTTGCACAAGAGAAACCACCAACAAAGTGAAGAGAAAACACAATGTAGCAAAAAATATTTACCAGCTGTTCCTCAGCAAAGGAGTACTACAGGGAACATGTGAAGAACTCAAAAAATATGAACTCCCAAATTTAAAGACCCAGTCCAAAAATGGGCATCTAAGATGCCTACACACTTCTCAGATAAAGAGATACAAAATCAAATAAATATATGAAAAAATGTTCAAAATCACTGGACATTAAAGAGAATGCAAATTAAAACACTGAGATTCCATCTCACCCCGGAAAGAGTGGCACTATCAAGAAATGAACCAGTAATAAATGCTGGTGAGGCTGTGGAGAAAAAGGAACCCTTCTCCACTGTTGGTGGTAGTGTAGCCCGGGGCAACTACTGTGGAAATCAGTGTGGAGATTCCTCAAAAAGCTAGGATTCAAAGTGCCATTTGACCCACTGTTCCCCTTCTGCATGGCTTCCCAGAAGAATTAAAAGCATCATATTACAGCGATATGCTTATAGCAGTACAATTTGCAATAGCTAAATCTTGGAAACAACCCAAATGCTCATTAGCTGACGAATGGATAAAAAGATGTGGTATCTTTAGTGGGAGAAGAGAACAAAAAGTCAACAAGAAGGAAGCCCTCCCTGCAAGTCGGCACAATGCACAGGCCACTGTGGGGAGGACAAGATGCCAGCTTTTCCCACTACTCTACTTTCTGTCTCTCTAAATTTAGCTCCTCTGGTTGCCTCACATCTGTGACACTGTATGATAGTAACATTTTGGGGCTGCCTGTTTTCAACTGTATAAGGTTTTCAACACTCACTGTGTTGTAATGTGTATCAGGACTTTATGTCTCTTCGTGGCTAAGTAATACTCCACCAGATGAGTACACACAATTGTATTTAACCCTATACCTACTGATGGACATCAGGGGTTTTCCGGTCTTGGACTATTGTGAATACTGCTCCCATGGGCATTCCTGTACAAGTATGACTTTGAGTGCCTGTGCTTACATTGGGATGTTAACTAGAAACAGAGTTGTTGGGTTACATAGCATCCTATACAATGCTTTTCTGAGGATCTGCTAAACTATTTCCAGTGAAAGTGGCACTATTCCATGTTCCCACGAGCAATGTATTAAAATTTAAATTTTTACAATCTTTCCAACACTTTTCGCCTTTTTTCACTTACTAGCACCATACTAGTGCTTCTGTAGTGCTGTACCACTACGGGTTTCATTTGCATCTTCTTAGTCACTAGAGAAATCAGGCACCTCTTCATGGGCTTGATTCCATTTGCTTGCCTTCTTTGAGGAAATGACTCTTTAAATCCTTTTTGGTTTTAGAGTGAGTTGTTTCATTTTGTAGTTAAGTTGCAAGACTTCGCTGTCTTTCGTGCACATTTTTCAATTCTTATGTTAGGAAAAACCTACAGTCCACCTTTCCCCAAGGCTCCTTTGATGGGTTCTTGAGGCCTCTTTCCAGGCTCTGGTCCAGCTGATGATCTGTTCCAGGGCCAGGGTGCATGAAGCCCATACTGTGCTTTCACCTTGGTCCTATAAAAATAATACACCCAGTGGATTCATGAGGATGGAATCATCCAATCATCTCTCTTTTTCCTACCATCTGTCTTTCATTTTGCTCTTTATTTATATTTTGTTTTCCATATAAGAGAATGCATGCAGTACGTAATCTTGTATGCCTCATTTATTTCACTTAACATTATGGCCCTGAAACCCATTCATTTTCCTACAAATACCTTATAGTTACCTTTTCTATGGGCTTTACCCTACTGAAAAGGGAGGGGACCAAGAGGTAGACAGATGTAGTAAGGGAAGAGAATGTGTTATGAACATGTATCAATGCCCCTCAGTGAATGTAGTCTTTTTCTACTGCACACATGTACACATTTAACAATAAAATAGACAATTGATACCACATAAAAAAAGAAATATCTAGTGATGACAGAATCTTCCTATACTAGAGCAAATTCTTTTTCTTATCCTCTTCTACTGTTCTTCCTGTCATTTAACATTCCTCACAAACTGTCTCTCCAAAGCATGGTACAGTGTATAGAAGTATATTTTATCTGCAGTATGACTAGTAAGTATTTATAAACCCATGTAAAACACACACATACACATTCATTTGACTGAATTATCATTATGGAATTAGACAAAGAAATGTGAATTATTTATCCTGTTAATTTCTTGACCATCTCGTAAAAATAGTAATGAGATTCTCAAATTAGGCTTTTTAAACTTTGTTTTGTGTTATGTTTTTTAAAAGGTATACATAAAATATAATCATTCATGCCTTAATAAATACCTGAAGTTTTTCAGCTATCCAATCCACCATGACATTCATGGAAAAACAAATGTTTACACGTTTAGCCTTCAGTTCCTCTGCTCAAACTTCAGCTAAATTATATCCTTCTGTTTTTACCCTCTTAATTCACTTCTGACACATTTACTCTTTCCTGTACTTTCTTGCCACTATTTACATACGTGGAAGAAATTTTCTTAATACATATGTGGTAAATCTCACTATTTTTAGTGCAGTTCTGTGTGTTTTAACTCATATATAGACTCATACAGCCACTGCTACATGCAAGATACATGACAGCTAGATTTTCTAACTAAACTTTCTCATATTGTCCCTTTGTAGTCAAACTTTCTCTCCAGACCTAACTTGGATACAATTGAGCAAGTTTCTTTCCTTACATTTTGTAATTTCCAGGATGTTTTATAAAGTTTACTTATGTTTATGATCAGGATGGCACAACCCACTCCCTCACCAAGCCTCATGCAATCATGGATGCAGCTGAATCTAGCATTTGTGATTGGTTCATTGTCTGGCACTCAGATTGATGGTGTGAATGCTCCACCTACCCAGGGGTGGAATAAGCATACAGTGTAATAGAGGGAAAAGGTGTGGATCTCTCTCTTGCCAGCTTGGCACTGTGCTGTTTGGGTTGGCTGCTTCAGCCATTGCCATCCTGCCTTGGAGCCAACTGAATATGGTCTGAAACCTCCAAGAACTCTAAGAAAGAAACCTTCACTTCCCTAATTTGGGGCATCAGGTATTCTATCTCAGCAACAAGAGAAAATTAACTAAGGCAACATACAATATATATTATTTTGAGAGCAGTTTTTCCATTCAAAATAAGAATTTTTATAATCATCTATGTCTACGTAGTTATAACTTACACTAAATTGTAAGGGAGTAGTGTTCCACCAAACTACTGTTCCATCATGTGTTCACTCATTCACTGGAGAAAATTTATGTTTCCAGTTTCAGGTGGTTATGAATAAAGCAATTATAAATATCCATGTAAACATTTGTGCACCAACAACAGTTTCACTTTCCTAAGCTAAATACCTAAGAGTAGAGATACCTGGTCATATTGTAGGAGTAGGTTTAACATTATGAGAATCTTCCAGACTGTTCCAGAACAGCTATATCAATGTTCATTCCCTTTACAAATGTGTAAGAGTACTGACTTCTTCACATATTCACCGGAACTTAATACTGTCAGCATTGCTCTTTGTTTTTGCTTTTCACTTATTGTTTCAATCTTATCCATTATTATTTTTCCTAAGAAATAAGCATATAACTTTTCTGAGATGAGGACTCATCAGCTGGGTGCAAGTTGGAAACAGTTTTGTAATTCAGGTTATGAACTTACAGCTACAGACCCAAAGAATGTACCCACTTTAAGTGTAAGGCTAAAAAACTTTTACTATGATGGCTTCCATAAAAACACTCATCTCATTCAAAGTATGTACCTGCCTTGACTCAAAAAGTTCAATCATGCCCTCTGAGTAGGTCACAACCTCTTTGAAGCAGGTGGCCGATAGATCCCCTTCTATCACTATTGATAATTTCATCAATTTGAAAGTTTAATATTGGGGCTGGGGGTTTAGCTTAGCAATGTAAGTGCTTGCCTTGCAAGCACAAAGTTCTGAGTTCAACCCTGATACTAAAAAATAAAATAAAATAAAATAAAAATAAAGTTTAATACTAACTGAAGCACTCTTTTAAAATTGTGCTGCACACGTTTAATCTTTACAATGATATATGTAGTGAAATGATTAGTATAATCACACAAATTAACATATTCATCTAGTCACACACTCACCATTTTTTGTAGCTAGGAGAACACATGAAATTTATTGTTAGTAAATTTCCACAATGCAATGATATTATTAACAATAGTGAGTGTGCTACACATTATATGTCTAGATTTTAGTTTCCTCTATAATGGCAACTTTATAATCTTTGACCTAAACCTCCCCAAACCCCTATATCTCATCTGCTTCTGGTAATCATCATTCTGTTCTTTCTTCTACACAGTCAGCTATTTTATATTTGACATACTAATTGATATTGTCAATGTTTTATTTCTGTGCGTGGCTTATTTCACTTACATAATGTCCTCCGGATTCATCCACGTTGCCACAAATTTCAGGATCTTCGTCTAAGTATTTCGTATATGTAGAACAATTTCTTCCTCGATGGACACTTATACTGGTTCCATATTTTGGTTACTGTCAATAACATGCAACAAACATTAGGGTTGCAAATCTCTCTGTGAGTTGCTGGCATCATTTCCCTTGGATGTGTACCCAATAGAGAAGCTGCTGTGTCATTGATAACTCTATTTTTCAGTGCTTGAGGAGTCTTCACAATGTTTTCTGTATGACTTTTCCCCACCAAGGATGTGTGAGTTCTTTTCACTTCACACCTGACCGATATCTTTTATCCTCTGTCTGATAACAGCCATTCTTACACGTATTAGGAGACAGAAGGTCCACTGGGTTGCACTGGTTCAGTAATGCTGCTGTGCTCTGCCATGCCCAGGAAGGACATTGTGGAATCCTGTTCTCCAAGAGTTTCCCCACAAAGACAATCCACCAATTCAATCTTTACTCCACAAATCTCGTCTTTGTGATTGGCCCCTTGGAGCCCACTGCGGCCCGTGCTGGTTCCCCAGGAATGAATGTGAGAACACAGAGATTCAGTGGCTTGGCTCCAGATTCTCAGAGGCTGTGTACATATATTAGGATGGAATGAAGCAAGTAAAAACAGCTAACAGATTCCAGGGGAGAACAGACTTGATGCAGGATTGCACATCTGAGGGACACTGTCAACCTCAGCACCCCTGGCTCCCATGATCTCTCCTGTGAGAACTGATGGAGATGCTTCAGAGAATTTGGGTTCCTGGCGGAAGGTTTAGGCTGTCACCTAAAGAACTCATAAAACTGGAAGGAAGAAGCCCATGGGCCACAGGAAGTCCTAGCCAGTGAGCTTCTCCTTGGTCACCTTGAACCCCTAGGTCATGAGCTTCTCTTCACTCCAACCTTCTCAAAACAGAAAGTAAATCAGAATAAGGAAAGAGCACTTTGACCTGAAACAGATAAGTTTATCTAGAAATTATGTATTTATGAGGTACAGCAAGGATCAAAATCTACTGATAACTTCTTTCAGAGAAAAGCTGATTATTTGCTCCTCTTGTTTCACTTCTGTTTTAAACTAGTTTTTCATTTCCAAGGTACTATTTCTCCAATCTTTATTCTATATATTTTCCTCCTTTTATACTTCATATTTTCATTTGGAAAAATTTTACCCTCTTTGCTCTCTCTTTTTCCATGTTTGGAGAAGCCTGAAAACAGAGATGAACAAGAATCTACAGACAGAAATGCCCATAGTTTCCCCTTTCCAAAATAAATACCCTATCACTAGTTTTGTGTGGTATTGTTGTCTGGCCTTCTGCATTCCTTAAGCAAATGGGTTCAACTGTTCACACTCTTATATTGTTTTTTGAAACCAGTAATGTTTTCTAGATGCTTTTCTGCTTCTCTCCTTCCATGTTTTTTTTCTCCTACATGCACACACACACAGGGTACATGTGTAGTCAGGATAATTCCCTCAAAATATTCCCCATAGACTACTCAATTTTAAAACACTTCCTTACTGTTTGGGGGAAATATAAGATATGTACATTAACTTTTCCAATTCATTTTTCCAGCTTTGTTGGAAATGTGTATTAATCTATCTACATTTTAGAATAGAATATAGATGTACAGGTATCACAAATTTTAAAGCAAAAAAAATAGGCAAATGTTTCCTTCAACCTTTCGTCTTTTTCCTTCAGCTTTTCCTATCTAATTCCAAATATGTCAGAATTAAAGCATTAGTTGGGTATCAGAACTCAAATGAAACAGAAGGACCCAGGACACAGCCGGCCAGCTTGGACTGAGTGCATCTAATAAGGTGAGCACTCTGTGCATGAGGAGGGTACACAGCCCTGATGGGATCTGCAAGAACACACATGGTAGTACATTCATGCAACACAATGACAGGCGGCAATAAATACAAAGAAAGCACTGACTGACATATGCAACTCAGAGTCTTTAAAAACATTGTGCTTAGCCAAAACGACAAACTCAAAAGCATACATATGTACGATTTCCTTTTTGCTTTTCTACAGTTTTATAATAGGCGAGATTAAGCTATACTGATCGGTAACAGAAATCATTTCTTCTGGATTATATTGACTGACAACGAACATGAGAAAACTTTGTAAGAGACAGAAACCTCCGTAATTTGATCAAAGTGGCAGTTACATTAGTATAAGCATTTTTGAAATCTCTTTGAAGTGTATATTGTAAAACAATGCATTCTATTGTAGCCCATTATTTCTAAATGAATTTGGTTGTATCTCACTGGATTCAAAGAATAATTATTTAAGATGTGGGTAACACTTTGACCAGACTGCTAGTATCTTAATATTAATATTTATCCAATTACTGTGGGCTTATTTTTGAGACAGGGTCTTGCTATGCAGTGGTGGCTGGTCATCAGCTTCAACTCACTTTGTAGCCCAGACTGGCCTTGAACTCTCAGCAATCCTCCAGCCTTAGCCTCCTAAGTGCTGGAATTAAGGCATATGCTACCACACCTGTCAACTGCTGTGTTTCTAATTATCTGTACACATCATAACATGAAGAAACATTAACTAAACTTGGAAACAAGCCAGAAAGAAAACGTTTAAGCACAATCTATCCCAGCACTGTTAAATGATATTATTTCTATTCCACTATTGGGAACCCCCCCAAAAGCACTCAGAACACAGATAGCTCTATTTCTGAACAATGACTTTCCCCGGTTCAGCTTTGCACATGCCCTGCTCTGTCAGCTGTGCTGTGATAGGAAGCAGCATGCCTCTGTGGTTTTATTCTCTAAACCACCTGATTTTCTGAGCTGAACGTCGGGATGACACACAAATTTGAGTATCACACATGAAGATGATTCCTTCTCCCTGAAAAATGAGGCTCAGTGCTTTGCAGCTGGCAGAAGGAAGTCCAGCCCTGGCACCTGTTAGAACTCCTATCGGTCTGCAGCTCAGCCCAGTCCAAAGTTCCCCCAGGGCGAACTCCACGACTGGCACTTTCCACGGAGCTGAAGAGCAGGAACTGGGCTGTCATTTTCCTCCTTAGACACACACAAGGAGAGGCTTTCTAAAGCTAGGGCCTCCTGGCATCACAGGGTGACCTTTCTCCTGAGAATATTTCCATCCCCAGAGATGACTTGGAAAACTGCAGCTCCAGCTACACCTTTATACGCTGACCACTAGAACAACCAGGTGAAGACGCTCAATGGTGACAGGCTTTGCAGGTGTCTTAAGGAGACAAGAGCTTCTGGGAATCCACAATGAGATGGTGAGAGAGAAACGTGTGATGACACAGAGACGTAATCTGCAGCAGATGTGGACCCTGAAGAAAGAGCTGCTTTAATTCTAAGACATACAGTAAGAAACAGGTCCCTTCCTTCCTGGGAGACAAGACACATGTGTTATTCATGGTAAACAAGTAAGTACATGCAAGAAGTCTGAAGATACATTGGCTGAGAGAGGTAGACTAGATCTGCCTGCCCTCACTTCCCAGCACAGAACTCCAGGTTTCCAGTTTTGAGAGCAGCTGGGAGAAAAGCTGGATCCGCAAAAAAGCAGAAGAGTCCACACAGCTCAACAGAATGGCGTAACTTTCCCCAACTGCTGAAGAAGGGGTTATTTTTCACAGGAGAGAGGAGAATCCACTGGGAAGGGAACGGATAGAGTGTCCTAAGATCCGATGAGGGACAAAGTTGGAAAGCTGTGTAAAGCTAAGTCTTTGGGAAAAGGATTTTCTCTAGGAACCTTCATTCACTAATTTTGCTTTCTCTCTGCCTTCTGCAGAGTATCTCGTGTTGGAATACACCTTCCCTTCTGCACTGAAGATGGTGGATTTTCCCGGTGGCCTTCCCGCTGGCTTTCTCTTCCCTCTTCTCCTCCTCCAGCTGTCCACAGGTCAGTGTTCTGCCACATGCACTGTATTTATTGGCTTGTGTCACCTGGCCCCTGGCACATAAGTGAAAATATTCTGTCACCCGTTGGCCCAGAAACCCCCTGTAAAATAAAACTCCTTGCTCCCTTAGGCGGACTTGGGAAACCTAGAGCTGCGATACTTATCAAAATCCTTACCGACCATAGGCAGTTGTGTTCATTTATTTTTCATGTCTCATTAGCTAAAAATATTCACACACTGCCAAGAAAGTCTGGGCGCAAAGGATTTAGACTCAGGACTTCCACACCTAACAGTTGTAATTTTGAACCAATCACTTAATCTTTCCAGGACATGAACAGTTCCTTCATAAAGTAAGAAACCCTCTGGGTGAAGTTCTCAGATTCCAGGTTTGGAGAGAACCCAGATATGAGATCATAAGAATGACATTATCATCCTCTCTTTAATCTGATGGCAGGTAGTGAGTGTTACAGTTTTTAATATCCAGACATCATGACCAAAGCCTTCCAACTGCTTTAGAGAAACTCAGAGAGCATGTGTGCACTAACACACATGCACATGTGTGTGTGATCTTTACTGTTTGTTGTCATAATAACATGGAAGCTATGTAAACACCCAGCCATTTGGGAAAAGCTTGGACGTGGTGGTGGATGGTGTTAAAATAATCAGGTTTGTCAGACTATTTGTACTAAAGTGGCTGAATATTCTCTTTTGCAGAAATTAATATATAATGTCTCATTATGTCAATAAGTTTTTTTCCACTATATTGTGGGAACATATAATATCAAATACTTTTTTCTGAGTTGAATTTCTGTCATAATCCATATAGCATCAGGTAGCTAAGAACACACATCCTTTCAAGGATCATAGTATCTCAACCTGTAAGAGGAAAAATGAAAGACTAGGGAGCACAACCTCAGCTAGCACACTGACCTCTGTCACTGCCTCAACCAGGAGTACCCCATCCACACTGACTGGGCCACCTTCTCTAAGTGCATATGCCTTGCCTTCTACACTCAGTCCTCCAGGCCAGCAAAGAATCTGTGCCTTTCTGAACCCCTCTACCACAGAGTTGCCACAATCGTGGGCCCAGATATGTGCTACATATGTTGGGGGGGGTGGCAATATATATATTTCCAGGTTGAGGTGCCATCGTAACCGAAAGGATGTGTGTTCTTAGTTACCTGATGCTCAGAGGCTGGTGCATGAATTATGAGAAATATTCAGTTTAGAAAAGAGGATTTGACATTTTATGTATTCACAATAGAGTGGGGAAAAGTCACTGACATGAATGAGAGCATTATACGTCAATTTCTGTGAAAGTGAATATTCAGCTATTTTAGTACAAACAGTCTGCCACACCTGATTGCTTTGACACTCCACATCATACATGTGGCCACTACTCTATCTATTGCACATACATTTAAATTTAAGACATATAGCACCCTATTAGCAAATGCCACAAAGAAACTTACAGAAACAGTGATGGGCTTTTCATCCCCTCTCCCTATGCCAACCTCCACCTCTCGCCCCCATCTCCTCCATTCCCTGCAGCATCTGGGCTTTCTGTGGAGGGGCAAGCCGAGCCCGTGGTGGCACCGCTGGGCGCAGATGCCAGCCTGCCCTGCCGCCTGGCCCCGGAGCAGAGCATGGCCCACATGAGCATCCGGTGGTACCACGGCCAGCCCTCCCGCGCTGTGCTGGTGTTCCGGCAGGGCCAGGAGCAGGTCGGGGAGCAGATGCTGGAGTACCGGGGCAGGGCCGAGCTGCTGAGGGACGCCGTGGGCTCGGGGAGCGTGGCACTGCTGCTAAGGCGCGTCCGGGCCTCTGATGATGGCCTGTACCACTGTCGCTTTGAAGACGGTGACGTCTCCCAAGAGGCCCTCGTACAGCTGAATGTCGTGGGTAAGCGAAGCTGGCTCGGAGTGCAGGTCGTGATGGGAAGTGAAGGGTGAAGTGAGGCCCTGGCTTGGAAGCGGGGATACACTTGGACAACCTCAGTTTTCTAAACCATGCAATGATGGTAACACAACACACAACACAGGCTTTTTTTCTTCTTCCAGTTTTTGGCTTTTTGAGACACGGTTTCACTATGCAATTGAGGCTGGCCTTGAACTCACTTTGTCACTCAGGCTAGCCTCAAATGCACAGGGATCCTCCTGTCTCAGCCTCCCAAGTGCTGGGATTACAGGCAAGAGCCACCATGCCTAACACACACTGATTTTTTTTTTTTTTTTTTTTTTTTTTTTTTGTACCAGGGATGGAACCCACAACCTCACGCTTGCCAGGCAAGCACTTGTGCCAGTGAGCTAAATCTCAGGTCTAACATTGACTTTTAAATAACAAAGAAGTTACAACATTTGAACGTTTTAACATCTGTATTCAACAGTAAAAGACACTGATATCTCTAAATATTAATTTTTATTCAATCAGGGAAGAAAGGGCCAGGGATATAGTTCAGCAGCACAGTGCCTGCCTCACAAGCACAAGGTCCTGGGTTTGACTGCTGGTACAAAAAAAAAAAAAAAAAAAAAAAAAAAACAGGGAAGAAAGATAACTAATAATTGAATTAAAACTATTTCTTAGTTTTATGATTCCTGCTGTTTTTCTTCCTGAAAAGATCCCAAAGCTCTCTCAGTCCAAGTGTACTGCAAAGGCAGTAAGTTCTGACCTCTGAGTCCCAGGCTTCTCAAGAGGCTTGGGAAGGCAGTTCAGCCACCAGCTTCAGAGGACCTGAACCCCGAGGCCCACAGGCCTCAGGCGCCTGCCCTCTCTCCCCAGGTTTGGGCTCCGCACCCCAGGTTCACATGACAGGACCCAAGGAAGGTGGGATCCAAGTGCTGTGCTCCTCGAGTGGCTGGTTCCCAAGGCCCACGCTGCAGTGGACAGACACTACAGGCAGGAAGCTGCCATCCCTCCCTGAGTCTCATACCCAGCAGGAGGACGGGCTCTTCCATGTGGATGCCTCCCTTGTGGTCACAGATAGCTCCCTGGGGAACCTGACCTGCTCCATCCAAAATCCCCTCTCTGGTCAGGAGAAAACATCTACCATCTTCCTCCCAGGTGTGCAAGGCCCAACCCCAGGGGGCCCTGGCAGAGCAGGGAGAGGGAACAAGGCTGAAGGGAACCTTGGCGAGGGGCATGGACCCCTGTGTGCCAGCCTCTGACTGCGTCTATCTGTGCCCTTGCCAGAGCCCTTTTTCCCCAGGGTGTCTGCATGGAAGTTGGCGCTGGCTGGGACACTCCCCATTCTGGGGCTCCTGCTCATTGGGATCAGCTACGCTGGCTGGAGAGAGCATCAAAACAAGGAGAAACAAATAAAGGAAAAAGAAAAAGAAGACAACGAAGCAAAGCATATGAGTAGAGAAAAGGAATTAGTACTTCAAGCTAAAGGTAAATTGGAGCAATAGGGTAAGGAGGTTTGCGGGGTAGCTGGGGTAGAGGAATCCACAATCCCAGTGGTCCTCAAGGGAGGCCCAGGGCACCGTCCATCCTGCAGAGCTGGAGGTCTTGTGCAGAGGAGAAAACCACATGAGAAATGAGGTCAGTGGGCAGTGGGCAGTGGGCAGTGGGCACCAGGCCCTGCAGTGCGGCCCCTCTAATAACACCCCACTCTCTCTCTGTGATGCTGTGGCTTCTAATGCAAATGTCTTTCCCTCCTCTACCTCCTCTCCTTCGGGAATAAGCTTGTGACATATCTAAGAAAACTTAACTCAGTTTAGACTGGACTCACAAGCCCAAGCCCAATTCATGTAGCTACTCCTGAACTCTGCTAAAACCCAGTCTGATACGTTCTACATCCTCTTTCAGGGGAACTCGAGGCAGAACTGGGTGAGTCCCGCTTCTTCCCATTCCTTCTATCATTTGTCTTTCTGGCACCCGTTCTGGAGCTCTCACTTACACTGTTTCTTTCAGAACGGCGGAGGAAATTATACAACCAAGGTAAGGAATTCTACAGTGCCCCTACCACTAGATGCCCCAGCGCCCAGCATTCCCTGAGGAAAAGACTATGAAAAGTTTAATGACCAGTGGGAGAAGAAGGGAAGGAGTGAAATGCGAGGCCACAGAGTAGTGTCTAATCTTGTTTTGCCTGGATTTTTTCCTGTTTCAGATTGGAAGAAAGCCCCGCTATATCCTGGTAAGTGAACTGCAGCCTTGAATTTTACCAAGTGTCTCTGGTTTATGAGTGTGATAAGCAGATGCATAAAGAACACATGACATCACATGTTCTTCTGGACTCAGATGTTTACAGGTTCTACAAACAGCAGCAAACTCCTTAATGGAAGGAGGTCAACAAAGTACAGTACTTTTCAAAAAATTAAGTATGAGTCCTAAGACTCTATGAGAATGTTAAATAAAATCACCTGTCCCGTACCTATCTTGGAAGTAAATTCAGGGAAAATAATGCAGTTCTCTGACTCTGAAGAAAAATATAAAAGATTTTATTTCAGTGGTGAAATAATAGACTATGTAAAGCCCTCAGCCATATACTGAAACTTTAGTCTGAGAAGGTTTTCTTTGGAAAGAAGACTAAAGTGAGATTAAAAGGGGGGCGCATTTCCCAGGCGCCATCCACAAGAGAGCTGCACAGATCACAGTATCAGGCACCTTCGGCCCTGGCTGGCTGTTCCAGGTGACCTCCAGACCTGGCTCAAGTAGGAGAATCTCAGTACACAAGCATCAGACTGAATTAGGGCAGAGATCCTAACCTGAGACAACACAGAAAGCAGCCCACTTGTCCTGCTGTTTCTGTGCCAAAACTAGACCTAATTGGAAAACAAGCCCTGGCGTGCTTTTTCAGGATGTTCAGGAATATAAGCCGTATCCCAAAACTAAGTCCCAGTCAAGACCATCAACCAGACAGACACATTTACTATGCCCATTGGATTATAAAATAATTTTAATATATAGTTAAAAGCAAGTATTGAGATTAATACTTAAAATGACAATATAAATTATAATTATTTTTAAATACCCAAGCACTTCTAGATGAGAGGTCAACACCTTGTAAGCAGAGAAACTCAAGTCTTCCTGCTGACTGATCAGTCAGTGCACACAGACACAAAGCGTGAATAGCATGAGCACTTGACAAACAGAAGTGGGTGCGCCTGATGGGAATCCTAATAATTCAGTGCATCCTGTATCGCAGTGCACACACTCAATGCACTTGTGTGAAATGAAATGTTTTTGAATTTTGATGCCTGCAATTTCTCACCCCTTTTTTGTGGATCATCATTCTTACCCATTACCATTTTTGTTGCTCTTTACGAATCTTCAGTTCACACCTGATTCAGTGGTTGCTTTGTGAGCCCCAGCATGCAAGAGGCTGTGACTTGGGGGAAGAGCTGGTGGGCTAAAATCCCTGACAGCTGTGTTGCCAGTGCAGTACAGCAGGGCACAGGGACAGGACGTGCTCATTTCAGAAGATCTCTGCTGCTGGACATGAAAGACTGGGCCAACAGTTCTGCAGGAAATGGAGTTGAGAGAAATTCCAGCTGGAGTCAGGGTTTGGAGCATTAGGATGATGTTCCAGATGACGACAGGACTGTATCTGAACAAATGTAATTTTTTTTGTGCATGAACAAATGTAGATTTCTGGACACAGAAAAATAAGACATACCCTAAAAATAAGCTCTACTGCAGCCTTCGGAGCAAAAATTAATATAATACCAGGTCTTATTTTGAGGGAAATATAGTACCAAGGAAAATTTGATAGCCTTACAAGGAAGTCAGGAAAGTTGGAAGAGGAAGGCAGTTCAGCAGAGAAGGATGTATATTTTCCCTTTTCATATCCTAGCTGTGTTTGTGTCCTGCTCTCAATGTATATTGCTCTTTTTCAGATTGGAGAAAGGAACATTTCAAGCCTGGTGAGTTGTTTTTGTTCATCATTTTGTTTCCTATCCAACCTCCCCTCCTCTTGCCCTATTTTCTCTCCCTAATTCCAACTTCCAGGTGAAAAGACAGAGGCACCATTATCCTGGTGAAGAAAGAGTTGAACACTGCTAAGTGCTGGCCTGATCTTGGAATTGCTGCCAAGTCTCGCATGTCTGATGGTGTCCTCACCTTCACATACCCTCCCAGCTTTTCCACTTGGGGATCCACTTGGTTTTGTAAAGAGATAATAACAGGTCCCTCAGTTGAGGAGAGCCACATTAATTTAAAAATGCTCCTAATAGCAAGTGCTCAGCTGCTCTTTTCAAGGAAGTTAGTCTATGTGCAACCCGTTATTGAGAAACATGTTTTAATTTATAGAGAACATGGAAAGAACAAGTTTCTCAAGTAATCACTGAAAGGCCTGGCTTTCCCTGGTACTGTGCTCAGAGAATGACTGTAACATAAGTAAGATAAAATGGGGCAAGGAGCCTAGGATCTGTGATGAGAGCTCACATAGCACCAGCACACTCACAGGAGAAGCGCTGCTTCACTGCCAGCTCCTCATAGTCTGCTCAACATTGTAGTACAATAGCTTTCTGGAATTTTGTACATATTTTTACAAATACGTTATATGTTACTGTGTGCTTCTTCTTCTTCTTTTAGCTCCTGTGATTACAAAGCACCAAATGATTCAGTCAAACAATTCTGACCCAGAGAGCAAAGAGAACTGCACAGATGAGACACAGGAACTACCTCTTAGCGATAAGCAAGGAGACTGCAACCTCATCACACTTGGTCAGGAAGGCTTCCTGTGGAAAAGACATTACTGGGAGGTGGACGTCGAGAAGGTGGAGGAATGGACTGTAGGCATTTATGAGGTGCCCAGTGATGGGCCTGAGTCATTCGAAGAGCCATCAAGAAAGACCTTCAGAGTCTTGGTCAAGAAGGGAGATAAATACAAGGCTCTTGCCTGTTGTTCCAAAAACATTTTCCTAGAAAAGCATGTCTCAGTAGAAAAGCGTCCCTGTAAGATTATGCTATTCTTGGATATCGAGGATAGTGATATTTCTTTCTACAACATGACAGATGGTTCCCACATCTTTTCCTTCAACCAGTCCAAATTCTCTGGGTCACTCTATCCTTATTTTAAACATGGAAGCATGGAGCTCTCTCCAACTTCAAAATGTTAGGTGACTTGGAGAGCGATGATACATGAGAAAGACAATAGCTTGTTTTCTATAAGATGGGAGCCCTGATCTGTGGCCTCAGACACCACTGATTAAGGAGCCCTTCAGCTGAGACCCCACGAATCTCCATGATCAAAGCTTTTGATGACAAAAAGCCCTGTTTTGCAAATTATCTGTAAAGAAGAATCATGTTTCCAGGTTTTGCAAAATTATATTTTTAAATATTTCTTGTTAAATATTTCTATATTTTAAATATTTCTTATATTTTTAAATTTTTCTTTAAATATTTCTTTTCTTTCTTTCTTTTGTATCCAGTATATCACTGATTTAGGAAAATGGCATGGATAAAAATGAAAAATATAGGACCAGGAGTTTAGCTCAGTGGCACAAGTACCTGCCTGGCAAGCACAGGGTCATGAGTTTGATGCTTAGTACCAAAAAAGGGGGGGGGGATATATAGTTACAAGTGGCACTTATTATATTATTAATTCAACATGAATGAAATTACTCTTATGAACTTGTTCTGTATTTTTTTTTGAAACAAGGTCTTACTTTATGGTGCAGGCTGGCCTTAAATTCTCTAAGTACTTCCAATTTACTATGATCCTCCTGCCTCAGCCTCCCAAGTACTTGGATTATAGGTGTTTGCCACCACACCTGGTACTCTACAAGTTTTTAACTATGTTTCTATACTCATTTCATTAAAAACTAGTGGGAAAAAACTATATATGGATATTGGTCTTTTAACTATACTTTAAGTAGTTTCGCTAAAGCAATTTTCAAAAAAAAAATTAAATAGATCTCATGTTTCTTGTTATGGTTTATATCTAGATATCCCTCCAAAGCCTAACGTGCTCATAGTTGGGGCTTTTGATGGGTGGTGTGGATCAGGGATTAGTCTACTGATGCATTTATAGCTAGAAATGACTTTGGAGGTGAAGCCTGGTTGGAGGAGGTAGATCACTGGGCATATGACCCGGGAGAGTCTAGTTCCCTCCTCCTTCCTTGATCTCTCTCCCTCCGCTTCCCACTGCCACCCTATGAGCTGATTCACCTCTGCTTTGCTGCCTTGCTCTGGAGCCAGCTAACGATGGCCTCAAACCTCTATAGGCTGTGAGCCAAAATAGACCTCTCGTTCTTTAAATCGTGGGTGGCTGGGTATTCACCCCAGTAACAAAGAAAGTAACTAATACATTTCTCAACAGCAAAAAGTATACTACAGTTAACCGTTAAAAGAGAAAACACACCATAATTCAATAACAAGCTAAACTATATATTCAACACAAAGATCATTTTAAAAAGAGTATCAATCTCAATCTATCTCCACAAATGCAATAGCATTAATACAATGCTGAACAGAAGGAAATCAGAATGAAAAGAGAGCATTTGTTGTATTTATTGGAAGAAAGAGAAATTTCATTGTTTTAGCTAAAATCTTATTAAGGGAAATTATTACTTTCTGTTTGAGGGACTCTAAGTATGGATGTTTGCAACCAAGAGAAGGACATTCTCATTTTCCCCCCTGTGCTCTCTACACTGAAATGAAGTAATTAGAAGAAATAGACAGCTGTGCTGCTTCTACCAGCAAGGCTGGAAACTGCAAATTCATGGCACGTCAGGTACCTAGACACCGGGACATCAGATACTCAGAAGGATCTGTCTTGACAGCAGGAAATAATCAGCATTACTCAGGGCTAAGCTAGTCCTGATGAACAAATATTAAAAGCAAGACCCAAAGGGTTTTAGTTGTTCACAAACACATTGTTTCACAAATACCTTATCAAACATCAGAACTTCATCCCAGAACAAAGGTCAACAAGGTACCATGTCACCAGAAAAGGCCCAGCAGCTGGATCTGGTGGAGCATGCCTATAATCCCAGCTCTCAGGAGGCTGAAGCAGGAAGATCACTGTAAATTCAGGGCCTGTTTGGGCTACATAAATGAGTTCAAAGCCAGCCCAAACTACATAGCAAGACCTTTGTCTTAGGGGGAAAAAATGGCTCAGCATGCAAAGAAGCAAGAAAAATGTAAGTCGAGAAAATAAAAGTGATGCAAATACGTATCAACAGATTCCAACAAGAATGACTGGAGAAACTCAAAGGAGAGATACAGATAACAGAGGTATTCTGAGACGGGGTGTGCAGCAGGGCGGGGAGGGGGGGATCACACCCAGGTAGGAAAAACTAATCTGAATGACAGATCCTCTAGATCAAACCAAATACCTGGGCTGTTGGAAAAATAAATAATGAAAATAAGCAGGGCTACCACAGTCTACATCTCTCCCCAACACCACTGACCCCAGGCAGATGGCCTCGTGGGAGCAGCTCTGACAGCCTGAGGACAGACAGCACAGGAACCCGCTTTCTGTCCCTTCCAGCGGGGAGAGAAAATTCAGAGAGAACTGACGGGTAACTGGGACTCCTGGGAAGCCGTGGACCAAGAAAGGGAGAGACAGCAACACAAAACTGGTCCTACTTCCCTCCTGCTCTCCCTCCCATGATTCTAGCATTCCAGAGAACACTGTGTCCCTGCGGCGCCCCACTCTCTGCCCACCACCCCCTGCTGATGAGGAGAGCCCTGCCAGGCAGAGAGAGACTGCCTGCTGCAAACTGTGGGCAGTGGTAACCCTGTTGACGAAGGTCTGCAAGTCAGATCCATGGGGACACTGGGATGAGGGAGAGACGGAGCACAGTGGGTGTAGAATGGACGCTTTCTCAGAACCCTGGGAAGATCTTCACCCCAAACACTAGAGAGATCTGCAACAGGAAGAGCCCTGACCCGCTGCCCACCACTCAGGGTGGGCAAAGGAGGCAGAGTGCCAAGTCCTCCAGGAAGGAAAGCAGGGCTCAGCAGTCAGGGATGTGTAAAGGTCTGAGCACAGAAGAACGAGGGAGCCACCAGGAACCGGGGTGTCTGGTGACAAAGGCCACAAAAGGCCCTGGAGGGAGACTGTCCTGCGATTTGCCCAGCAGCTAACAGGAAAGGTGGGCACTGGCCAAAGAGAACCAGGTGCTGGGTGAATTACAGCACATCCCCTCCTTCCGAACCCACTGAAGTGGTCAGGTCTTGGGACAGGCCCAAAGGCGTGCAGCTGGCCACAGCCACAGCACAGCCTGCGGCCGTAGGTGGGTCTAAAGAGGCGACCTCCACCAGGTGAGCAGTTAGGCAGCTTCTGGCTGGACCTACAAAGGCAAGGGAAAGGGGCTCTGCATTCATGGTACAGAGGCCACCAGAGGTTTTCTATTTCCTTGCTTGTTTGTCTGTTCTGGGTTCTCTTTGTGGCTTGTTTTTGGTTTTTTCCTCTCTTCATTTATTTGATTCTTACTTCTTTCTCAATGTTATTTTTAGTTTACTTTTTGGTTTAAGTTTTTTTCTTTATTCCTCTTCCCTCCGTACCCTGCTTCTTTTCTTTTTTAGCCTTCTTTCCTCCTCCTTCTTTTTTCTTGGCTCTTCCTCATTTTCCTGCCTGCCGTCCCTCGCTTATCACCTTGTCACCCTCCATGTGACCCATATACAGCAGATGCCTGCTTAGGTATGAAGAGAGGAAGGACAGACCACTGCTGTAACTTGAATGATAACCATTCGTGGCCATGCCACAGTAGCCCTTAATAGAACTGTGCCTAGAGGATGTAAACAAAACTACAAATATATTAATAGGTTCCAACAACTTTATAGTCCCCTTCAGTCTCTAGATACATCTCCCTCCCCTGTATCCCTTGTCCTGCCTCCGTAATTATTCTCTTACTCACTCTCAACAGTAACACTTTACCCCAACTGCAGCATACTCTCAACAGGTCCAACCTGCTAACATCTCTCCTGAACCCTTCTCCTCTTGCTTACTCAACCTCTTCTCTACTTCCTCTTTACTTCCCTTTCCCTTCACATCACAGACCAGCTACTAACAGTAGTATAGTATAACCTCTAGAGCACACTGATAAAAGGGCAAAATTGTCAAAACAAGTTGTAATGTTCACAGTTGAGGTATGAATGAATCTATGGAAATTCTTATAATCAGTTGAAATTCTCTTCCTACAACACAGCGACTGGGTCCAACTGAACAGGGTGAATGACAGACAATGCCTCTCAACAAAGCCAAGATCACATCCCTGGAGAACAAAACCTATGTGAAGAGAGCCATACCAATAACGAAGTCTCCTAATTCTATTTGACCTCCAGCCTCAGCACAAAAAGAAAATACCCACAGCAATATGAAAAACCAGAGCAAAAAAATGCTGCCAAAGACTTCCAGCTCTCCCACAGCAGATCCAAGTGGCAATGATGAAGAGGAAATCCACCAAGCAACGGCTGAGCTGCACAAAATGACTACAGGAGAAGGCAAGCAACTTGGTGAGCTTGAGAATGCTGTAATCAGATAGCAGAACTAACAAGCAAACTGACGAATGTGGATGAAGAAGAATCAAATAAAAATTTACAAAAGCTGACCAAAACCGTCCAAAATATTAATGACAAATTTACCGAAGAAACAACTCCATGAAATGGTGCCAAAGAGAACCCTGGATATAAACAATCCTGTCGAATACATGAACAGCAGAGGTGAACAATGTGAAGAGAAACTGCCAGACCTTGAGGACAGAATGGAAACACAAAACATGCCCAGCAATACCTTAAAAACGATAAAAGAATAAGAACGTTGATCAAACAGCCACCAGGCCATGTGTACAAGACTGACCAAAGGCTATGTGGGGTTAGGGAGAAACTCAGTGACAGCACACATGGAATAAAAATCTGTTTACAGAAATAATTACAGAAAACTTTCCATGAATAGGGAAAGAACTCAAAGTACAGCGAGGCAGTACATTGAACTCTAAATAATTACAAGAAAAGAATAAAATCCCCATAATACATAGTCAAAACCCCAGAAGTACAACACAAGGACAGATTCTCTTTGGTTTGTTTGTTTGTTTTTTGGTAATGAGGATCAAACTCACAACCGTGCACTTGCAAGGCAGGTGCTTATGCCACTGAGCCAAATCCCCGGCCCCAGATTCTTAAAAGCTGTCAGACAAAACTTTTTAAAAATCATCTGTAGGGGCTGGAGGTTTAGCTCAGCGGCATAAGCGCCTGCCTTGGAAGCAGGCAGTCATGAGCTCGATCCCCGGTACCGATAAAAAGGAAAAAGACAAAAAAAAAAAAAAAATCACCTGTAAAAGTAAACTCATTAGGATTACAGAAAACTTGTCAACACAAACCTCAAAGGCTAGACGACATTACAGCAAAGCATTTCAAGACATAAAACAATTTTCAACCCAGACTAATATACCCTACAAAACTCTTTCAAAGCCCACGGAAAAATAAGGGTATTCCTTGACATAGCCATTCTCCATGTGCTGGCTGCAGGGGCACAGAGGTGCACAGCAACGTTCACCCCAACCCAAGTTCTTGATCACCCCTACTGGGAGCGCTCAGACCTCTCAGTGTCAAACAGCTGCTGCCTGTGGACAGGGTGGAGGAGGCAAACAGACCATCTGTTCATCAACTCCAATCCTAATTCTGGAAATACCTGTGCTCTTCACGCAGTTCAGACAGAGAGACGCCCACTACTACACGCAGCTCAGAACTGTCTCCTGCAAGTGGCCCAGGCAAATGAAAAGTTCAGAAATGGACGCTGTTCCCCGTTCCCCATTCATCTGAATACTGACAATATTGACAGAGCCCTCAGCAAAATTATGAGTGGATGTGGCCTTCTGAGATGGATCAGGCAGATTCCATAGAAAAGGACAGTTGAGAAGTAACCAACCCCCACTAAGTTCCTGAGTTCGGAGGAAACCATAATGCAAAACCACCAGTTTTATTTTTTCTAAAATCCCAGTTTCCTATTAAAAACTACATATGCAAAGTCTAGTTAGAGAGTCTGAAATTCAAATGGCCGTTCTTTAATATAAGAGAGATACCCGTGGTAGGGGCCACTACACAGTTAAGGAATTCCCGCACCCCACCTGACCTCTGAGTGACTCAGGATGGAGGACCCACCCACTTGAGGCCCCTTCTGGAAAGCCCTTCTATTTACTTCTACTTAAACTCCCTAACCTCTAACCTCTGCCTGTGGCTCGTGACTTCATTCCTCAAAGCCATGAGGCCACAAACCTGGCATGTGTGACATCTCATACATCAGGAGGTACATTTGCCTGTGACCCACATTGTGCTCCTACTGTGACTTTGCTGCACAAAACATTCTTGGAGAAACAGCACGCAGCAACCCTTTCCAGGCCAATTCCTGTCTCCCAGAAGCTCTGTCTTTAAAAACCTTTCTGCTCCTTTGTCACTTGAAATCCATCTTCCATATTTGGGGGACACAAACTTGGCACATCTGATATCTGGGAAGCTGGGAGTTATTTTTCCCCTGCCACAATATGATAAAATTATCTTGTTTCCTCCATTATAGTGTTCTACCCAGATTACATTTAATCCAAAATTGAAAGTTGTAATTCACAAACTAAGCTGAGATACTGAGGGAGAACAGAAGAAATAAAATCTAGGCAGATGCTCCAGGTGTGGTAGCACACACCTGCAATCCAAGCCCCTGGAAGGCTGAGGCAGGAGTATTGCCACGAGTTCGAATCCAGCCTGGCTACATAGTGAGTTCAAAGCCAGGCTGAAGTACATAAGGTGATCCTGTCTCAAAACTGAAAACCAAAACAAAAAAAAACTAGGCAGAAAAAGATAGGAGGAAAATCATATTTTTAAAAATGAAAATTGCAGCTTTAGGACACAAGTATGGTATTTTGGGGGTTTTTCTCCCAGAATATAATAAGCCTGGACAATTCTCTTTCATCTTCAAATAGGTTCAGCCATTCCTTTTCCTATTTGCAAATGGTCCTCTTTCACCTATGAATAAACCACTTGTTTGTCTGTAAATTAAGATTTCCTGTATGAATGGACCTTTCTTGGTACAGGCAAACCATTCTCCCCACCCATTAGACAAGACTAAAGACCAGATCATTGATTTCCACTGCCCAAAACATATGAAGGGCCCCAGTTCCAACTGCAGTGTACCTCATCTCTCTGAGGACCGTGCTTCACCTGAAAGCATCGTAAATCTGCCTAACACTACACACCCTTCCCTGCCTCCCACAGCCTCATCCAAAAATTTCCTTTTCCACAGCAGGAGTCAGAGAACCTGAAGACTTATTCTACAAAAGTGTGAGTCAAGCTCCTTGTTTCAGATTTAGAGACTTCCTTAGACCCAGTCCAGTGCCCAAACTGTTTTGTGAGGTGTTATACAACCCAATACTAACAATTCAACCGTGGTATGCTATTGATGGAGTCAAAATGATATAACTGATTGTTACAATTTACTCTTGGATTCCCAGTAGTTTTAATGATTGTGTAAAGTTACATTTAACTGAAGAATGTGTGTCTTAGAGTCGTTTGAACACAGTTAAAATACGGATGAAATCCTATCAATTTAAATTCACATATGTAAAATTGTAAATGACTCCTTCCATCAACTAAACCTTCAAAAAAAGCTAAATATGAATTGTCACCAGCCAGGATCTGAGGAGGTCCCCCAAAAAGGATTTGGGGACCTCAACTCACCACCCAGCCCAATGCAGGGGGCTCACAGACCCTCATCACAGAAGCAGCATTTGACGATACATGGGTGAGAAGCACACAGACAGGTTAAGCAGAATAAAAGAAGTATGGCACTCATGCAGAATCAGCATGGACACTCAGGCTCATCACAGCCTGAGGACGGAGACAGTTGTGGTTTCTTGGGGGTACCTTTGAGACAAAGGGTGGAGGATGTGTATTCCTATTGTCCACCTTTAGTGGGCTCCGTTAACATGCAAATCATTCATGCATGCATGAAGTTTATAGATATGGAAACCAATTAACAGTGTTGTTTCTGTGGGGATGGAAGTCTGTGAAGTTTGGGGATAGTCTCTGAGGGAGAAAAATAAATCTAAGCCCTAATTACAGGCTTAGTATATCTTTAAGATTTTAGGGAACTTCAAAATGAGAAAACAAACAGTCCCAGGGGCAAAAAAGTCATTATAACCTTGGGTAACTTTGTGTCTTATGCTGTGATTTCCTCAAATACAATTGTAAAATCACCATTTTCTTTCCTCCTTATAGCATTGGTACAGGGTTTGGAGTTAGAAACTCTTCCACTTGTTGGCTGAGTCACTTCAGATGTCTCTCTCCACATGAAGGATTGCATTACAAGGGTTACAGGGGATTAACTGTGTTCGTGTTTACAGACTCCCTACCACCAAGGTGTGCAGTTAACAGACACTCAGTAAGAGGTGTTCATCTTCTCCTCCCCTCGTTCTCCACATCTGCTTGTGATATATCATCCACCAGCAGTACTGACACCAACCTCACGTCATCTAGTCCCGACACTTTAGCTTCACCGGTTCACTTTCATTTGTTTCAAGGACTTAATTTTTGAACACAGGAATTCTTCTCATTTTAAGCATCAAACATGTATAAAATGCCTATTGTGGAATGCTCTCAACCACAAAAAGAGACAAAATCTTTGGTCTCAAGATGTCCAGAAAATTACAAGTTATTCTAAAGCCCGATATTGAGTTCCCTTTCTGTAGCCTATGTCCACCAGATTATTCTTAAATCTTCCAGCATCTTGGTCCTCCTCTTCCTTTCCTCTTGCCCCTCTGAAGTTCCAAGGCTTTATTATGACACAGGTTCCAGAACTTCCATGGACTGTGCTCCCTTAGTCCGCTTAGGTCTGATCAACGTGAGGGACACAATTCTTCAGAGACACTCTGCATCTTTGTCTACAAGGACCTCCCTGACACCCAAGTTCACACAGCTCGGAAACACTATGTTTCTGAGTTGTTTTACTTTGGCCTTTACTCTTTGACAAAGGATCCAGATGACGTGGAACCCACTGAAGACAATATCTGGAAAATGGCAGTCATGGGTAAGGCCCACCTTTTCCTCCTGACCCTGCTGGCTCAGGAGCCTTCGCTTAGGGACACAAATGCAGCTTTGCTTTTTGCGCCTTCTTCTTCCCCATATACTACATCCATTATTTCATTCTCATGGATTACTCTGGAACCTAGAAGGAAAGAACCCATTGTGTATTTAACTCCAGAGTAATAATAACAGTTTATTCTTCAGTTTGTAGAGCTTAACGTAATCAGGCAAAATAACTATCTTCCACAGTACGCACCTGAGAAATTTCTTATTCTATTATTACCCATTTTATACCATCTTCCCTCTGTGATCTGCCCTAACTCTGAGAGATAATAATGTATTCCTATCCTCCTCATAAATCAGGTAAGGTCATCTTCCAGTTCCCCTATAGCAAAAGCATTTCTGACACTGTTCAAAAGGGATAGTACTCTTTGGAGGCTTAATCTGTGTCCGTCACCCAGCTCTCTCTTCTTCCCCTGAGGGTTATCTCATATTAGTCAAAAATTTCTATTATAATTAAAGCCAGAGTTACTATTTATTGATGTTTTTAGAGGTGCATTAGGAATAAAATTTTGAAGTTTGATTTGACAGGTGAATTCTTCACAAGACAGACATCTATAAAACTCAGCACACGTGTGCCTAGCCTGCCATGCCCAGAAGCTGCACTCCGGCCCTTCACCCTGAGCTGTATCTCCAGCCCTTTTTATTTTTTTTTATTTTAAGACAGGGTCTCACTAAGCTGCACAGGCGAGACTCAGACTTGTGATTCAGACAGAAAAGTGGAGAATCATCAGCAACTTATTAAACTTATACAAACAAATAATTCTCTTTAATAAATTTATATGAGCAATATGACTTAAAGATGAAAATTTTCTTTTCTGTGTTGGATTACAATGAGAATTTAAACTTTCAGAACATTTTCAAGAAAATAGCAATATATTTGTTATAACATATAGACCATTAACAACTAACAAAATATTTTCACAGATTCACATTGTTTTACTCCAGAATAAAGCAAAATTAGTGTTAAAATAAATCAATTGGAAGTTATTTTATTTTTTTAGTCCTGGAGAATCAAACCCAGGACTTCAAACATGACAGGCAAGTACTGTAGCACTGATCTATGCCTTCAGCCCCAACTAGAAATATATTCTACAGAAAACGTTATTTTCTAGTCTACTCAACTCTGACATAATTTACATAACATTTAGAGATACTTTATAAGTTAATTCACCAAAAGCATACCACATAAAAATGATAATTTAGCTATACATTGGTACCTCTCATTACAGAGAGAATAGTAATTCATAAAGAAACAAATATGATATTCTATAATCCATTGGTAGGTGAAAAAGGCTTGTCCAAGTCATCAATGTGATATGATAAAAACTATATATCTGTAAGAGTAACAGCTATTTGGCTCACACTGAATTGAATCTGAATAAATCACAATTAAATAGACAATGTGAATCCTTTTATCATGTTTATCAATAAAATTCTAATAAATGTAAATTAAAATGGACTCCATAAGCAAAATGACATACCATCAAATTGTATCCATTTTAAACAGTAAGCATTGTGAAAAGAATCTCTGGGGGCTAAAACTGTCTCTCTACCTTAAATCTTACTTATCTACTATAATACTTGATAATCACACCAATTTTCAAAATTATTTTTAAATAGAAGAATACTGAATAATTTTTTCAATTATATGGCAACTCTCTCCACTAAATAGTTACATGGAGGGTAAATTAGAGTTAACATAGTTGAATAACACAAATAATGAATTTCTAAATACAGAAGAAAGTTTTACCCTATGTGCAAATTTCTGTTGTGAAACATAACTCACTGTAGAATGCATATAAAATACATTTATGCATTTAAATTTTATAGTACAAGTACTCATAAAATTTTTATTGTAGTGAAGGTACAAAATAGTCTCAGCACTCTAAGAATTCTAAAATTGTTTCTTCCAGGCAAAATTGTTTCTTCATTAGATTTACTATTATACCACTTTATGTTTACTATGCTCTTGCATTTCTATTATTATTCAATTAGGTATGCATTCCTAAATATAAGAATTTAATTTTGTCTGTCTTGGGACTTACTGTAAGGAGACTTCTGCAGCTGTGTCATTTTATATCACATATTTATGCATTACAGTTGTGAGAGATTCATGCAGATTGTATTTAGCTAGATACTTCATTCAGACAACCTAGATACTCCTATATTATATGTGATTTTTCTTTTTGATGCCTTTTAAATCATATTGTCATTTATATTGTTGAATATTATTTTTGATATATGTCTACAGACGTTTCAGTTTACTGTGTATTTGTGTAATTTAACACTAGTGATGTTAACGGTTTATTTACTGGTACATCAACATTCACTTTCATCTGACGACACAGCCCACATACGCCACCTATAGGTGAGTTTTTGTTTTAGGAATAACTCTGGCTGTCATCCTGACTCTCCTGGGACTTGCCATTATTGCCATTTTGTTAACAAGATGGACACGACGCAAACAGAATGGTAAGTACTGAGTCAGGGTGAAGGCTGCCTGTCAGAGCCACAGAAGGAAGGATGCGAAGACAGTCTTGAGTTTGCTTCTGACTATCAGGTAGCTAGAGACTTGGCCGACACTCTGGAACTGGGTTTCAAATACTGAGTCAAGTGGATAGCAACTGGGGTATGAGGGCAGCTGGATACTTGTGTTGTTTGGTTGACTTTGTGGGCCTGGGGCCAGTGGTCTGGGCTCCGCTGGGAGGACAGCAGAGTGCAGTGTAGCAGGTGTGGGGAATTTCCTTCTGTCTTGTTTTTGGGGTTCAGTATTGTTCTCATTGTTTTGTTCCAATGAAGAAGTATTTTGCTTTATTCAGTATTCTGTTTTGACTGGTTTTATTCTGTTTGGTTTTGGTTTGATTTTACTATGCCTGATGGAATGGACAACTAATGTGAAGATAATGAGATACACTATGGTAGCCATTGTTGTTTTCCTAGTATCTGCTTCAGAGTTCTGTACTAATTCCACTGCTTTGTTTTGATTGGATTTATTCTGCTTGGTTTTGTTGGATTTTATTATCTTTTAAAAATACATGAGCCAAAAAATCTTTGACTGAGCAAGTCTCCTTGCATGGCTACATCCCCAAAGTTCATGGCTCAATACTGTCATCAAAGAAATCACAAGCATAATTTAGCAAGAGTAACAAAATACTTTAAAACAATAGTAACAGAATTCCAAAGGAAACTGAGTAAACTTGAATGGAGAAGACAGGATACTGGTCAACATCGGCATCTAGTATTACATGGAAAGGACTGGAGACTTCCAGCAACATAAAACCGAGAGGTGATAAGACATATCCCGAGTATGTAGTGCTTAACAGCGTAGAACAGAAGGGCTTTACCAAAGCAGGCTCCTTCCTAAGTCACAGCAGCCCACAGATTTTCCTCAGTATCTCTCCCACTTTCTTCTAATCATCTATATTCCCACCCTGTTTCCTGTACTGAAGGCCTGTGAGCCTTCAGAGAGTAATTAGTGTGAAGTGGCTGGTATAACAGGGTTTCCTGGGGACACTGAAGAGAGGTGGGAATCAGTGACATGTTACAACACAGGGCCACCTTGGAGAAAGAAGCATAATTTAGGGCGAGGAGAGAGGGGTCAGGGCAGAACAGTTCCCACAAGTAATTAACAGAAACATTTCTGCCTAATTCTTCCACAGAAATAGATGCTTCCAGATACAGTTCAGAACAAAGTAAGTACTTATCTCTATGAGAAAAAGAAATAAAGCAAGAATGTATGAATTTTTTATAGGGCAGAAGCAAAAAGTATGTACTGTTGTGTTTCCAGCATCAGGTAGAAAATGTATCATTCCAAAAACTGAACTCCTCAATTACTAAGAAAAATACACCAGAGGTTCCTTAGAGCCTTGCAAACCAGATAATGTTGGGCACAGTAAATTAGCGTGGGAAGGCCTATGTGATTCTGAGGCTTCTTTTGGAGAGCAGCAACAGAGACACCAGGCCTTGGAAACAGCAGGCTGTTTGGGCATTTCAGCAGTTGGTACCTAAGTCCAGTAGCAAAGAAGATCTCGACGAAGGGACAGTATAGAAGAATCTAATGTGACCAGTGGTGACAAGCACGAATGCAAATAGGGTGATTGTGACTGAGAGGTACAGAGCCAAGTTCAATATATGAGTAGCCGAAGCAGATTTTCCATATTAAGATCTGGAAAGATGCTTAAGTTGCTATAAAGATAGGTCAGGATTAATAAGGGAGAAAACAGGAACCAGGTGCTGGAGTGAAAGCAACTTTGAAGCTCCTTCTGATCAGCATTTAGCCTGGGTAATATTTGAACACTGATGACCACATAACCACTTATCTATCATTACCTACTTCTGATACTTATGCACAATCTGTAGTTCCTGCAAAACAGAAGTTAATTCATATTCTTATTTAACACAGGAGTTCACAGTAACGTTAACTCTCAGAATCTTACAGAAAGCCCCACTGGGTTCATTTTTGTCAGTGTGACAAAATATCTGAGAAACAAAGACCTAGGGAAGAAAAGGCTTACTTTAATTCACAGTTTCAGAAACTGAAGTCCTGGTCAGCTGTTTCCATAGCTCTTAGGTCTGCAGCAAGGCAGAAGCTTCATGGCAGGAGTGCAGCTAGGAAGGCTGCTCACCTTCTGGGAGCCCAGATGCAGAAAGAAAGGGAGAGAACCAAAGAGGAAGGAACCAGGGACCAGATAGGTCCCCAAGGCCCCAGCCTCATGACCCCCTCTTTCCGCTAGGCCTCACCGCCTGTCCCCATCATCTCCCAATAACACCACTGGATTATCATCTCATCGGTGGGTTCATCCCCTATAAAGTCAGAACCCCATAATCCAATCACATCTCTAAGCCCACCTTGACACTGCTGCACTGGGGTTAAGTTCTCTGCATTGTACATGAGTCTGTGGGAGATGGTTCATATTTAAACCCTAATACCCACTAGTAACATGGACAGAAAACCATGGCGCTCTCTTTATTTCCTTCTCTAGGTGCTAGGCTTCTGGACTATGAAGATGGCGCAGGTAAGTAGATAGGAAACTACCAGAAAATTAATAGGAGAATGAGGTATTTATAAAAAAGGAGGCTCACTTCCCTTTTAGAATAAGTTAGGGGGTTTTGTTTTGTTTTGTTGGTACCAGGGATCATGCTTGCCAGGCAGGTGCTTATCCTGCTGAGCTAAATCCCCAGCCCTCCTTTTAGAATAATTTGTTATTAAATCAACTGTTTATCAACCTCCCTATGCATGTGCATATGCAAAGGATCATGCATTTCTCTCAGAAAAGGCAACTAGAAATCTCCTAATTAAGATCATTAAAGGATTTCCAGCTCCTGTTTACTCGCTAAAATCTTGAAAAGGCTGAAGAACCTCCCTGAAACAACTTCTTAGACGTTTTAAGTGAGGATAAAATACAGCATACATGGGCCAGGGATATAGCTCAACAACACAAGCACTTGCCTGGCAAAGTGCAAGGTGGTGAGTTCGATCCCCGGTACAAAAAAAAAAAAATACTATATATAATTTAGAGGTTGTTATAAAGATTAAATGGAATAATATATGTGAAAAGTCACTTAGGGAGATTTTGGAAGCTATATAGTATAATGTAAGAAGACATGCAACTTACATTTACTATTTTAGAAGACCAAATTGCCAGGTATAGTGACACATGCCTTTAATCCCAGCACTCTACAGAGGTTGAGGCAGGAGGATCACCACGCGCTTAAAGTCAGCCTCAGCAACCTATTGTTTCCCTGAAAAACCTACCTAGAAACAGATTCTAGCATGACTTTAAAAGAGACATCCTGTAAATGAGCCCTACCAGGAGTTCAAAGTCAACCTGAACTACATAGCAAAACGTTATCTCAAAAAAAAAAAAAAAAAAAAGATGGCATTGATGCTCAAAAAGGTTGATGTTTCTAGGCATGGTAGTATGCGCCTGTAATCCCAGGACTGAGGCCAGTTTGAGGCCAGCCTGGACTATAAAGAGAGTTCAAAGCCAGCCTGAACTGCATAGTGGGACCCTTTCTTAAAAAGACAAAAAAAAAAATGGTCACCCAAAGTTTAGCTAAGGAAAGAGAACACAGATCTGGGACTCTGAGCCAGTACTTGCATTCTTATCACATATCACCCACTTTGCTTTATGGTAACAAACAGCCCACTTTGTATGGAACTTCAGTACCTACTATTACTAATAGCTATGAACTGCCCTTCCCATGCATACATAGGTTCTGACATGAACATGGAATAACGATAAAGCTTAATTCAAGTAAAACTTCAGAAATTTGAATTATGAGGACCCTCCAAGGCTTTATCTGATTTTTTTTGCACCGTCGTATATACCACTAATTTCAATATCCTGTGTGTATCTTTAACTCTCACACTTCAACATAGATTACTGTCTTTCAAAATCTGCTCTCCAGGGCTGCCTATGGATACACCCCTGCTTACTTACTCACCTATTTCCAAAACTCCCTAAGGACCACAGACTGGCCTCTCATGCTGATGCTGGCTGACCTCACTAAAGTTGCCTACAGTAGGTCCACCAACCAAACTGGAACTACAGGGTTGATGAGGTTGTAAACTGTGGGAACAACTACACACACACACACACACACACACACACACACACACACACACAGAGTACAAGCAAAAGTGCCACAGTTCCCCCAAAATGAAGGAAAGAATAAAGGGTCCAACATCCACACTTACATGGAAGGTACATTCTCCCCGTCTTACCTCTACAATTCACTTGTAAGGAATGACACAAATGAGGAGCAAAGAGTGAGGACACCCTTTCTTTTCTGAAACAGAACCCCTAAAAATGGAAATACCTGAACAAGTAGCAAATCTTAGTAGCACTAAGTATACTAATGATAAACTTCTTTCTTTGTGAGTTATTTATAAAAATCAATGTTTTGTTTCTTTCTCACAAGATTCATCATATAAGAGATCTAAAAGAACAAGAGGTAAATAGATTTTCACTTAATAAGGCAGCAATGTAGACATAATTTTCAAGGTCAAACCTCATTATTTTTTCATTTTTTAGGGCTCCGGCACTCATATTCAACAGAAAGTGGTAAATAAATCAGACACTGGATTGTTAAGAAATTAATACATAAGTCTACTTAAGAGAAATTAAGACTTATTTTTATTTGATTCTCTAAGCATTTCATATGATGATCAAGGTAAATATAAAGATTATCGCAAAATTAAAGCATAAAAATGAATACTTCCTGTAGTAACATGATGTACTAAAAGTCTAGTGTTAAGACAGCTTTCTATCACTGTGACAAAATATCTGAGAAATACTATTTTTAAACGAAGAAATGTTTATCTTTGCACCTGTTTTCAGGGGTGTCAGTTCATGGCTGCTAGGTCTGCTTGCTTTTAGCCCTGTGGAGAGGCAGTACAGCACAGTGAAAGCTCATGGCGATGGAAACATAGTCACTTGTGGCAGCCAGAAAGAGAGAGCGCTCACTTGTATCACAATGTCCCCTTCCTGAAACCTATTAAGCTATAAATTAATAAACAAATGAATTCATGCATGAGGTGAAAGCCCTCATAGTCTGATCACCCCACCAAAGATCTGCTCTGATCACTGCTCACTGGGAACCAAGACTTCAACATACTGGGAATATTTAAGATTCAAATTAACAACTAACAAGACAAAAGCTTGAAGTAGTGTAAAGGATATTTTGATAAATGCTTAGTGGGTTTCCTTTTTACCAAGTCCCGTCCATTTCCTCCCCTAATCAGTTAACACAAGTACTCAAAGAGTGGCATCAGCAAGTGAAACGGAAGCATCCCACTGTTCTCCCTCCCAAAAGCATAGATTTACACAACCATCAGAAGATGAAGGAACATCTGTAGGAATCCAGGAGTTCATTGCAGAAAATTCAGCACGTAACTGAATTATAAAATCTTAGAATATATGTCTTCAAAAGGCTAATACTAACCATTAACTGTGCCTTTCCTATGATATTGAGGAGTAAATCCCTCAATTTGAAAATTCACCACATTATGCTGTTATCTGGGTAATAAAATTCCAAGGGCAACAAATGTGGCCATCCTCTAGCTTATTATTTACATCTTCTGCTTCTCAGGAACCAAACCTCCCCAATGCTATACACTTGGCCAGTGCAAGAAGCTACCTCAGTGTGAGGAGATTAAGGGTTCACGGGCAAGAAAATAAAACTACACACGATAAGAAGAGAATCAACATGTATCCAGCACCTATTCTGTGCTAGTCACTCCTGTGGGTAATTTTCATTTTATTTTGTACATATGAACAACCCTATGAGTCCCACAGAGAGGAACAGCCCACAGATCCCTGCCTGGTTTGTCTGACACCTCCCTCCCCTCCAATGGGGAACAAAAGGGAAAGGCGCTTCATCTTCCAGGCTTATGCAGCCCCATATCGAGGACACTGTTGAGGACTTCAGTGTTGAACCTATATAATCATAACACAGTGCTTTTGTACATACATATGTGTAAGGTATGTCGCTTTCAAGTCCAAAAGCCAAATCCTGATCCCCCCTGCACACTAGTACTGGCATTTGTATTCTCTCAGGTGCTCAGCCTATCCATCCTGGAGTCATCTTTAATTCTTTCCTCTCACTCTCTTCATCCAGTCCACCAATAAATCCCACTACTAATATTTCCAAATCAGATCATTTCTTACACCGTAACAATCTCAACCTGAACACCAGCATCTCTTCTTGCCTGGACTACTCCAACTGTTTCCAAAGCCGGTTTCCTTGTTTCTCTTCTCCCTCTTAGAGTCTTCTCTCCTCACCACAGTCAGGAAGGTTCCTCGTCAACTCTTTTTAAATAACTAATTTACTATGCACTGTCATTCCTAACTTATAAAACAGACACACATGCTTGCAAAATCTTAAAGATTTGCCCAAGCTTACAGGGCGTGCAAGTAGCTAAATTTGGATTATGAACTTGGAATTGCCTAATACTAAATTTCATTTTTATAAAACATAGTAATATCTCAGTTACTATTTCTGGGTTATGAATATTTGCATTCTTAGGGCAAAATTTGAATTAGTAAACACCTGCTGCTGTCTGAATAAGGCAAAATTTTAAATTTACAAAGCTAATGGCTGTTTACTTCTCTAACTCCCCAGGCACTTCTGGGGAGATCAGTGAGTTCGCATGCTCTTTTAGTCTCCCCTGTACCATTTCTAGACAAAGAAATACAAATTTGCTGGTCAAACTGGGGCCACAGAAGTATTCACACAGAAAAATATTCACTAAGGTCATAAGATTAGCTTAGGCACATGAAATGTAACAATGCTTAAATTTTAAAATATCAACATTAAAATTATTATAATTCAAAATTTTTTAAATTTAACTGAGTTTATTCTTAATTTTATAGCAAATGTAAATACATCACTTTAAAGTACTAGTAGCAAATTTCATAACCATTGTTGATAACCTTGTACTCTGTTTTACATCATGTGCTATGTCTATCCTTGGTTTTGACTGACAGCTTTGTTTTGCCATATTTGACTTTATTCTCTCCCCCCCAATAAAGTAATAAGAACTAAGGAATAATAAAATCCAAAATGTGTAAATTTTGTTGTAAAAAAGAGAGAGGAAAAAAAAAAGAGCTCTAACGGATATAACAGCAAGTATGTTTAGGGGTGTTAAATAGCTGACTATATTACTGTTTTTGGATCATTGAACACAGCTGTTTGCAGTCTCTCTGTTTGAATGTCCACTTTGTATTCTTTGATACTGTGACTTGAGCAACTATTTCTAAGATGATAATATGTAATCTATTAACAGGTGATTTCTTACTGTTTTTTTTTTTTGTAGTTCTGTATTACGTGTACCCTTACACCACTTTGTTTTGTTTTGTGTTTTTCTCTTTTTCCTCTTAAATAAAATTAAAAACAAAAAAGAAATACATAAAAGGTTTCCAGCATCTTAATATTTTCTTTTTTTAAATAAAACTATGAGAAAAAAGTAACAGTATGAAACAAGGAGGTTTTTGTGTGTTTTGGGTTTAATTCCCGCCACAATGGCAGCAAAGTATAGAACAACACTCATTTTTCAGAAGTGGAGCTAAAGAGGAAAATGTTGCCTATCTCACCTGTTTCTAGGTAAATCTTTAACTACATTTTAATAAAATATCAAATGATACTGCCAGACAACATAATTTAGAACAACCACAGTGTCAAAATTACTATTTACTTTCATGTTTTCGTGAAAACAACTGTGATAGCATGACTCATTTTTGTGTAATTTGTTTTGTGGATCTCCAGATCTTTCAGAAATTCTGTTCCTAGAACATCACTGAGAAACACACTTTAGATCACAGGATATATACTTAATTACAAAAGTAATTTAAATTACAAAAGTATTATCGGGTGTAGTGGTGCACACCTATAAAACTCAGCACTCAGGAGGCTGAGGCAAGAGGACTGTTGAGAGTTTGAGACCAGCCTGTGCTACAAAGCGAGCTCAAGGAACTGCATAGTGAGACCCTGTCTCAAAAAGACTAAAAAAGAAAATTACGAAAATATTTCCTAAAATTTGCTATCTTTCCAATGAACTTGAATTCTCCATCAGCTGAGTAAATTATTTTATCTTCTTTTTCTTATTTTCTATTTTATGATTAATACATTCCTATGTTTTAATGTTTCTGTACATTATTTATTACACATAGTTTCCCCATTTAATCTTTACCAGCTTTTTTATTTCACTTAACTCATAAATTAACCCTTGGGGAGATTTTGCCTGCATTTTCTTGCCTGTTTGATATCTGAGGGTATTCACTGGTTAATCATCTGTAATAATACCAAAACTAAAATTGAAAACTTATTTTTCTTTGTTCCTTTCTTGCGTGTGTCTGTGTACATTTTCAGAACACTGCAAAGAGTACAGTAAATATTCTCATTTTTCAATAAATATTTGATTGCCATTAGTAACACTTTTCTAGACTATAATTGTTTTGAGGAAAGAGAAATCCTATCAGAATATATGAACACTTGAGTCTTCCAATGCATATTTAAAATAGTCTGTCAATAACAAGTTAAAAGAATTAATGAGAGAAATTAAATTAAAAGAAATAATGAGAGAAAAAAAGGGAATAAGAGGTGAGAATGAGGAAGGAAGGGGTGAGAACAGAGAAACAGAAAAAGATGTAAGGACAGAACTTTATAGGAAGAGCATTTGTCTGCTAAAAATTAAACCTTTTTAAAGACTTAAAGGATGAGAAATATGCCAGGCATGGTGGCGCACATCTGTAATCCCAGCTTTGGAAGGCTGAGGCAGGACTGCCATGAATTTGAGGCCAGCCTGACCTGCATAATGAGTTCAAGACCAGCCTAGAATACACAGAAAGACTGTGAAAAGGAAAGAAGGGAAGGGAACTAAACAGAAGGGAAGGGAAAGAGAAGAGAGGCAAAGAGAGGAGGGGAGGAGAAAGGAGGTGAGGGAAGGGGAAGAAAGGGGAGGAAAGGAAAAGAGGATAAGATACACCTGGTGGGAATGGTCTCTAGGTAGTCATCACCTGGTCAGTAAAGTCTCTCTGAGTTCCTGAGAAACAGTGACAAGCAATGATGCTGATATGCAAAGGTTAGGGACCCAAATTCCAGTGATGCAACTCATGTTTTTCTGTGTATGTGTTTCAGCACCATCAGTCAGCTCCATAGGTAAGTCTTTTATGGCTTATTTTCAATTTTAGTGTTATTTAGTTTGGAAGCCTTGTTTCTGTATTTATTTTTAAAGAAGTTTTAAAAATAAGTATAAAAATTAAAACATGTATATCCACACCCTTGATGTAGCAAACTGATACTGTTTGGTCGTATTTCTTCAGCTACAGATAATGTTGAAAACCCTTTTGTCCCAAATTTCTAGATTCACTATATTCCCCTCCTCCTAAGCACTTTTAAATGTATTATAAATCTTTAAAGTGTTTTTGCATACTTATATAATCTCCATCACTAAATAAAATATATTTGATTATCATAATTTTACTGAACTAGCATCATTCTGGATGTATCATTATGACTTAAGTTTTCCTCAAAAAATGTAACTTTACTATACACAGATATCCAAATAGAACCAATAAAAACAAATCTGTTGGAAGACAAATTAGGTAAAAAGCTTGAAGACATAGGGGTAGGTAGAGAATTCATGAGCAGGAATTCAAATGGCACAGGAAATTCTTCTCAGAATCAATAACTGGGATCACGTCTCATTAAAAAGTTTCTGCATGTCAAAAGAAATATCCAGCATAGTGAAAAGAAAACTCACAAACTGGGAAAAAATCTTAGTGAACTGTCCCTCAGACAAAGGACTTCTTCTAAAACATATAAAGAATTTAAAATATCAGACCCCCGAAATTCAAAGACCCAATCCAAAAATGGGCATCTGAGATGAATACACAGTTCTCAGATAAGAAATACAAATGGCAAATAAATACATGAAAAAATGTTCATCATCATTACTCATTAGAGAAACGCAAATTAAAACCACACTGAGATTCCATCTCATGCCAGAGAAAAATGGCCAGGATCAAGAAAACTACCAACAGCAAATGCTGGAGAGGGCTGTGGGGGAAAAGGAACTCTCCTGCACTTTGGTGAGCGTGTAGACTGGTATAACCACTGTGGAGGTCAGTCTGGGGATTCCTCAAAAAGCTGGAGTGGGAAGTCCCATTGAACCCAGCTATTCCACTTCTATACATATTCCCAGAAGAACTGAAAACATCATACCACAGTGATATATGTGCACTCATGTTTATAGCAGCACAATTTGTAACAGCCAGATCTTGGAAACAATCTAAGTGTCCATCAACTGAGGAATGGATTAAAAAGTTGTGATATTTTTATACAATGGAGTACTACTCATCTATAAAGAATGATCACATTGAGATATTTATAAATAAATGGACGCAACTTGAGACTATACTTATAAGTGAAATCAAACTCACATGTATGAATACTGTATAGTCTCCCTAGTTTAAGAAATGGTAAGAGTACATAAGAGTACGGTAATCATGATTCCTCATGACATTGTTTTGAGGCCTTATAATGTTTTCATTTATTAATTGGAATGGTTTTATCCTGGGTTGTTTGATTTTATTATCTATGATGGTATGAACAACTATTTTGAAGAAAACAAGGCATTATAATATCCAGTGCTGAGTTAATATCATCTTGCTCTGAAGTCCCACCATGCTTTTGTTCTTCTGTTTCCATTGGTTCTATCATGTTGTATCTTACTGGATTTTAATATGTGTGATAGTATAAACAAATTTTCTATGGAAAGTGAGACAATAGAGTAGCCATTGTTCGTTTTCATTTATTCAGTTCTGAATGCCCTGTAATACTTTCATTCTCTTGAACAGTTTTATACTATTTTTTATTTTTAATACTATTGTATATGAAATTATGCTCAACTATTTCAAAGAAAGAGACATTATGGTGGCTACTGTTAATTTGCAGGTTGCCTTGTAGTGAAATACTATGTTGCATACATTATTCTGATCTGCTTTGTTATGTCCCCTTTTGTCTTAATCTCTTTAAAATTAAAAAAAAAATTTAAAGTTTCAGATTTTGACCATTTAGTTGGCTGTTGGTTTATCATAGAGACAGCTCTTACTTGATTGACATAAAGGCCATCTATTCCAATTTTCTAAAGTGTTTCTTAACATTAATGGGCATTGGAATTTGTCAAATGCTTTTTTGGCATCTATGAAGTAATCATGTGATATGTGTCTTTGACTTTGTTCATTTGGTATTTTACATTTATTGATTTGCTTATGTTGAACCACTCTTTCATTCCTGGGATAAATTTCACATGGTTATAGTGTACAGTCTTCGGGGCTGGGGATTTAGCTCAGCGGCATAAGCGCCTGCCTTGCAAGCAGGCAGTCGTGAGTTCAATCCCTGGTACCGATAAAAACGAAAAAGACAAAAAAAAATTATATATATATATATATATATATATATATATATATATATATAGTACAGTCTTCTTGATGATTTACTGCATTCTGTTTGCCAATATTTTATTGAAGTTATTTACATCTATATTCATTTGAGAGATCAGCCTGTAGTTCTCCTTTTTGGTTGTATCCTTCTCTGGTTTTGGACAGGGTAATACTTGCTTCCAGGAATGACTTGGAAGTATTACTTCCCTTTCAATTTCATCAAAGAGTTTGAAGAGTAATGGCATCAGACCTTCCCTAAATTTCTTGTAGAATTCATCAGTGAATCTATGAGTACCTAGGCTTTTCTTTGTTGCTAAGTTTTAAATTACATTTTCATCTTAATGACTGGTACTGGGTTATTTAGAAATTGTGTAGCTTCTTGATTCAACTTTGGCAATCCTTATGTGTCTAGAAATCTATCCACTTTCTTTGTGTTTTCCATCTTATTAAAGGTTCTCTAAGTATGTACTGATAATCTGGATTTCCACAGGATCTGCTGTGATTTCACCCTTCCCATTCCTAACTGCATGAATCTGAGGCTTTCTTTCCTTCTTGATAAGGGTATTTCAATTGAGTAAGGGTATTTCAATTTTATTAAATCAAAGAACCAATGCTTCAAGTCGGTGCTGCTTTGTATTATTTTCTTAGTCTCAACTGCATTCACTTTTACTCTGATCTTTATAATTTTCTCCCTCATACAAATTTTGGACTTGATTTGCTCTTTTCTAAAAACTTGAGGCTCAACATTAGGTAGAGTTTATCCTGTTTTCCTGATATGAGAACTCACTGCTATAAATTTCCCTCATAGGACTGCTTCCACTGCAGCCCATAAGTTCCAGTATCAGCATTACCGTTTAATTGTAGATACAGTTTAATTTTTTCTGTGACTAATGGTTATTCAGTAGTGCTATCTAACTTCCATGTTTTTCTGGGGTTTGTGGTTCCTTTTGCCACTGACTTCCAATTTCATTGTACTATAGTCAGATAATATGCATGGGGTAATTTCAAATCTTTTGCATTTACTTAAGCATGTTCTATGGTCCAGCATATGGTCTATTTTGGAAAAGGTCTTATTCACAATTGAGAAGAATGTGTATGCTGAAATTGTGGCATGGAACCGTCTATAGACACATAGTAGGTCCATTTGTTCACAGGTTTGATATAGTCCGGATATCTTTGTTTTCTAGCTGATTTGTTCGAGACAGTGGAGAATTAAGGTCCCCTATTACAATTATGTAGGTCATTATTTGATTTTTCATGTCCATTAATACATGTTTTGAGTACTTGGATGCACTTGTATTTGGTGAATATATATATATGATTTTCTCTTCTTGCAATTTTCATTCACAAGTATTTAGTTACCTTCATTATTTCTTTTGATCAATCTTGGTTTAACGTTCATATTGTCTTCAAATACAAGAGCTATCCCTTGTTTTGTGGTATTTCTGTTGCATAGAGTACTGTTTTCCATTCTTTGACTTTCAGTCTATGAATTGGTTGAAATACTCCAAGCTCTCTTTAAGGATTTTTATTGAGAAGTCTTCCTGATTCTAATGCGCTTTCTTTTATCAATGATTTCTTTCTTCTAACAGCTTTTAATATTTAATATTGTGTTCATGTGCTGAATTTCTTGGATTCCAACTGTCATATGTTTTCATGTAGATTAATTTTGGTTATGGCTCACTGAAGCTCTGTATGCCTCACTTGTCTGTGGAATTATTTTTCCATGTTTGGGAAGTTTTCTGCCATTACTTCTGTGAACAGGTTTTTTTTTTATGGCATTACACTTTCAGGCTTTCTCAGTGACTCCAATCAATCCTATGCTATTCTCTTCTTTGTACTGTCATACAGCTGCTGAATTGATTTTTCATGGCCCCTAACTTTTCTTAAGATATCTTCCTCTTTGTGGTCACTCACTGCAACCCTCTCTTCTAGATCTGATACTCTCTCCTCACCTTCACTCAAATGGTTGCATACACACTCGGTGAAACGTCTATCTCCGGGATAGCTGTTTGGATTTGTTTCGCAGATTCCGTTTCTTTCCCATGTTAGGCACTCATGGTTTTCCATCACTTTCCTAAGCTGCTTTGCCTTTTTATCTGTCTACTCTAGGTTCACTGAGTGAGTCCTTCATTTTCATCATTTTTTTCTCTATGGACTCATTCATCTATCTTTTGTTTTTGTTTCTTTGTTTCTTTTTACTTTTGCTGCTATCATTTCAGAAAATTTAGGTGGGTGACATCCGATTTCCTTTACCTTACTGTCCCTTGGACTTGGCCTGAGTGAGTTGAAAGTCTAGGGTTGAATTCCACTTCTATGTCTTGTCATTTTCTATTTTTTTTTAATTTTATTTTGTTTTCTGTGTTGGTGCTTATAAAATTCTTATAGTATATAAGAATATAGCTTTATCACTAGTATCAAGACCTTCCTAGGAAATATCTGCTCTTCAGGGATGTCTTCTAGATATAGGGAGTTCTTGGTTTTTGTATCTGTCCCAAGATCCTACCTTCCCAATTTATTAAGGATGAGATGTTGTTCTATATTTGGCTCAGCACCCAGTGCTTTGGTACTGGACTATGGTGGTTATTACCCTAATAACAGTAGTGTCATACGAGGGAAAATAACTGATTACAACAGATATGACATCCTGGTTAAAGTATTACAATTAACAATCAATCATCAAGTACAACCTAGCAACTAACAAGCTATGGTAACTATTAATTTGGCACCTTTAACCATAAGGGCAAGATCTACAATTATATAACAAAATCCAACTTAATTCAGCAACTTGTATACAAAGTTTCCCCTTAGTATATTGATTTTACCCTGCGGTGGAGAAATTTAAGGGAAATAGGGAACAAAACAGAAATAGAGAAATATAGTAGAATCAAGGTTGAAATACAAACAATCACACAAGCTTTGGGAAACTAGAGAAGAGGGAAATGGAGAATGAAAAAGAAAGCAAAAGATTACTGACATAGACCAGAAAAAAAAAAATTAAGCATTTTTGCTAGGGATTTAGCTCAGCGGCATAAGCCCCTGCCTGGCAAGCATGAAGTCATTGAGTTCGATCCCCAGTACCAAAAAAATAAAAAACTGAAGTGGACCAGAAAGACTAGAAATGATGTTTACTAACATGAGAATATTATAAAATCAAGAGAGTTGGGTGAGAAAAGATGATGAATAAAATAGAATAAAAATAAAGAAGCAACTCCCAAAAAAGCGCACAGAAAAAAGAAAATGAAACAAAGAAAAAAATAGAAATAAGGCATAGTAGCACTCACCTGAAATGTTAGCACTTGGGAAGTTGAGGCAGGAGGATTATTGTGAGTTTGATCTCCCCTCCCATGGGGTGCCACTCTAAGATACATAATGAGTTCAAGGCCAACAAGAATTAAACAGTGAGACCCTGCCTCAAAAAATAACAATAACAACCTACCTTTGGTGTGCACAGTTCTGTGGTAGTGTCCAATTCAGAGCCCAAAATTTCTGGGTAACCCCACTAAGTCCAAAGTAAGATTAGTGCTAATGAGGGGCTGACCTTGGCATCTTCATGTGGATGCCTGGGGCCAGAGACCTCAGCCAGTAACTTAAGTCTCTTGGTGGCCCGGCCACTCTTTATTTACCTTTACCCTGTTTGTCTGCATTTCTCCTCCAGTTGCTGGGATACTTACAGATAGAGACAGCCCAAGGCGGCTCTGTACAGTTGGCTCCTCCTGGTCTTTGTACAGCCTCCTCTATCCCATTTCCACCAGCACGCCTCTATGCTCCTGTGCCACTTGTGGTGGAGTGGGTGGGGTGGATGCTGCACACTGATTCTCTGCTCCTGTTGCTGTCACTCCAGGTTGCCTGGTCCCAGTTTGATCTCCCCTCCCGCAGGGTGCATGCACACTTCCCTCTCATTTCGGTGCTGAGTGCAAGGTTGCCTTGTCACTGTACAGGGCTACTTAAAGCCTACATCCCTCTCGAGCCACTGTTCCACTCACTGCCTTGACTGCCACCACTGCTGCAGTCCCTGACCTTGCTGTCCTGAGAGGTTCCAGCTCTGGCACAAAAAAAAAAAAAAAAAAAAAAATCGGGGGCTGGGGATTTAGCTCAGCAGCCTAAGCGCCTGCCTTGCAAGCAGGCAGTCCTGAGTTTGATCCCGGTACCAATAAAAAAGAAAAAGACAAAAAAAAAAAAAAATCAACAGGAACCAGGTGGCTTACTAGGGAGGGAGCAGTTCACTTGCTTCTGTGTGTGCTGGAGGAATTTGCTGCCAGACTGCTGCATCCCCTGTTTGGAGAAAGGCAAAAAAGGCAGAGGGCCTTCTACCCAGAATCCATCTGTGTAGTCAAGTTAGCTGCACTATTTCAGTCTAATATTTTACTTTACAGTATGGTGGTCCCGCACTGCCTGTGGGCAAGGCAATCCCCCAGCAGCCCTGCGGCCTAGATCACCATTTTATCAAGGCCCACGTCTATGTTTTGTTTGATCAGCAAGCCTCTTATTTCAGACTGATTTTGGCATCAGGATGGATGACCCTCACATCCTTCCAATTACCTGTGTTTTTAGTTGATTTTCTCTGAGTAGCTCCAACATGGCTCCTCCTCTGTTCGCCCATGCTCAATCTCGTATTTCGTTATTTAAGTATTTACTGAATTTATAAATGCTGAAGCTGCATTCCACAACATTTTTCTATTTATTATTTTTCTTAAGTACATAATTGCTTTAGTTTTATATTTCATCTCTTGCTATATTTATTTCAAGTTTTGTTGCATTATGATACAAATATGTTGTTGATGTGATACAGAATCTTTTAATGAGTTGAGACTTTTGGAGGCTAGTAAGTGAACCTGAAAAGAACATATTTATTTTACTGGTTGGATTCACAATGTTAGCTTCAGATATTTGACTAGCTACTCCTGGACATTATTAAGTGTATTTAATCTTGCAATTCAAAATATCCTTTTGAAATAAAAGTTTCAAGGAATTTATGAAATCATCAATACATGAAAAATACTTCAATTTTTAAAATGCCATGAGTTTAAAAACTCATGAATTAACATAAATCTAGAAATTGATTATGCTACTTCAGTATTGTGCCAAATATTAACCTAAGAATAAGGCTGTTTTATAACATGTAACTTTCAAAACTATCCTTAGAAAATGATTAAGTTTGATATTTTACTACTTTTATAATTGAAATTGCTGTCTTCATCTCAGTACATCAGATACATGTATCAGCTCATTTGTTAATTATATCATTCAGACATTCTTTATTATTCTTGTGCATATTACTTTCAGAGAAATATAGCCCTTTTAATACCACATTTCAAGACTGCCCATATTTTATGTGCAATGCTTACAGAATCTAAGTTCTGAGACATGCAAAACTCATTCTTCTTTATTTTGTTTTATTTTAGGACCATCTCATTCAAGTCTCGGTAAGTTTCTATGTCATACAATTACTCCATTATCCCACAGATTTCATGGATCAACTTTACATTAGCTTTGGTTTCACTGTTTTTCCTCCATAGACAGGCTCTGTCCTTCCATTCAATCTTCATTAAGCCACTGTTTAAAACTCCACTTCCAAAGATGGTCTGCTGTAAATGAATCACTTTTCTAGCATTCCTTAACATAGCAAGGATTAATGGTGCCACTTAACATTCTATTTTCTTTTTGTGAGCCTTAGATTACACAGGAAGACTACTTCCAGTTTCTTAACCATACAGGGGACAGGAGCGCTCCATTTATGCTGATGGTCAGGTGTTAAAAACAAGCCTCCAGTAAGACTTTCAAGTGGGTGGTAAAACTTCTCATTTACCAGCAAAATTAAGGGTTGGTATATCGGTCTTGGAAACCTGTCTTCCTGGTTTTCAAGATTATGTCTCCATGTTAGTACTTCAAAAATACTGTGTCCGGTTTTTCCGACTCATTAGAGAGACTAAGATAGCTATCTTGATAGCAAGACTTCTTTTCCTGAACTGTTTATCTTTTCATAAATGTTAAATGACTTGTGGGAAGTGGAAACTCCTTATTAAAACAGTCATATAGTAACAGCTTGATGTGACAAGGAACTTTTCAAAGGAGAAAAACAAGAAACAGAGAGGAAGATGAGCAAAGGTGATGGAATAAAAGAATGAGAGTAGAAAAAATTAAACAAGATATATGTAGAGAAAATTGTTCAAGGACTGAGAATTTAGCAGTCCTCTAAAACATTTTTACTCTCTTACCCAAAGAAATTAAGACATGTGGCATAGATCTTACAATCCTGCTCTACCACAAGAATATAAATTGAAAAATATACAAAAGTCCTAAGTTTATACCTGAATGCACACCATTAATAGTTATCCAGGAGCACAGCATGTGGCCTTGCAGCTGGTAACAGAGCACAGGATGTGATTCACGTCTTCCGTCTTCTCACACCCTGCCGCAGTGCAATACCTCTGGACTCTAAGTTCTCCTGGAGTCTTGTTGAACTCACTCTTGTTTTTATTTTCTTTTAGTAATGTCTCGATCAAGTGTTGGTAAGTTCTTTTATGTTTTTTCTTTGAGCATGGTATCGGAAGTTACTGAAAACCGAGTGATTAATAAAAGTATAAAGGATTAAAATGGTTTTTGCTGGTAATGATAGTTTTGACAAAGTAATAATTTTTTAAATTAGGAAAAGAAAGAAGGTAGGTTGTGAAGAGAGTAGGAAGTCGGGAACAAAGGTAAGGTAAATAAAGAAAGTTATGTTTATTGAGTCCATACATTTAGGTATTAGAAATGAGAAAATGAAACTTGAGGAAATTAGTAAGGATAATAATAAGTTGAGGAACTTAGCCAAGGATATATGTATATATAAAAGAGCTAAACTGAAATTCTTTTTGGGGGGGTCTTTTTGACACAGGGTCTCACTTCGCAGTTCAGGCTGGCCTTGGGCTCACTTTGTAGCCCACATTGGTCTTGAATTTGCAAGGATCCTCCTGTCTCAGCCTCCTGAGTGTTAGGATTACAGGAGTGCACCACCACCTGGTTTGTAAAACTGAAATTCAAAGCCTTATTTTTGTTTTCACCCCAAACTCACTGTTATCTAACTGCCCACAGGACATTGTTAAATGTATTTAATCTTCCAACTCAAAATATCCTTTTGAAATAAAAAGTTTCAAGGAATTTATGAAATCAACAATATGTGAAAAATACTTCAATTTTTAAAATGCCATTTGAAACTCATGCATTAACATAAATCTGGAAACTGATTATGCTAGTTCGATATTATAGCACAACCTTACCTTAAGAATAAAACAATTTTATAACATAGCTTTTAAAAACTCTCCTTAGAAAATGATCAAGTTTGATATTTTACTTTTATAGTTAAAATAGTTTTTTATTTAATTTCATTTTGTCTTCATCTCAGTAAGTCAGAGAAAATATAATTTCCTATAAAATAAATTAAAATACTTTCAGGTTGAAATGTGCTATATAATAAACTTAGGTCTTCAATTTGTTCTGCCAATTTTTCAGGGGACAGGCTTGCCATAAAAGTTCTCCAAAAAGAAAATTGCTCGTGAATCACAACTGTAATGGCTCAAACAATATAACTTGGTTTCAGATTTATCTGAAAATTAGAACAATTTCCCATTTATTCAGTAGGAATTAGCAACATTGTAAATTTACTGAATTGTATACTTCAAAGTGAACAAAACAGCTAATTTTATGAATATATATATATACATATTTACCACAAATAAACTGAAAACCAGAGAGATTTTAAAAAATAAGAAATTCTTTTTTTTTAATTGAAAGAAAAGGAAACAAAAAAATACATGGAGATAAAAAAAAGGGTAGAAATAATACAAACTTACAGAAAAACAAACGGTAAGAAATTGCTGGTTGATAAGTTACACATTGTCATCTTAGAAATAGCTGTTCAGGTTATAGAATTAAAGTATTTAGAATGACATTCAAAAAGTGACCCTACAAACCGTTCTGCTCTATGATCAAACAAAAGCTCAGTAATATGGTTATCAGTCCTACACATTTGTTTTACATCTCAAAGAGGGTAAGGTTAAACATATCAAAACAGAACAAAACATTTAAAAAAACAATTTAAAGAAATACAGATTTCAAAGCAAGTCTACTGGAGACCTTCATTGTCTATCTAACTGTCTCTAGTTTCTTACAAATAGTTGTCCCCATCTTCACCCACTTTATATACTTATTGCATATTATAGAACTAATCAAATCATTGGAGGCTTTTTAGGTCCTCAAGTTCCAAATTAGGGAAGACAATAGTAACTACCATCGCATCTCTCATTCTCTTTGTGATAGCTGTCCCCATCTCTACATATGCTGAAATTGAACTCAAGAAACCAGTCCAATATCATTCTAATCAGCGAACAATAGTATTGATAGAATTTATATCATAATGCTACAAAATTAGCCTCGGGTTTCTTAGCGTCTCTTCTTCAGAGTATCTGTTCATTACATCTTGCATTATATAATCTGTTCCCGTAAATAATTTTTTAAAAAAAACCCATGTGTGAATTTCTACATATATATCTATCCTCTCTCTATTATAGGGAAAACCAAGTCATAGCAAGACAGCAAAACAATTTCCTAGAAAAACATGCAATGGATAAGACATATAAGACCACAATATAGATGATCTTCCGTAGTTACTGTTTTCTCTTGTTATTTTCAATAGATTTGTCCACAACACTGGCTTATTATAGTTAAAAATAGTATCACCTATTTTTATAAAAACTTAACTTTGACAGCATTGTATGATTTGAGAGCTGTTACTAATTAATAACAGTATGGATATCCTTTATATCTTGTCATCCTCAGAGTAGTTGCCTCTACTTTTAGGGTTGATACTAACAAGCATACCAATTTCAAATCAAATCAGCCAAGGCCAACCCACAGTCTTATGATTCAGATTCAATTAAGATCAATCATAGTAAGACAATGTAAGTAATACAGGATTTCATTTTAAGATAATAGGGAAGTAAGGATAGTTACCATGGTATAACCTGCTATTTTTGGGTCAAGATGTCTGTGCCCTCAAATCTGACGTGAGTGGACAGACCAGAACAAATTAAATTCAAACTAAATATGGCAATAAGACTACTGTGTCTTTTAAATCCTTATACACCATTAGCAATGACCTCTGCCTTTTTTTATAGAGTTTCAGAGCTGTCTATACTAAAGACTATAGCTTACCGTCTCTGCCTCATGTCTGCTGCTCCACTTTTCTGCTATAATTTGTCCACCTTATTCCCTCATTCCACTGTCTGCCTCGTTCACTGAGGCCTATCTGCCACTGTTGCTGGAATCCTGGTATCTCTTCCTCTCTTTCTCTGTAATGTCCTTCAGCATTCTCTGTAGGGTTGGATTGGTGGCCACGAACTCCCACAGTTCCTCCTTGTCTTGAAAATATCTTATTTTTCCATTAATTTTGAGAGAGAGAGTTTTGACGAGTATATGAGCTTCGGTTGTATATTATTTTCTTTCAGGACTTGGAATATTTCTCCCCACTCCCTTCTTGACTTAAGAGTTTGTGTTGATAAGTCTGCTGTTATTTTGATAGTTTTCCCATTGTAGGTAATCTGCATCTTTTCTCTGGCTGCTTTTAATATTCTGTTCTTTTGGTGGAATTCTGGAATCTTGATTATTATATGTCTAGGCGTAGATCCGTTTTGGTTGTAGGTAGCTGGTGTTCTGTATGCCTCTTTTATCTGGATATCATTTCTTTTTGCTATACATGGGAAATTTTGCTTTAATATATCTGTGAATATTCTTTGTATTTAATTTTTGGTTGCTCCTGCTTCCTCACTCACATTCTTTATTCTTAAGTTATGTATCTTTTTGTCTTCTTCTAGTTTTTGAATTGCTTCTTTCTGGTTCCTTGTTATTTTTAAGAGGCTTTTTCTTTCACGATCATATGCTATAAATCTCTCTTCAAGTTTCAGAAGGCTGTCTTTAGTTTCTGTCAAGGCATTTTGCCAGTGTTCAATGGACTTTTTAGTTTCCTGGTATTCTCTTTGGATCTGTTTCATGTATTCTAAGTTATGTTTAAATTCCTCTTCAGAAGTTTCTCTTTCTTTTCTGATTTCCTCAGTTCTTCCATCTGTGTTCTTCATCTGTGCGGGGCTTGTCATTTCTTTAATTAATCTCTTTATATCTTGCCTCACTTGGATCAGGAGTACAGCTTTAAATTTATCTATGAGATCATGAAGGTACTTTTTAATTTTGGCAGATGCTGTGTTGAGCAATGGAGGTTACTGTGCTTGTTCTCTTCAATGTTTACTTCTCCTGGGCTTATTTTCTCATGTTGGGCAACTGGAGATTTTTTTTTTATTTTTATCTCTTGTCATGTTTCTGGTTATCTTTCTGACTGTCCTGGAGTTCTCTGGCCCTCTCCGAATTGCTTAGGGCCTTTCAGAAGCGTGCTGACTTGAGTTTTTGCTGTCCTCCCCAATTTGCTGTTATCTGGGCTAGGCTGGGATGCAGGGGCGGTACAGGGTAGTCTCCAGCTCTGTGCTAGTCAATCCGTAAATTAGGCTGTACTTTCTGGATGTCACTGAGTTGTGACTATTTTGTATCTGCTTATTGGGCCCCAAGCAGAGGCTTGGTTTAGCCCCAGTAGCTCCTGCCAGTTCTCTTTGTACCAGAAGCAGCTGACTAATGTCACTATGGCACAGGGTTCTGCCCAAATCCCAGCTGTTCTCTTCCAGACCTCTCTGTGACAGGAGCACCAGAACAGCAGATCTGCCCAAATCCAAGATGTCTCCCACTAGTTCTCTGTATGACGCTGAAGCCAGCACGTACTCAGGCTCTGCCCAATTTCAAGATGTCTTCCACCAACCCTCCCTACTGGGGGACTCAGTGATGCCACTGAGTTGTAGGTTCTGCCCAACTCTAAGATGTCTGCCACCAGACTCTGTGTTATTGATGTCCCCGTGGTAGCGGGCACTGCCCAGTTCCAAGGTGTTCTCTGGCCAACCCCAGCAGTCGCGGGGTCCCCAGTACTCACCAGGGTCCAGCGCAGGTCCTCCTCCCGGGTCCACCGCACACCACGCCGCCCACCTTTCCCACGTTCCCAGCACAGCACGGAATGGTAAGAAATCTGCACAGCGTGCACTCCCGGCACAGCGCGGAATGGTCAGAAATCTGCTCAGCGTTTGGCTTTGGAGCTCCAGAGCCTTTCACTATCTCCTCTGGTGCAGCGGGGCAGTCCTAGCTGCTTCTTGGGGTCCCAGGTCTCAGTTTCCAGCAGTCACCAAAAGCCAACACAGCTTTTCCTGTTGTGTCCATGGGTCAGTTTGTTGATTTAAAGGTGCAGGATTTGCAGCCTCCCGTTATCAGCCTTCACAGTCTCAGCACGACATTAAATCCTCCAGCTGCACTGTCTTAGTTAATAAGAATCGTTATCCATTTGTCTGGCCCTCTCCATGTTGTCATATTCTAGCTTCTAATATGATTTCTCCAGAGAGACTCTCCACCCGATCCCCTAGCAAGCCGCCATTTTCTCCATCTCCAAAATAAAAAATTCTTGTGTCACTTGCACTGTTTTGTTTTGATTGGTTTTATTTTGCTTGGTTTTATTCTCTTTAAAATAAATTTTAAAAAGTAAAATAAAATTTTAAAAAGTGAGTAAAACCAGAAATTCTGTGGCTTTGTTTAAAAATAATGAAGACAGGGAAAAGAAAGCAAACTGCACTGGTAGTCAAATGACAAGTATTAATTCCTTGTCCATCTCTGACTGATTTTATACTCTCCAACTCATGATTTTGGGGTTTTTCATCTGAAATATTTATAAACTGACCTGATTATAATATTCTTGTTTACCAGGAAAAGAGGTGTGTTTTTTAACCGAATAGAAAGAGAAGGTAGGAAAAAAAATAAGAAAAAGTTGGAAGGAAGGAAAACAAAACAATATTTTCAAATTAAATCATTTGTTCTCTTTTCTGGCACATAGGGAGGCCTCCCATATCCCAGGCATTGTTTTGTATGCTGTGTCAACAAGATAGACATGGTCCCTGTTTCACAGCATAAATTTTAGTGAGGTAAGACAGAAACTAAATCCGTAGAAAAATAAATAGAATAGTTTCAGACTGCAGCGATTTCAGTGGGGAAAATAAATTAGGACCATGTGACAGAAGGAGATGTGCAAGTGTGGATAAGTAGATAGATAAGACCAGTTAGGAAAATGTACTTGAGGAGCTATTTAGACCGATCTATGTGTGGTGAAGAGCTGGCCGCTATTGGGAATCTCAGGACAGAGTATCTCAGGCAGGAGGAACAGACTGCCTGAGCAGAAGGACCTAGGAAGACATTACTGCTAACTTCTAACCTACATGTGCATGTTTTCTCCATGAATTGAGAGTGCTGTAAGAGGCCTACTCAGAAACAGTGAGCAGATGTGGTAGCACATGCTGAGAATCCCACCAATCAGGAGGCTGCATCAGGAAGATCCTGAGTTTGAGACCAGACTGAGCTGTACAGTGAGTTCGGTGTTGGCCTGGACTACAGAGTAAAACCCTTCTCAAAAATCAAAACAAAGCCAAACCACTTTAAAAATAAGTTTGCTTGTTAGTTAAAATATTTTAAATGCATGGAGCACTGTTGCCTAGCAGTCAATCATGAAGGCTCCCTAGAGTTATTTCTCAGTCCTTTACTTGGTAGTCGTTTGAGTACAGGCAAGTAAACTCAGTCTCTCATTGGTGTTTTGTTTTGTTTTCATTTGACTTTGGCTTTGGATTTAGCTTTGGTTTTGATTTTTTGGTTCCAGGGACTGAACTCACGACCTCACGCTTACCAGTCAAGCACCTGAGCCGCTGAGCTAAATCCTTGGCCCTCACAATTAGTTTTAAATCAGTTACATAACTAATTTCAATAATCATTTGAATATTACTCAAGTAAATGGGAGAACAGAGACATGATCAGTACTGAAAGAAGGCAGAAAGGCTGAGGTGCTAAAGTTTAAATAAATCTCGAACTGATCTCAATTGACTGCTAAAGCAAAATAAACACATGTTCTAAATGAAAGTAAGATTGAGAGAATATTAAGGATCTGGAAAATGAGGAAATTGAAGATTAGACTGTACATTCATTTTCCTGAGCAACATGCTGTGGTAGTTTCTCATACTGAATATTATATTTGTGATTGCATAATGTAGCTGTATTTCCTAGTAGTAAAACAGCTTTTTGCCCACAACTAGAATTAAATTCATTACACTGTGTAATTTTTTTCTATAAAAGTCACAATCTCCAAGTGCTTTACAACCCAAAGAACTTATTAACTCCAAGTTTAAATTAAATGCAACCAAGCCAACTGCTCCCCACCTGGCTGCTCCACCCCAGGCCGCTCAGTAGGTCCTACCCTGGTCACAGGAACTCCCCAGGCAGCCCCTGCTGACTCAGTTTATCTGTAGATGTGCTCTGTTTGGCCAGCACGGGGCTGTTTTAAAGTTTTAATTTTGAGTGCTACTAGATAGGATGTTGCTGTTCAAGTGGCCACCATCCCCTCCGTCCATATAATCGGCAGATTCCCAATCCTGTGACTGACTGGGCCCAAAAGATAACTAGAAGGTAACTAGTTTGTGATAGCCACAAAGATAATCAGGATTTCTGTCTAGTATATAAAATCTGGTGCTCTTTAAAAAGACTAATGCTAATGTTCATTAAGCAGAAAATTCAGACAGACAGTATCCTTGACCCCAATCCACACTGCTTAGGATTTTGGTAGGATACCTAAGACTCAGGTTTATCTGTTTCTCTACCCTGAAGACCAATAAATGGACACCTTTCACTTCCTTTGTACTCACTGAATAGCCCTCCCCACAGCATTTCTGATACAACTTTTCAGCATTTGCATTTGCTATTACTCTTGATTTTTCACTGCAGCCTCACAATATAAAAGCAGACATAATTTTCATGCTAAAGATGAGAAAATTAATGTTCAAAAGCTTTAATGAATTGCCCAGTGTCAGAGATAGAGAATAGGTGGGACTTGGGTGTTTAACTGTTTGTACCTCACAATTCCATGCATTCTGTAGTCTAAATTCTAAGATTATATTTCTCAATCTTTATTATAGATGATGTACCGTATTTAAAAGCAGCTCAACCTCTCTGTAAGTTTCCCATATTTACAACTTAATTATTCATTTGATCTTCTATACAGTGCCTTTAATTGGGAGGCTAGAAAGGTGATGAAAAGAAGATAGAAATGAAGAAGAGGAGAAATTTTTGCTATGTTACCATTTTCTCCCTTTCCTTTTTCCTTGAGGCTAGTTTCAAGATCCCCTAAGTAAATTTTTACACAGAAAAGGAGAAACTATTGAAAATGAAATTAACTCATTAAAACACACGGGACAAATTCGGAGACTAGATGGAGTGATTCATCAAAACCAAATTTATGAAGGAAAGAAAAAGAAAAAAGTGATAAAAGAAGGAAAAATTGAAGCAAAGCTTTATAAATAAGGGGAAGAGGGACTGAAGTGAGGGGTGGAGAATCAGAAAAAAACAAACAAGATATATTATATACAGGTACAAATTTCCTATGATGAATGAGATCATTATGTATATCTAAGTTGTACTAAAAACTCAATTTTTAATAAGCTTAATTTAAAAAACTATATAAATATTTGACAATATATGAAAATTCAGAATAAGAAAATTAAGTGCAATATTAATATAACCTTAGCAGTTACCAAAAGAACAAAAAGAAAATTCAATTACCTTTTTGTTGACCTTCTGTGTAAATTTAAAATGTGATAAATATTTGATATGGAACACTGAAATGAATATCAGAGTCATGTTCTCTCCAGACTTAATTTTTGTTTTTACATTTTAGCTAGCACTCCAGGATCTATCAGTAAGTTTCTTTTTCTGCACTTTAATTTGCATGTGTTTTGGTTTACTACAGTTTTAGAGTATGTAAGATACTCATATTCATACATGTCTTATCTCCTCCTGCACATGTTGTCAGTCCTGTCCCCTTCTTCACCTCTGCTTTTGTCTTAATAAACTGGGGTTCCTCTATGAGAAAATACTATCACATAATATTTCCACTGTCTTGAGGCTCCATAGCAAAGGGAAAGTACTAAGGACAAAAATGGTTAAGAGAAAGGTAGGAAAATTCCCCTGCTTAAAACCCCAGCAACACTCAGACGAAGCAGATGGATGATGGCCATTCCACCCAAGGCCTACCAAGAGTCTCCGAGGCTTTCTGTGCATCCCAAACTGTCATTCAGCCCATCCCAACTTGGGATCCTTGCAGCTCCACCCATCATGTCCCAGCCAGCAGCAATTAGGGTCCCCCAAGATATAAAGTATTTACAAACTTCATTTCTTCCTCCATTGAAGTGAACACTTTGCTCCTGGTGTCTACATCCTTAAACACTTTCCAGAAAGAATTCCAGGGCAAACTATACTTTCTACATAAAGAACTCTTCTAATTAACTGTTGTTTTTCCAATACTTTAGGTGGAGCTATTGGACCTATAAGTGAGTTCCTTTTATTCTTTTCTAATGTTATACTCCTTGGCCTCCTGTAGGATCTGGCATTTCCCTGGATTTGTTTCTGTCTCTGTAATTGCAGGATTTCCCACTCATATTTTTGGTTGCACTCAAATCCGAAAATACCTGATACTAACATAATGCAAAATGCTCTCAATTGTCACTGAGTTTAAGAAAATGAAACATTTAATAATTCATATTTAAATTTCTTCAGTTTTAGTATTTATATTTTAATTACTTAAATTTCTCAGTAAAGACGGATGTTACCTGATCCTATGAGAGGAGCACACAGCTCCCTGCTAAATATACTCCCTGTGGTAGCATTACTTCAGAGTCCTTTAGCATGGTGGCATGGGAATTCTGTTAATGTCGAATCAGATTGATTTTCCTCTCTTTTCATATTTCAGTGCAATTCTCAGCACCTATCCGTAAGTATCAAGTTTGTTTCTCTGCTCTGGTCCTTTTGATATCTGACCCACAAAGTCTCGGGGACTGATCTGCCTGCCCTACTTTCTGGACACCAGGTTTTGCAATTCCTCCCACATTCTTATTATACAGCTTCCAAAGAGGCCATGCATGATGTAGAGTGCCCACAAGTCCCACGGTCTGGCATAAAAAGGCACAGAACAAGATCAAAGCATCTACTTAAAGGCACTCATAATGGCCCAGCAGCAAGGGAAGGCATACTTTCAAACCATAGGTTCGAAGAAAATGATGAAAAATGTAAGAAGAAAAATATACACATTACAAATTAATACAGAGTGAGTCTTCCTGTCAGTCTTCTAAAGGGGCGTCAGCCATCGCTGAAGATGAGAGGGCCTCCATTCTTACAGGAAGCTTGTGCGGGGCTGCGTGTGAGCCAAGCCGTGATCACCCCCGTTCCATTTATGATAACCCCTCTAGAGTGAGCGTTGAGGGAAAGTCTTTCCTTCTGAGCCGCTGCCATACATGATAATGCTCTCTCCTTCTCTCCCTCTCTCCCTCTTTCTCTTCCTCCTGGAGCTGGAGCTACTGGACCTATCAGTAAGTTTACTGTTTAATTCTCTACTTGAAATGCTGTAATTTCTTAAAGTACCTTAGGTGTCCACACAGAGATTTCAAAGGCTGGAGTTCACATTTTCCTGACCTTGTGTTTTTCCTCTGCCTGGCATTTCAGTAGGTCATTCCTGATTTTGTGAATGTAAATTTCACTAATAAATGTAACACTGAAGTCCAGGCTAAACTCTTAAAGGTGGCTTGCAGTGACTTGCTGACATCACACAAAGGACTTAAAAGAAAAAAAGCAGTGACATGAAAAGTGAAATAATGGGAGAAAATTAAATTACAAAGCTTATATGGAGAAGGATTTTTCCAATCCTCCAGACATTTAAATGGACCAAAGAGTTGACTTCTGCTTAGTACCTCTGCTGAACTACTTGGTACTACTTAGCACTCAGTATTTCTACTACTACCGACCCACTTTGCTACCTCAGTGAATCTGTGAGATGGAAGAGCTTTCTGTGTGCTATGTTTGCCATGGCATTCCCAGTTAGAAAGTCAACACTCAGCTGCAGCTGACCTTGAGTTTAGGGGTGACACTCTTACTGGGGAAAACATGAATGAAAACTGTGGTCTGCAGAGCCTGAAAACATTTACTGATTAATTTTATTTTCTTTTCCAGAGCTCTCCCAGAAAACCATTGGTAAGTCATCCAGGTCTCAATTGCAATGGTTTTTGGTCCTTTGTAGAATGTCCTCTATTTCATTTCAATGATTTACACCCACAGATGGAAAGATCAAGTATTTCTGCTGTCTCATTATCGTCCCCAGAACTCCCATAGGGTGTTAATCACCCAGGTGCTACCATAAAAAATAGTAATTATGAAGTTGCAACGCAAAATGAAAAATCGTCCCCTAGAGGCATGGTCCTTCCTGAGCTATCTTCTTTTAGTTTTTTGGAGACAATATTTAATAAAGACTTAGAATACTGCACCTAAACTTCTTGATTTATGTGCAAATATTTTTTTCATTATTAGATGATCTTTACTTTGAAAAATAATGCAAACTTTGTGTTTTCATTTGTAATTTTTCTGAAAAATCCTTTCCAGAACAGGTAAGTTTTATTTTCACCAACTTTTAATCACTTGCCCTACTATATTTTTTCCATAAAAACATTATAAATAATGGTTGGATTTCAAATTGCAATTGTTCATAACTACATTATTTTGTCGGATCTATACAGCATCCCAACAGTGAGGTAAGACAGTTGTTATTCCCATAGTTAGAATAATTAATAATGAAGTTAGGGTTGAAGTTTCTGTTAGTTTTGTCCACTATCACCTTTGAGCATTACAGTGAGTTATTAACAGTGAATAAATAGTGCTGGAATTCAAGAAAGAAAAAAAGCCTAAGGGGGAGAAGAAAAAAGCAACATAAAAAGTAAAACACAGACAATGAAGATGTTGGTTAAAGAGCAAAAACATGGAAGAAAATCAAAAAGTGAAAAAACAAGTCAGATGTGGTGATCCACGTCTATAACTCCTGTATTCTGGGAGGCTGAAGCATGAGGATCACAAGTTTGAGTGCAGCCTGCACAATTGAACAACTTAGTCAGACCCTGTTTCAAAATTTTCTTTAAAAAAATGTTTTAAAGGACTAGGAATGTAGCTCAGTGCAAAGGCCCAAGGTTTAGTCCCCAGTTCCACAGTCAGGGGTGAGAAAGAGACACATGGGGGTGGGGGGGTGTTGGAAGGATGATAGTTACAAGGATTGGCAAACAGGAGAAGAATAAAGGAAGAGTAAACAAATATAAACCTGATAAAAATAAGTAAGAAAAGGTGTACAAAAAGTCACAAATTTAGAATGGCAAAGGGGGGAGAAAATATAGAAAATATAAGAAAAATGAAAAAACAAAACAAACCTTGCAGTCAAAGGTTCCTGACATTCGCTGAGAGGGCAGCTACCTAAGAGCTCTACTTCCAGATGCAGGGCACATATTTATAGATAGCAGTTACAGATAAAGCCAAGAAAATATTATTTTGAAAAATAGTTAAATTTCTACCTTGTCTACTGTTCTTAATCCAATATATGCAGATCTGGAAAAACATTTTCTAGATGTTCTATACAGAAAAAAAGGGGGTTTTGCCATTAAGGCTTTTTTAGGTTATGGGTCAGATCTGGGAGTTTCCACCATGAGCTCCATGAGTGGAGGACTGAGGCAAAGACCCTGCAAAGACCCTGGGTGGAGGGTCCTCTTAGATGCACCTGATCATGCAGACCCACAATTGCCATGGCCCTCCTGCAGCACCGGTCCACTAAGTAGGACCAAAGGCAGGAGGAAGCACAGACTGCCAGCCGGGCAGCACCACTCCAGTCTCTTCTATGAGATCAGTCCTCACAGGGGTCTCTGCAGGCATGTGCACAGCCACATAGAACTGTTCTCTGTGGCCGGCCATCAGGTGAGCTGCCCTGCATGGAAGCCCCACAGGTGCCTCAAAGACAAGACCCCCTACTAGAGCTCCATATGAATAACCTGTAAGGATCCCAGAAGGAACACACCCTGTTACGTGGGTCACTATATGGCCAGAAAGCAAAGTTGTGGCTCTATGGGTACTTCCAGATCTCCCAGCTTGGAAGCACTTTATCAATCAACAATCATTCTCACCTAAGCAATGTTGCTGAGTAATATAAATAGGCTTCTGGTCTTTAGCAAATAGCCATGAGATCAGAGGCAGGAAATCTACTGGATGTCAAATTTTCATTAAAAACTAAGGTTTCATTAATCTTTTGCTCACAGACTATTAAACTAATCAAATCAACAGCTGCCACTCTTAGTCCCTAGTTAGAAGCTGTAATGAAGAGCTGGGTTCTTAGCACTAACCTGCATGCCTACTACTGTAGCACACTGGCTGATGAGAGACAAAGATTTTAGTATATAGACCCTAGAGTCTACCTTGCTCTAATGGCCCCTACCTTGAGAATTAGCCCCCAAAATTCTCTCTAATGATCTCAGACTTTCTTTAATGGTCTTTCTGATGATTTCACTTCCTCTTCCCCAACTTTATCTCTCAAAGACCTACTCACAGAATAAAACTAATTTTTAAAAATGTTCTTCAATACAATAACCAACCTAATACACCAATTTGGATTTCTTTTTAGTGCAAACTCCAGGGCCTATTGGTAAGTTACCTATATTTCTATATAGTAGCTCATCTCGAATAGCTCCCTATATGTCTGAAGGACTTAAATTTCAACTGTTAACTTTCCTGAGTTAGAGACTGAAAATCATGTTTCACAACTTTTCACTCCTTTTACACTATCTCCCTAAACAACCAATCATACTTCTAAAACGGAAATCTCATTACCTTAAAACTCATAATAGGTATGATTTTTCTCTAAAAAATAATTACAATGATATGTTTTGACAATCGTTTAAAAGCTTCCAAAGCAAAGACAGAATCTGGGGAGGATGTAAGAAGTAAGCAGGACAGCAAAGCATAAAGCTGAGAGAATGGAAGAAAAGCAACATCAGGGGGAAAGGATGGAGAAAAATGGGGAGAGCAGTGCCGTTAGGAATGACACCTCCAACACGTGACAAACAGCAAGAGTGAAGTAGTTGTTTTTCCTTCTAACTACACTGAGGTTATGAGTCTCCTATGGGGAGATTTGGTTCTTACAAAAAGGCTAGATAGAGCAGCCGTGCAGCAAAAAATAAACTCTAAATATTCAAATTTAATTGACATTGTTTTACATCAAATAACTACATGTTCTACTTTTAGTACAATACACGGGACACAAAGGTAAGTTCTTTGTTGTTGTTGTTGTTTTTTTTCCTTTCTCTTTCTGGTATCCTCTGATCTTCTGTTTAGAACGTTTACTCCCTTCCTAAGTATACCTGTCACTAATACAGTGTCTCAAGCTAGGAATATGATGTAGTGGCCAGACATTTGCTTAGCATTCACAAGGCCTTGTTTTTAGTCTTCACCATTAGTTTGTTTTTTTTTTTGGGGGGGGGGGTGTTTATTGTTTCTTCTTGTTGTTGTTTGGCTTTTGGGAGTTTTTTGTTCTGTTTTGGTTTTGGAGGAGGTTTTCCTACCAGGGATCAAACTCACAACCTCATGCTTGCCAGGCAGACACTTACAGCACTGAGCTAAATCCAAGGCCCCATCATCACCATTAGGGAAAAAAATTTTTTTTAACTTTTAGACAGTTTCTACCTGAGAATCCTCCAACATTTTGATTTTGGTTTTTGAAGGATATTTTGCTTTGCTTTGCCTTAGAAAAAAATTCAGTAATAGCCACAATAATTCTATAACAATAATTTTAGAAGTACCAAAGAAAGAACAAGGGGGCAACCCTTCTAATTCTGAAGTGCTTCATAGTTTATAAAGGGCTTACACAGAGATAATAGAGACAATGTAGGGAAATGATAAAAGAAAAGCAAATTTAAAAAAATAAATTCAAAAGGAAAAAAATCTAAAAGATTGAGATCTTGTTAGTTTTTTGAGGCAAGGGTGCCAGCAAAAACTACTGAAATCCCAGTCTGTCCTAGGCTCCCTCTCCTGCTCCTCCAAGCCCTTATCGTTCCCCAAGCCCTATTTCCTTGTCTTATCCTTTAGTCCCAGATACTCTTCACTTAAAAACAGAGAGACAGAGACAAAAACAGAGACAACACTTCAGAGAAAAAGCTCTTTCAGTAATTACATCAAGCAATCACAAGCCACACATGCAAGACAGCAAAAGGAAAGTTTGTGTGTGGCTCATTAAAGAAAAGCCAGAGCTAAAATTTAGCATGTCAAAACCCACCCCAGGACATGAGAAGTTCCTGTGTCTATAAATTAGGCGATAGCAGTACAAAATCTGAAGCAATCCAGGAAGAGACTGTCAGAAGGCAAAGCAGTCATATTCAAATAAACATTCCTTCAACTAGCTGAGCTCCTGCCCCCACATGTCAAATAGTGACCCGAGCACTGAAGATAAAGTCATGAATAAGAGAAAGAGAGACGCAGTCGGTTTCTGGTAGGTGCTGTGGAGTATACAGCCCTCTAAGGTACCATGGAAAAGCAAAGTAGAAAGACGACTGGCAGCTGCCACAAAATCATCACCATTGTCACCACTAAAGTGGGATGTTTCCTGCCCTAAATTCTAAGTATGCTTTTATAAATGAATAAAAGTCACCACTAATTAACTATTCCCCTGAATCAAGGCTGCCTTTGCCAGTACCTTTTTCATCATCCTCAAAACATACACCCTTAGAAGTTCTCGTAATTCTTATTGGGGAGAGGCAAAAATCTAAGCCAGGGAAATGCAAAGACCTCACTGAAGCTAAAGCAAGATTCCTATGTGGCCCAAAGTCCCCTAAGAGGCACCATGTACCAGGAGTCTACATGAGTAAATGGACTGATTGCCCCTTCTTTTCACCCCATTTGGATTCTGTACCACATATCTATAAATATTTAGAATATGGTGACACATAGTACTATTTTTATTCCTTCCAGAAAATTGTTGGTGGATAAGTGAAAATGAAAACGCACCAATTAAACTTAAGACCTTAACAAAAATTAGTGGCTTACCAACCCTACCAAAAGGAGTAGCAGAAAAACTTTTCAAATCAATTAAAATGTCATGTAGGAAAAAGTTTAAGGATGAGAATGATGTAAGTACTCAGAAGCACAAGTTTCAGACACTATGAACCTCTGAAGTACTTCAATTATTTACCATTCCTGAATGAAAGGAGGAGGATGAACAAAGTCTCACTGTATTGCTTAACAATCATATTGCTGCTCCAAATCAGCAGAAGAGGGCCCGAGGGTACAGAGAAGGACTCTAGGCACTACCCCGTGATGACAGGCAGGTTTTAGAGGCCCCTGAACCTTCCCAGGACTAGCACGCGATAATAGAGTTCTCAAGGTTATACAAGCACTGACCTTTTTTTCTGCTTGTTTTTCCACCAGCTCAAGCTTCAGAAATGACCAGTAAGTTCTTGCCTGTTCTCATATGATGGATGCTTTTGGCTTTCTACAGGATGTGGGACCTTTCCCTCTCTGCTCGTTTCTATCTTGTAGAAGATAGATGGTCCTCCAGCTCTTGCTGGTATAACTAGACGCAATGAATAGAGAAAAATATAAATCCAAATGACCAACCAAAACTAGACCCAGTGGAAATATCCAAAGTTTATGGCAGCTTGTGGACAAGTGAGTAAGGACATTTGTATTAATAAATGAAAGCTTGCACAGTTGATAGAAATAGGGGAAAGATGACCAGCGTGATTTAAAGAAAATACCAATCCTCAGCAGGATTTCAAGCAGTTGTCAGTCATGGCAAAAAATGAAGCAACAAATCATCTCCTTTGCTGGGAGAATAAACAGCTGAAATCCCATTACACATGCGCACACACATACACACACACACACACACGATGGCAGGCTCTTCTGAACCAACACAGCTCTCTACTCTCTTCCTTGAGGAAGATACCTCTCCACTGACATTTCTGGTATCCCCTCTTAGAAGGGAACAGGAAAACTACTCCTGCATTTCTGCCCTGTTCACACTGATTCCTCTCTCTCTTTTTCAGCTACCGGAGCCAGCAGTAAGTTTGACTGTCTCCCTTCATCATGGAACTCAACTGTCTCCAGCAGAATCCGAGATGGGTCCAATCTTAAATCTCCAGTTTCCTTGACCCCTTACATTTCCATTACTCAAACTCCACTAGGTTATTAACAAGTTCCTAGAACATACTCTGACTCACATAAAAGTTAAAGATCAGAAAAAAATGTTTCTCCATGGTTCAAAAGATTATGAAGTAACTTTCCAGGTAGAAGGAGAAATTAATTAGACAAGAATGGTATAAATAATGTTTTGGTTTTCAAGCTGGGTCATCTATAAAAGCAATCAGTAAGGTTTATGTTTCTCTGCTATGCAGTTATCAAAGCCCAGTAACTACTACAGGCACTTGAAACTCCTGTTTTCTTAATCTTTTACTTTTCTATTATCAATAGCTAATTACTAGTTTTCTGGAAAATTCAAATGCCTGTGATTGGAAAAGCTTTTAAAGCAATTTTGTGACTAGGAAATTTTTCGACTGAAAAAAAAAAAGAGTAAAACGGGTGACAAGGAGGTTAATAAGAAACCTTTCTGCTTGTTTTCCAGTGGGACCGCCGCCTGGTACATTCAGTAAGTCTGTGAGTTCAGTTCATTCTGTCCCACAGGAACCGACTGGCCTCAGATGGGGCCCACCAGTCTTTATCTGGCCATACTGGGATGCAAAGGGCTTCAGGTATACCCTGGCCTCTTGCTATCTCATTATCAAAAACTGTCCATGTGATTAATGATGTACCTAATAGAAATTTCTAACACTACTGGTTTATAAAAACATGAAAAGCAGATAAAACCTTTACATAGTTATCAACAAAAGACTGTCTACAGAAAAAGAAAAAATGATAGGAGACAAAAGAGACAATCAAAAGCTTATACAACTGCTTTTCCTTTAGCCTCCCTGCTCTACTGGCTCTGTCTTTCTGCATGTGAACTGCAAAACATCAGTGGAAAATAACCCTGGCCATAAGGGCTTCGGGAGCTTACAGTTCCCTTTCCTTGATGTCTTGCTTGCATATTACCCATAATCCTCTCAGCTTTTAATAACTATCAAACTGTTGATTTACACTAAAAATAACAGAGAAGAGAGTTTTCTCAGCAATGTAAAACAATATGATTTGCCAACTGAACAAGAGAGAAAGAAAAGAGAGGTAACGCTTTCCTCTGTTCTTCTTACCAGCTCAAGCAACTCCACTTACCATCGGTAAGTTCTTGTTTCCAGCACTGTGGGACCCAGAATCTCTCTTTTCCCTGGCATAGATGGGATTTCTGGGCTTGGGGTACGTATTACTTTAACCATTTATTTACTACCTACCTGTTTGCAAAGTTTCATGAAGTTACTGGTGACTTTATGGACAGTTTGAGCTATTGATTCACATTAAAAGTAAATAAATACCAAAGGCAAAGTTTGCCCTAAATAAAAGGAAAAAATAAATAATAGGAGAGACCACAGTCACTAAGATATTTCTGTTTTTCAGCCGGTTCAACTTCAACACCCAGCAGCGGTAAGTTTTGTTCATATTCTACTGTTTTTGGTTGTTGCTGTTCTCTACAAAGCCTAAAACTTATCCTTTCTCTGCTTATTTTTTATTTGTGTTCAGTAATGTGACACATGTGGCTTCCAATGTCCTTTGCATTCACTCTTCCAGCTTCATCTTGTGAAGGCAGCTTACATTTACTTAATTTTAAACATTTACTTTACCACTCCCCCATAAGAACTACACAGGTGTTCTAATGATATTATCCCTTTTCATCCTTATAGTAACTTTTGTTAGGCATAAGAAACAGGCAGACACTTGCCCAAAAGCATATGATCATAACCCAAATCTAGAGCTGTGTGCCTCATACACAAATGTGCCTCCCCAAAAGAAATCTTGCTCCTTTCACAACAATCACTGGTATCTATTTTTTTTTAGATTTATCTACAGTACCCAAAAGTAAGTATTACATCTGTTTCTCTACTATGGCTTTCTCTTTTATCCCCTTCATTTCACTTGTTAAAGTGATTTTTCTCATTCCTCTCTTGCTTCCATATTACCCTCCTGCATCCAGACAATTTAAGAAATTACTGGTTAAAAGAAGGATTTAGTTGGCATCTGTCAACAAAAAAACTGGAGAATATGGTAAAACAAGATGAATCATTCCTGCAGATTGCAAACCTGATTATACATCCCCCTCCACTTCTGTATGAGTACACTCTGAGTTTAATTTACACAATAACAGCATTTTAGTAATTTGGAATTAGGATTTTATTATTTGGAATTAGTAATTAGGAATCAGTGCCTGAGGATAAGGAGAACTGAGCAGTTAATGCAGAGTAAGCCAGTGTCCTTCTCAAGTCCACCCACACATCTTTTCTGAGTTCTGAGCACTGGAGCTGATCAGCTAATATTCTCACTGCACAGAGGAAAATAGTCAGTAGTTCAGACACAAGGATGAAACTGGAACTCCAGATGTTCATATTTGGGCACAAATTTTATAATCAGAACAGGAACAATGGTTCAACTGAGGGCAGCAGAAGGAATTACTGGTTTTAAAGCTGACAAGGCATCTAAATTGAATGGTAGCCTTTCTGCCAGGAAAGATATAATAACGTCTGAGTAATCCAAGGAGAAGAGAGGCAGGAAAGGTTCACCAAAGTCACTAGGAGCTGCACCACCTTCTACTTCACTAGTTTAGTCTCGGTTGGTATTATTTAAGTAAAAGTACACAGACAAACTTAAATTCAAAAGTGAAGAGAGGGATGTTACAGTAATTTCCAAAAGCCACAAGCTGAACAGGGAAATAACGATGAGGAAAAAGTTAAGTCAAGGAAAGAACACAGGCCTTGGCTTCAGAAACAGAACTGGTGCTTCAGGGTCTTCTCTAATCAGCAGCCAATGTGGTAGCCAGTTGGAACTGGGCTGTCCGAGCAAACCTAAGAGCAGGAAAGAGATGACCTTCTATGGACAGGAATCAACATACCTTCACTTTGCTGCCCCAGGAATGAAACAGAGCCACCCACGCAGGCCTGGACCTAACTCTGCCCAGGGTGCAGATCCCTGCTAGGCACACCTTACCTGTGCAGTGTGCAGAGACACACCCGACTAGCCGAGCTCTGGGTCAGTGACAGCATGCTGAGAAGCCAGGGCTCTAACAGCTATGAGGCTCCCCACAAGCAGTCTACAACTCGAGGTGTGTGTGTGATAAAATACTCACAAAAGAAACTACACAAATCTGTGAACTCCATGAAGAAATCCAGCATCACATGAGTGGCACTTGACTAACCTCAATAAACTGGAAAATTCTTTTTTTTTTAAATTTTATTTAAGGAGAAAAAGAAAAAAAAAAGCAGAGAAAGGGTACAAGTTATACAGATTTACAGAAAAAAATAAACAGTAGGAAATCACTAGTTAATGGATTACATACTGTCATCTTAGAAATAATTGTTCAAGTTACAAAATTAAAGCTTATAAAGTGGACATTCCAACAGTGAGACTGCAAACAGTTCTGTTCAATGATCCAACAAAACTCAGTAATATCATTATCTATCTTATACACTTAAATATACATGCAGTTATATCATTTAGAGCACTTTCTTTTCCTCTCTTTTGTAAAATGACAATTACACATTTTGGGTTTTGTTGCTCCCACAGTTCTTATTACTTTTTTGGAAAAGAGTAGAACCAAATGTGACATAACAGAACAGAGTCAGTCAAATCAAAAGGGTGGACATAATAGATAATGTAAAAGCATAATACAAGGTGATCAACAATGGTTCCCATAATGCCTCCCGCTATCTCTAATAGAATTGCCTATATCATCAGTTATAATAAAATTGAACAAAACAGTAAAGAACAAAACCAAAACATTGGAGACATTATAGGTCTTCAAAAGTAGATAATAGTTAACCAGAATGGGCATCATAATGAATCCCACTATCTTCACAGCTGTTGCCTAAACTTTCAAACCTGGTACTCTTAAGATGTCATTTTCTCCAAAATAGCTGTCCCTATCATCCAATCTTCTTATCATCCAATCTTCTCTGCCTCATTTCTGTTGAGCTCTTTTTCTGTCATTAGTTGTCAGTTTGTCTTCTTCATTTTGTTTTCTGTTCCATTCATTGTGGCCTCTCTGCCACTATTTCTGGATTCTTCGTACTTTTCTTTTTTAGAATATCCTGCAGTATTCTCTGTAAAGTTGAATTGGTGGTTGCATATTCCCCTAGTTCCTCTTCATCCTGGAAGCACTTTGTTTTTCCATCAATTTCCAGGGATAGTTGTGCAGGATAAATCAATCTTGGCTGGAGATTATTATCTTTCAAAGCTTGAATTATTTCCCCCCACGCTCTTCGTGATTTGATGGTTTATGCCGAGAAGTCTGCTGTAATTCTGATGGGTGATCCATTGTAAGTGATCTGTTTCTTGTCTCTGATGGCTTTTAATATTCTGTTCTTATATTGGATTTCTGGAATTTTAATTATGATATGCCTGGGTGTTGCTCTGTTTGGGTTGTAGGTGGCTGGGGTCCTGTATGCCTCATACATCTGAGTATCTTTACCTTTTGCTAAATTAGGAAAATTCTCCTGGATTATTTCTGTGAGTAGCTTTTGTAGTTCATTTGTTTGTGTCCCTACTTCTTCTTTTATGTTTTTAATTCTTAAGTTATAGACCATCTTATTATCTTCTAGTTTTTGTATTATTGCTGTTTGTTTCTTTGTTATTTTAAGAAGTTTTTCATTTCATGCTCCCATATTACAAATCTGCCCTCCAGTTCAGATAATCTGTCCATAGTTTCTTTCAAGCTGTTATGCCAGTTTTCGATAGAGTTTTTAGTTTCCTGGTAATCTCTTTGAACCTGCTTCATGTATTCTATGCTTCCTCTATTTTCTCCATTAAACAATTCTCCCCTCTTTTTCTGTTCTTCCATTCCACCATCTGTTTTTTCTTGGGTGGTGCTTAGCATTTCTCTAACTATTCTGCTTATGTCTAGCTTCAGGTCATTAATAACTTCATTCCTGAACTTGTCTATGAGGCTCTGGAGATAGCGCTTTATATCTATTGGTGCTGTGTCTGCTATTGCCTCTTTCTCAGGATTGGGGACCGAGGAGCCTTTCTTGTTGCTGCCTCTTCCCATATTCTTTGTTCCTTATATATGCAAGCGTATATAGGAGGCCCAGCTTCCTTCCCTGTCAGCCACAGTCTGATTGATTTGGGCCGGCTAGGTGTTCCCGCCCACTGCAGCGCACCAGGAAGTTGAAGACCAGGCAGCCTATGCGCAGCCCGCCCCTCCAGGTCAATCTACCTTCAGGAGCTGGGACCTGGGTTGTGCTAGCCTACTGGGTCTCAGCCAGCGGTGTCACATAGGCTAGGCACTGCTCACCAATCCCACTTGAGAGGGGGATACGTGACTGAAGTCACTGCAGCACCCTGTTCTCGCAAGTCTGCCTGGTCCCAGAATGTCCTCTGTTGGAGTCTCCTAGACCGTGGAAGAGTCCCAGTTTCTCTCACTCACCGCAGGTCAATGCACAGCTCCCCGCCCGTCCTGCTTTCAACTCTGTTCATCGATTTCTGTTCTCAGAGCTTTCGCATGTCTCTCTCCCTACTAAGTCGATGTAGACGCAGCAGCAGCAGCAGCAGCAGGAAACCCAAATCACGGCTTCCAATGGCACGGGCTCCAACTTCCACACTGAGGCTTTTCTGTTCCTGTTATAGCACCAGGATTGCATTCCCAGTTGGTTTCTCTCAGCCCAGTTCATTCTTGGGTCAGCGGGGCATATCTCCTCTTACTTACGGGTCCTTACTCCGCACCCTTCCTGAATTCTAAGCTGGGTCTTTCAGAGAGCCTCCGTAGCTGCTGCTATCTGTCCACCATGTTCTCCCGGAAGTGTAAACTGAAAAATTCTAACTCCAACAAAAATATAGCTAGGGCGTTCTGAACAGGACTAAAATAACAAACTATTCAGAGTTATTGAGATGACAGATACACACACTTAGGGTAGATTATAGTTTAAATGTATTGGCCTTGTATTCCATGATAGGCATTATTGTAAGCCCTGGGACTATACCAACAGAAAAGACAAAGGCCCTGCCATCAAGGACTTTTTATTTTAAGATTAAAAACAAATAGTAGCAAATGTCAGGTAAATAAACACCATGAAGAAAAATAATGGCATAGTAAAGGGAAAAAGTACAGTTAGACAAGCAAAATGGGCCTGCCACCGGGTGTGAATGGCCAGTGAGGCTAAGAGGGAGGCAGAACCAGGGAGGAGGCGAGGTCAGACTAGAGAAGCCAGACCATGGAGGCTGCAGCCCTTGTGGATTGAGAATTTTGAGATAAGTGCACACTATATATGAAAGAGATTCTGAGTCTGAAGAAAGGGAAAGACAGGATGAACAATAAGTTTGACTTTAATCAGCAGCTTTATAAATTAGATCACGTAAGTATTTATGAAGATGGAGAGCTAGACCGTGGATTCTCGGAAATCCAGAATATCAGTCTTAGCCAGCATGGTAGCACCTACCTCTAACCTCAGCTGCTTCAGATGCTAATAAGATCATGAGTCTGAGGCCACACCAAGTAACTGAGGGAGACTGTCTCAAAATTTTAAAAAATGATGAAAGGCTGGCATTATACACATACTTAGCATATGTAAGGTCCTGAGTTCAATCCCCAGTGCCACATTAAAAAAAAGAAAGAAAGAAAAAGAAAAAAAAATAAGGGAGGGAGAAAAGATCAGTTTTAGACATTTCAAAAAAGAAAACAAGAAAAAAGATACAGGAGAACTACATACAGGAACCTGCAAGGAGAAAAGAGCAGAACAGGGAAGGAGAGTATCTCATAGAATTCAAGAGAAAAAATATTTTGAGATGTAAAAAAGTAACAAGTATGACAAAAACTGCTAGGAAACAAAATGTTGGACAAAGAATTAACAATGATTTTGCGAAACAGATCATCAGTAACACTGATAGGATAGGAAGAAACAAAAGTCTAATTGTAGGGGGGGTAAAAGAAATACTAAAAATTATTGGGCACATGGTGGCACAATCCTATAATTCCAGCACCTGAAAGGCTGAGGCAGGGGGATTGCCAGGAGTACAAGACCAGCTTGGTCTGCATAATGAGTTCAAGGCCAGTCTGGACTACAGAGCAAGACCATGTCTCAAAAAACAAACAAAAAAAACAAAAAAGAGATACTGAAAATTTAGAAATATAAAGTAGCTGATATGGCATGAAACAATGTCAATTTGGAGTTCTGACAGGTAATGGTTTCCCTGAATGGAATAACTCTTGTGCAATGAAAAAGGAGAAATTATCTGTATTAGAGAAAATATGAAGAAAGAATAGGCAGATAGAAAAAATAAGCTCTTAAAATGAAAAATATCTTTAAATTTAAATTATGGTTGATATATTAATCTTTGGTTATATATTACTATATCTTATTAAGTAATATATATTAATTATAGTTAAATAGAAAGTTAACTAGAAGATAAAATTAAGTCTCTCAGAATAGTACACAAAAAGAAACTGAAAGTATGCAAGACAAATAAGCAAAAATTTAGAAAAACTGAACAGAATGAGACCAATTGTAAAAGAAATTTGAAAATTCAGAAAACAAATGTTCATGTAACATTTTATGAAAGAATAATTAGTAATTAGTCCACAAGAAACATAATCCCTTAGATCAATATGATCTTCTAAGCTGAAATGCGCTTTTAAAAAGAGAGCACACATATAAAAACATAGAAGCACACACATGCCAAAATGTATCACAGTAAACTCCAAACAGACATGACAAGAAAATCACAAAGGCCACTGCGACAGCAGACCACATGCAAGGAATCATGTTAACACCAGACTTTCCATTAGTACTAACAGAGGTCAGAACACAATAGAACAATATAATCAGCACACTAATAGAAGTTCAATTAGTGAAAAAAACTGAAAAAGATGTTAAAAACAAGAAACATCTAAGAAAACAAGTTAACAAAAAATAACAAGTCTAACATGTTGACCACAAAGAAAAGAATAAGGATGAGCATAAGGAAGAGGAGGAGGAGATATCAGTTGTGTGTTTCAGAATGATTATGCCTACAGCACCAGAAAATACAACTTACAAGAGCTAGGGATTTAGCTCAGCAGCATAAGCATCTGCCTTGCAAGTAGGCAGTCATGAGTTCGATCCCCAGCACTGACAAAAAGAGAAAAAAACACAACTTACAAACTTACAAACGGCAATTTGACAAAACAGAAGTAGCATTTAATTTTACATTTTATCAAAATGACAACAGATCCTGGGAAGCAGGAAATGGAAAGGGGGAACAAATGAGAGAGTAGGAAGAGGGAAATAATTTTTTAAAAGAGAATCGGAGGAAAAAATAGAAACAAAGCTTTTGTAAATGGGAAGGAGAAGAAGGGTTGAAGAGAGGAGAGGGAAATGGAGGGATAAGCACAATTAAGATATGTACAGGTACAAATTCTCTATGATGAGAATTCTCCATGTGATGCGTATGTACGGGACACATATACTAATATTAAAATTAAGTAAAATGAAAACATAAATGTGGCTATTTAATCCAAAAAAGTCAACTGTTAATAGAAATGAAGCATGCACTCTTTCAACTCATAGGGAAAACAAATGTTTAAATGAAGAAAACTTTACCAACCCAAAGATAGCAAGAAAAAATGACAAAGCAAATAAAAAGTGTATTTCAAAACCTCGAGAAGCAGCTACAAATCCCACTGTGGGCACTACCAAAAATAGCAATGACTCGGCTGATGTCAAGAGAAAAAAAGAAAAAGATGAATGGCAGGAAAAAATCTACTGTATGTCATTTAGCATAATATAATACAGAGTAATAGGTTAAAATCAGATTAAAAACTAGGTGTAATAGGGAAAGAATTAGAAAGCTTTTAATTTTTCTGTCTCCCTACAAGAAATGTAAGAAAAATTAATTTCTATAAAAAGAAATATAAAGTAAGATGACACACTGAAAAGGAAGAAGCCTTAAAATATACCACGTAATTAACAAAAGCTGATTATAGCCAGGGTACAGAAGTGCACACCTGTAATCCTATCACTCGGGAGGCTGAGGCAGGAGAATCACCCTGAATTTGAGGCCAGTCCAGACTACAGAGTGAGTTCAAGGCCAGCCTGAACTTCATAGTAATACTCTGTCTCAAAAAAGACAATAAAAAAGCTGATTATAATTATGCAAATAAGACAAAAAAGAACAAAAAATTACATTCTATATTCTTCTATCCCACAGAAGACTTTTAACAAACATGATGAATAACCATGACTTTACCATATAGCCTTTGAAATGTAAGAAACTAGCTGGGGATGAGGTGCACACCTGTAATCCCAGCTATTTGAAAGGTTGAGCTAAAAAGATCTCAAGTTCAAGACCAGCCAGTGTATCATATTTTTTTAATGCACAGAAGAAATCAATATATTTATCACAAGTCCTGACCCTCTAAGTATTTCCAAGAATTTCTAAGAGAGAAACTACAGGTCTTTAGATCTTTGCCCACTAGTTCTTCAAAAGAGCCTTCTCTCTGACCTTACTATCATGTCTATAACAGGAAAACTTTCCTAGCTTAGCTTAGATATTTTAGGAATTTGACTACTATAAATCTAATACAGAGTTAGGTGAAAGTTTAACTTTAAAATTATAATTGTATTGGGTTTTATTGGCCCTGAATACAATAATGTGTGTGGCTCTTTTGGGGGAGAATAACTAATAAACATACTATGCACAGTCAGCTTAGACTCAGTGAATCATACAATCAGGGGCATGTAAGATCAGGGAACAGGAGGGCTGCCCTGACTGTCCATGAGGCTTCTGAAGGAACCCCACTTACTCTGCAAAAGCCACCGCCCTCGAGTATCTTTCTGGTACTGGATTCCAGGAGAAAGGAGGGTTCCACGCCCTAAGCTGATGCTCCTCACCTGAGCCTCAGAACAGCACAGCTTGAGTCCAGTGTCATAACCCAGCAGGGTAAAATCAATGCTCAGTCACCTAGACCAAGAACACACACATGCACACCAATAAAACTTTTTAACACTGACACAACTGAACTCAGATTTAGAGAATTTCTAATAACTTTGAAAATGTTACTCCTAGTCTCACTGAGTTTTCAAAATCTTACAGCTAAATTCTGGCAGCAGCCAGCACAAAACACCATCTGACCACCCCTTCCCGACCATCTCTTTTGTGCAGCCTCCCAGATCTCTCAGCATCTTCCTTCATCTTCCCACACTCCCTAGCTTGCTGTGCCTTAAGATCTGCTTCCCTTGCAAGGCACAGAACCTCCTGACACGTGCCTGAGAACAGGAAAGAGCCAGGCAGAGTAGGAGAACTTCTTCACTGACTCAGCCCACCTTTACTCATTGCCTGCTCTCACAAAAACACAAACCAAGTACTAAGGGGTTGTCAAAGCAAACATTGCAGCTGATCTCAGAAAAAGGAAATGTCAACCTGGGCGGATCCAGCCAGAAGCAACAGGAAGGACTGCAGAGGCCAAAAATGTGGGCAAGATTGAGACAGAAACATGACAGAGACCAAGAAAATAAATCAGCTAAAATACAGTGGGACAAAGTGTGTCTCCTGATGTATCCCACAGAGGTAGGTGAGCGAGGGAAGCAGGATTCCATCACTAGCTGTAACATTTCCCAGGCCAAGGGCTCTCTGTTTAATTCCCCTTCTCATTTAGTGTGTCCCCTCCTCCTGGAAAGGACATCAGTGAAAAAGACTTTCCTCTTTCATGGGACAACTATACTAATTTGTTTTTCTTTTTTATTGAAGCAAAACCTGAAAAGCCTACAAGTAAGTCCTATGTTTCTGTTTTATCGTTACCCCCGATTTCTTAAGGTGTCTACACAGCCCGTTTGCAGTGGGAATGTGCCACAACCTAAGATCCCTCTGAGGTATGATCACGAAAGACAGCAAACGTTTACATTTTTTAAATTATTTCCTTAAGACACATCAGCCTGGTTGCCTAGGGGAAAGTCCCTGGACCTTGGGCAGAAAGTGCCACGTGCTCACACACGTAGACCCTCCCCGCGCTTCACACTTAGCCTGCTAAGCAGCAAACCCGGTCTCTGGGACTGTGGAGCTGAGCCACGTGTTGCGGGACGTCATCAGTCAGCTGTCATAGTGATGCAGGCAGTGCATGCTTCGGTGCGCACCAACCACATGGGGCTCATTCTCAGCGCAGCTGAGTTAAAAAAAAAAAAGATAAGTCGGACAGACTTATCTTCTTGACACTGCCTAAAGCAGCTCTGAAAGTCCCCTGTCCTGGGGGTCTTTAGTTAGCTCTCACAGATTCCGCAGTGTCTGACTCAAACCCAGCCTTGACTTTGGGCAGAGCCAGAACTCTCCGAGCCCCCGCTGGGCTGACCAGACGGACTAGGACACAGCAAACCTCAAGGACCTCACCTCCCATGGTGGCCCAGGGCTGCGGCAGCCACTGTCACCCTCATCATCCCTCATAAAGACACCACGAGCACTTCTAGACCTGCTTCAGAAAGTTCCAAGACTGACAGGACACGTGTGTTCAGAGCACGAGGGAATATTTTGAAGGAGACTAATGTCAATGCATCTTTTACTGTAAGAACGTTGATCTGTGTGCTGTATATTTTGATCAGCCCTTGTATTCCTCTTGGTTTACTAATTTTTCAGCATTCCTCACTGTCTAGCTTCCAATTTCTTTGTCTTTCCAGTACCTTGCTTATTTTCAGTTATAAAACGCCATGGGTTGCCATAATTAAAATCAGAGGCTATAGTTAAAATTGCTTAGTATTTGATGTGGTGCGAGGTATTTGATTACTATTTTTCAAATACTTCACAATGTTCCAAACACTGTACTCGGCTTTACAAATGCATGGACATTACATCAGGTAAGCGTTAATCCTATTTTATGAAAAACGAAATCATGTGGTTAAGTAATTTTCCCATGAGCCTACAATTACAAGCACCAGGACTGCCCACATTAATTCTCTTTCTCATTTAGTGTGTCCCCTCCTCCTGTAAAGACATCAGTGAACAAGACTATTTTTCTTTCATGGGACAACCATACTAATTTGTTTTCCTTTTTTATTGAAGCAAAACCTGAAAAGTCTACAAATAAACCCCACATTTCTCTACTGTCTCCATTACCTCTACCATTAAGCAGTGCCTTCATCCACAAAATGAGGAGAAATATGGTTACCCAGCCATAAGCATTTATACTTATGGAAGAAAGAGAAATTTTTCTTAAGTTAACCTTTAAAAAACCAGTAATTTACAATCAAGTCATAATGCAAATGATCATAATGAATCAACACAATATTCCAAAGAAGTAAAGGGAGAGAGGCGAAAGAAAACAGTGTAATGAAGTGACATAAAGTCTTTCCAGTGGGGCTAGGGATAGGGCTCAGTGGTAGAGCTCTTCCCTTGCATGTACAAGGCCCTGGGTTCAAACCCTAGCACCACCAAAAAAAAAAAAAAAAATCTTATCAATGAACTTTAAAACTTTGAACCAGCAGAGAAAAATCAAGAAGAGAAAATATTTCCTCCTCCTCATGTCACTCATCCTCTCTTTCCATAAAGGCATCAAAATTAAGAGAAACTTGAACAGAATAATCTAAAGAAACTTATTCTGCTATGGTAGTTAACTGACTCTTAACAGCGCTCAATGATCTCTCAAAGCCCTACTTCTAAAACTTCCCAGATTTTGAGAAATAAGTTTGTTCTTCATTCAGAAATCTCATTCATTTATTTATTTGATTTCTTTTTTATCTTTTTTTCACAGTAAAACAAGAGCCAAGTAAGTCATGTATTTATTTATAAATTCAGGAGTTAGTTCTTGTACAAATTATACCCTGTTCTAAGCCTGTAAGACCTGGACATGCAAGGTTTTCAATTTACTTTTTCATACTGGACAACTTTCTCTTGAGTTACTGATAAATATTTAGAAAGTAAAAAGCCCTACAGATGACAAATCAAATAATGAGCTAGCTAAAGGTGACCTGAAATCAAGGGATGATACATTTGAACATTTTTTTAAATATCGTTATTTTTAATTGAAACATAATAATTATAATCATACATGGGCTCAATGTGATAATTTGATATGTATATACGATGTGTAGCAATCAAATCAAAGTAATTAGCATTCCCATCTCTTTAAACAATTATCATTTCTTTGGGTTCAGAGTATAAAAGTGCCTCTTTTTCTAGTTCTCCATAAAATATACAATGAGTTATTGTACACTGTATCCTTCTGTACTCCAGAACTCTAGAATTTATTCATCCTATTTTGAACATTTTTTCACAAATTCTCACCAATGGAAAAATATTATCTGTTATTTTTATTAGAATTTATATTTGATTTTGGTAGGAAAGGTAAAAAGTAGGAGATGGCAAAAATCAAATCAGCAAAATTAAGTTAATTGAAATCTCCCTCATTCAAAAAAATTTTTTATTCAGGGCCTACCATGTGCCAGGCAGGGGGAATAAGCCTGAGATCAGGACAGAAAAGAGTCTCTCCTCCCCACGTTTACATATGAATTTACACATTACAGACATGTTTCACACCCCAGCATGGTTAGGGAAACCAGAGGAGGAAGTAATTCATTCCTCCTGTTCTGGAAATGGAGCTCTTACATGTGAAAAATACATTCTAGAACTACTTAAAAAGTCTTTTCTACTGTCATTCACTGGCGAGTATTAATGAAATGCGTGCTGACTTTAATGACACCTGCAACTCTCAGAAGTCCCCTTTGTGTCTGATATTTAAGCTGGGCGCTCACTGGGGGCCTCTTCAACATGGCCGCTCCCATTTCAACAGAAAAACTGATGTTCATATTTCTCACACCCACTTCCAGTTAGCAGAATCTGCTGGAATATTTATAATTTCAATTTCACAGACAGCATAGACCACAAAGATGACAGGAAAATAAACATGCTAAGTATTTTCCTTGTAAGTTAAGATACCTTGCTAGGAGCAAACAAAACTTTACATAATTGGAAAGACTAATCCAGTCACAAATAGCAGAGGGGGCAGGAAAGCTCAGGGTACTGTGCCAGAAGGGCTGGTGCTTACAGGTCTTTGTATACAGCTCATTAATTCTTCCCCCTGCTTACTAAATACCTAGAAAATGAAATGACAAATACTTGAGCCTCAATAAAAAAATCTCTTGAATTGGCTCAACTGATTTTCAAAGAATATTTTTAATTAAATATATGATAAAAATGACCGAGAAAAGTAGAAAAGTCATGAAAAGTTAAGCAACAAGTGGGAAAAACAAAAGCAAAAGTTAAGGGCAATGAGGTTTTTCTACCTCTGTATATTTCACTTTCCAAGAAAAGTCAACAGTAAGAGGAAAACAACTCACCCTTTTTTCACCCTTCCAAAATGACTATAATGCTGGGAGAAGAAAGTGAAAGACTAAAGTAACCTTACAGAAGGCTTGGCACTTGCTCTTATTAATTCTAGAAATTTCCTGTCTGAAAGAAAATCAGTTAAGAATTCAAGTATCATTGTCAATTTCTTTATTGATGTCAACCAATATTAATAATTTGTATTTTAATTTTAGCACCTGTAGCAGTACCTATCAGTAAGTTCCTTTTCTTTTCATAAACCTGGTACAAATTGGGATCTCAAAATGAGAGAAAGATTTCCTAACTCCTACCTAAATTCCATATAGTAATTTTATTTATAAATATTCTCTCCTTAGCCATCTGCTGAGTTATTACTTTCTGGAAAGAATAAACAGTTGATTAGTAAAATACGCAGGAAAAATGCATTTTGTTTTCTTAAAAATTGTCTAATAGCTTTTGACAACAAATAACATTTTCCATACTATTAAAAAGAAGGATACCAAAGAGGAATAAAAGGAAAGCAGAGAGATTAAGTGTGAGAAAAAGAACAATTAACTGCAGTTAGCATTCACATTCAAAACTGTTTGAGTTCTTTGCAGCAAACCTTCCTGCTAGATAAAAGAGAAAAATATATTCTATAGCCAGTTATATGGGGACTGCTCCTTTAAGAAATGCTAATGCTTCTTATTTCATTATAAATGTTTTGGGAGGGGGAGGTTTGTGTCTTCCAAGCCCTCTTTATTGACCCCTTGGAAAAAGCAAGGACTGAAACTATATTCTTGATCCAAAAATTCTGCTAATACATTTTTGTTTCATGTTGTTCTGCCAGTAACTCTAATACCTATTGGTAAGTTATCATTCATCTATTTCTTAATCCTTTATAAAATTTTCCCTGAAGTAAAATATTTTCTTGCACATTTTCCAACTCCACTTGCCTCCTTAGTATCTAGGATCCCCTTGAGTACTTATGAATTTAAAAACAATATGCACAACAATTAACAATAAATGTGTATATATAATCAACAATAAAGATAGAAAATTAGAACCAATTTATTTTCACTTAATGAAGAGGAAATTTTGTGGTCAGTTATATATAATTCATGCTAGAAATGTTTGGGCAAAAAAATTATACTTTGATGTACTATCAATCCCACTTAAATTAACATAATTCTTTTAGAAAACAAATATGCAGTCTGTTACTAAATACATAAAAAAAATACAGTGTCCTCAATTTCTAGACATATGTTCTAAATAAAAAATTCTAAATGTGGGATAAAACAATTTGTATAATGTTAATTGGTTAAAAGATGCATTATAATTGTTAGGAAAGGAATCACTCAGACCTAGGTTCAAGTCCCACCTAAAATAACAGGTATATGGCTTTGGGTAAATTACTTAATCACTCCAAAAATTTAATTTGCATTATCCCTCCATGGTATTACTTTCAATTACATCCTTTTAAATCCGTTGTTATTCTTTTCCCTCTACTTTACAGGAATAAATGATTAACTGAATCATAAATTGCTGTCAAACATAAAATTCCTACAAGTAGAGGAAAAACAGAGGAGACAAGTGCTGGTGACCATTTAAACATTTTATCAACAACAAATCAAGGCACGGGGGAAATATGAAGAGAAGGAGAAAGGGATGGTAGAGAAACAGCTCTCTCGGTCAAAAGACAGAAAACAGGAAAATCGTAACATCTCAATTTGCACCATCAAATTCTTTCTTACCATATTTCAAGAGTCTGCTTTAACACACTTTCTAGTGAAGATTTTTCAAAAGAAATAGTTTACCAATGAAAACAGAATTTTGCTTTTCCCCCAATTTTCTAAAAACCGTGTGTGTGCATACTTTTCCCCTCCTCATCTGTCTCTCTTAAAAGAGACTTAAATTGTTCT